TCCTTGTTCTCTGGTTCTCTCACCTCCAGGGAAGACGATGTGCATGTACTGAGTGCCTTCTGTATACCACCACTCGCCTGCCACCCTTCCACGGTCTCTCTTCTCCCTGGCTCCTCTCCGTCCGTGTGTCCCCCCAACCGACCGCCACCCTGCCAACCTTCTCCTGGGGGGAGGGGGAAGAAGCATGTATTGAGCGCCTGTTGTATGCTGCTCCTTCCTGTACATCCTCTGTCTGGCATCGCTTGCCTCACAGGCTCAGCTCTTTCTGGTCTCTTCCTCTCTGCTCACTTCCCTCCTATCTGCTTTCGCTGAATTCGCTTCAGGGAAGGGGAAGGGGCATTTATTAAACACCTGTTGTGTACTCACTCTTCACACATCTTGTCCCCTCTTCACAGCCTCTCCTGTTCATCCCTGTTGGGGGTTCCCCCAGTCCCCTCTCCTCCTCCTCGTCTTTCCTTCCTCCAGGGGAGAAGTGCTAACACCTACCAAGCACCAACTGTATGCCTGGTCCTTCCCACCCGTGGACCCCTCTGCTCCGGCCCTCTCTCCTGCCTGGTCTTTGCGGTGGAGTGGGGGGGTGGGTTGTCTTTCTGGCACCGACTGGCCACCTGCTGCGCCAGGCTGGTGATGACCAAGGCCACCCCCTGCTTTTCTTCTCCCTTGGCTGCCTTTCTTCTTCCCTTGGGAAAGGGAAGGGGCACTGATTGAGCACCAGCTGTGTACACACTGCGCCTCTTCCCCTTGGGCCCTGTTCTCCCCACCCTTTCTGTCTTTCCATCTCCCTATTCCGCGGTGGAAGCCCTGACTTTTGCGGATAGAAGGGGTCTGGGTGCCAAGGGCCAGAGCCTCCCCACCCCCATGCAGGGCACACCCAAACCACCAGATTTGCCCTGCAACTTGATTTCCTCGTGGGGCAGGTGTGGGTGCCCCTCCCCACTGCCTGGGGCGGGATGGCAGGGGCTGCAGGAGCCCAGGGGGAGACAGGACAGCAAGTGCTGGAAGGAGGCCAGGGCAGCACCTGCTGGAGTTTTGAGCTGCCACCTGGGAGAGCCTGCCAGAGAGGCGGACGAGGAAACTGAGGCTCAGAGGGGATGGAGAACCGAGTGCCTGCTGTGTACCCCGCCAGCTCTCCCCCCACCTCCGGTCTCTCCCGCCCTCCCTGGCAGCAGCAGGCTGTCTGTCTCTGTGCCTTCCCTGCTCTCCTCCTCCTCCTCCTCCCTCCTCCCTCCTCCCTCCTCTCTCCTCTCTCCTCTGGTCCCGCAGGCCTCTCCACTTCTGCCCTCTGGCCTGGCCTGCCCTGTGTCTGTCTCCCTGGCTCTGCCCCCTCCTCTGCCCACCTCCTGAGGGGCCTCTCTCCACCCTCCCACCTCCTTGGGCTTCTCTGCCTCTGGGCGCTCCTCTGCGGCTCTCCCTGTGGGGCAGGCTCTGCGGGGCTGCTGCTCCCCCTCCCTTCAGGCAGGGCCTCCCCGCAGGCTGCCAGGCCCCACACCCCGGCTCTTCAGGCCACCCCTTGCCCCCTGTGTTTCTCCCCTTCCCCCTTCACCCCCTTTCTCTGTCTCTCAATCTCTGCCTCTGCCTGGCACTCCTCAGCTCCTCCCAGTCTCCCCTTCCCACCCTCCTGACCAGGCCTTCCTCCTCCCCACCTAGTCTCCTCCTGGCCCCCGCCCCCCTTCACTGCTTAAGAAAATTCCTGCAGCTGCTGCCCCTGCAGCATCCCTGGCCATCGTCTGTCTGTCTGTCTGCTCTGGCTGCTGGGCCTGGGGGGCCTGAGGGGTACACAGGCCCTGCCCAGAGTGGAAGGGCCTGGAGCACAGGCCTGAGGGAAAGCAGCCTGAAGACCTCCCCTCGGGGCCCTGCCCGGCCTGGGCCAGCGCCGCCCTCCCCCCGCCCCCCCCATCTGTCCGTCTGTCTGTCTCCCTGGCCCTGCCTTCTCCAGTCCCAGCTGTCCTTTGCTGTCCCGAGCCCATGGGGTCACATGTCTGTCAGGGGGCACACCGAAGCAGGGGAGGCGTCCAGGATGTGCTCCCACTCGCTTTCCCCCCTTCCCTGGGTAGGACCCATCTGCTCCCACCTTCCAACAGCCTCCTCCCCAGGGGCTCCTCCCCAGGGCCTGCTCCCCAGGGCCTCCTCCATGCCATCCTCCCCAGGGCCTCCTCCCATGCCCTCCTCCCCAGGGCCTCCTCCCCAAGGCCCTCCTCCCCAAGGCCTCTTCCCATGTCCTCCTCCCCAGGGCCTCCTCCCCAGGGCCTCCTCCCCAAGGCCCTCCTCCCCAGGGCCTCCTCCCATGCCCTCCTCCCCAGGGCCTCCTCCCCAAGGCCCTCCTCCCCAAGGCCTCCTCCCATGTCCTCCTCCCAGGGCCTCCTCCCCAAGGCCCTCCTCCCCAGGGCCTCCTCCCATGTCCTCCTCCCCAGGGCCTCCTCCCTAGGGCCTCCTCCCCAAGGCCCTTCTCCCCAAGGCCCTCCTCTCCAGGGCCTCCTCCTCCCCAGGGCCCTCCTCCCCAGGGCCTCCTCCTGTCAGTCCCACCATCTGGACCCCAGCTCCCTGGGGTGACACCATAAACCCCCACTGGGGAGGGCGCAGGCGCCAGCCCCGTAGGCCCTTCCACTTGAACCTCTGGCCTCGTGCCCTCTGCTCTGCTGCCTTCCGCACACCCGGCTGGGCGGCGGCCTCCTCAATCCTGTGCTCTTCTCCGCCATGTCTCCCTCCCGCCCCTCAGCCTCACCCCCCAGTCTCCAGCCCTGCTCCCTGCCTCGCCCGCAGCTCTCCTCAGCAGTTCTCCTCCTCTCTGCTGCTCTCCCCTTCTCTCTCCTCCTCCTCCAGGCTTCCCTCCTTCCTGACCTCCTCTCTCTGCTCTCCTTCCCTCTCCTCTCCCCCTCCCTCCTTCCACCCTGCCACACCTCCTGCTGTCCCCCCTCTCCCCTCCAGTCCTGGAGGCCCAGCGCCCCCCCCTCCCCGCATCTCTCCCACCACCCCGGGATGGGTCTGGGCTGAGCTCCCCTTCTCCTCTGGGGGCTGAGGTTCCAGGCCTGGGCAGGAGGTGGGTGCCCCCCACTCCAGCTCCTTGGCAGGACGCTGTCCAGCCGGGAGCAGGCGTGCAGGGACCTTGGTGACACCCTTTTCTCTCTCGTCTGTCTGCCCCAAACTCTGGACACTGCCTGGAGGAAGCGGTCCCAGGAAGGAGGTGGCGGGAGCGCGTGGCTGGACCCCAGCACGTAAGTGGCAGGGCCGGGATGGGCAGGGCTCTGGCTGGCGGGCGCTGCTGCCCCAGGCTCTGGTCTGAGCCTGAGAAGGGCCCTGGCTTCCTGCTCAGTTCGCTCCTCTCCCAGCCTCCAAGGTCTCCTCCGGGCAGCATGGAGCACACCGGCGCTGGGAGGACCTGGCCCAATCCCCATTTCACAGCCGAGGACCAGCCTCTGCTCGGACCCAGGATTCCAGGGAGCCCCGGCCTTTCCCATGACCAACAATGCCCCCCACCCCTGCAGGACGCTTCTCTCCACCCAGAGGGACAGCGAGGGTCTGCCCGAGGCCTCAGTCAGACTGGGGGAGACGATCGCCACCTGCTGGCAGACGATGGAACGGCAGCCCGGGGCGGGGGAGGGGTCCCAACATGGAAGTATCAGAATGCGGGGGTGGGCGGGTGGCTATTTTGGGGGGGAGGATTTGCCACATTTTGTGAACATTAAAATGTTTACTCCTGGTCAAAGTGTAAACACCACGCTCTGGAGCTCCTCGGTATGACGACTTCAACCTCCTGCTTTGCGTTTTCATGTCATTCTGGCCAAGTGGCCCGTTCCCCACCCCCCCCCCCCCCCCCGCCCTGGGAAGTGCATCTGGGGTCGCCACGGGAAGGAAAGGACACGCAGTTTGGTTTCCGCAGCCTGCGTGGAGCCAACCCCAAGGAACTGGGCCCAATCAAGTGTGTTGCCTCGTTGCTGCACAACGTTTGTGAGGGGAAGGTGGGGGCAAAGGTGGGTGACTGACAGCTAAGCGTTGCCCCCCCATCCTCACGGAGGCGTCTCTGACCACCTAAAGGGGCCCGCAGAATCGCTTCCACAAGTTCCGAGCTACAGTGCACAATTTGGGGCAGAAAAGAGGCTTTAAAATACCGACATCAGCCTTAGGTGTTTTTTAAAAATCGTTTATCATAAACTTCTGTGCTGAGGACGCCCCAATGCCAGTGTGGAACCCCAGGCTGGGAGAGGGGCATTTCCTCGGTGCCAGGAAGTGGAGCTCTGGTGGCAAAGCAGGGCGTGGGGTGGGGTGGGGGGCAGGACCCTGAGGACAGTCCCCTCTGTGGGCAGCTCCCGGCAGGGGCTCTCCTTATGGGCCCAGAGGTCAGGGGCTGGGCTGAGGAGGAGGACGGGCCAAGGAGGTCTAAGCAGCAAAGGCCTCCAGGCCGGGGCAGGATTCTGTTGTCACCCCCGCCTTGACTCCCCCAAATGTTTAGTCTGTGTGACCTGACACTTCATCGCCCAAGTGCACGCCTCCCCCATGGGAAGGTCCCTCGGAGCCTCACAGGCTGGGACCCAGGGGCCCCCAAGGGCAGACAGACATGGGCACCCAGCGGCGGAGTCAGGGAGCCATCTTGGCCAGCGGGGGGCAGGCGGGTGAGGCCACAGACAGGCAGGAGGTTGCAGAGAACTTGGCTTGTTCCCGGACTCCCGGGGAGGGGACGAGGGGAGCAGACACACAGGTCAGGGCTGCCCCAAGACTGGGCTCAGCCTCCTGGTTGGGGGCCAGGAGAGGCCCGGCCCCGCCACCCTCCTCTGACCTGGGGGGTGGGGGAGGCGGGGCCTGGGGGGCCTCTGAGGAGGGCCTCTCCCCTCATGGACACAGGAGGCAGGAGGGCTGGCGGGTCCTCCGGGGTGACGGGGGAGCGGACGCTCGGGCAGGCGGCGGGGAAGGGCAGGGGCTGACCGCCGGCCTCAGCGGCCGCTGCCCCCACCACCCCCGCCGCCGCCCCCGCCCCCACCCTGGCCCCCGCGTCCTGCGCGCCGGACATCATGAAGAACAGCACGACGGGAATGATGTACATCCACTGCAGGCCGCGCGGAGCGACAGACAGACGGACAGACAGACAGAGAGGAGAAAGGAGGACGTGAGTGGCGGCCCGAGGCGGGGCAGGGCCGGCGCGAGGGAGGCTGCGGGAGGGGGGCCGGGTCCCCTACATCACTACGGGGGAGGGCGCGGGGCGCAGGGGGGCTGTCCTCACTCAGGCCTCCTGTGGCGGCGGCGCGGGCCCCGGGGCGGCAGGACGCAGGGCTGTGAGCAACACGGCCCCCCCAGGATGAGGTGCCACTGAGGAGGGAGGGCGCAGGTCAGGGGGCAGGCGGGCGAGGGGGCCCTGGCTCTCCGCTCGGGTCCCTGCAGCTCGGGCCCAGCCCCGCACACGCGCGCCCCAGCTTTCCGCCTCCGCGGCCCAGCGCCTGGGCAGCCCAGGGAAGCCCGGCCTGGGGGGCCGGCCCAGGAGCCCCACGGGCCGCTGCAGAGCCTGGGTCCCCTTGCAGCCCCCGCTGCCCCTCCTGTCCAGCCTGCCCCCCCCACCGCCCCTGCCCGCCCCGCCTGGTCGCCCCGGGACCCCGGGCAGGGGTGGGGTGGGCGCCACAGCCTCGCCTGTGGGGGGAGAGGGGAGCGGGGCGCGGGTGGGGTGGGGCGCGGGCGCGCGGCTGGCCCACTCACGTATTTGGCGAGGAAGGACTTCTGCTCCTGCGGGTTCTTGGCCTTCTGGGCCTGCTCCATCTCCAGGCGCTCGATGAAGGCCGCCGTCTCGGGGCTGGCAGGCGGGGAGGACACAGGGTGAGCGGCGGGGCCCGGCCCGGGGGCTGGGGAAGGAGGACCCCGCGGGGAGGACGCCTCACCCCGGCGCCGTGAGCGGCGGCTGCAGCTGCACCGAGGTGTTGAACAGCTCCAGGTCCACGTCCTCCACCTCGTGGCCGCGGCAGCCCCCGGGGTGCGTCACCACCGACACGCCCACCACGTTGCCTGCCACGTCCACGTGCAGGGTCAGCTGGTCCGAGAGGTGCGACTCCACCAGGGAGCACTGCGGGAGGGCGGGCGTGAGGGGTTCAAGGCCCAGCCCACGTCCTCCAGCCCCGGGGGGATGCCCTGCACCTCCCCTCGCAGCACCCACCACCCCGCTGGCCCACGGCACAGGACCCCGCGAGGGCAGGCCAGGTCTACGCGGGAAGGTAGGGGCGATCAGGGGAGGCCGGAGGAGCAAGGCCGGGCCCGTCCTGTCACTGACTCACCGCGGGGACAAAGGAGGAGACGTAGCCACCAGCATCTGGGCCCTCAGGGGCCCCCGGCCGTCGGGGCACCCGGACCCGGTACAGGCCATTCAGGGCTGCCACATCCTGCAGAGCAGGAGGGTGTGAGAGGGCTGGCGCCCCACCAGCTCCGAACCCCACAAAGGCCACAAAGGCCCTGCTCGCCCAGGGTACGCACCCAGCATCCTCCACCCCCCCGGCCAGGTCAAGCAGTCTCTGCCCAGGACCCCACGCACGGGGCAGCACAGCTGGTGGGTGAGGCCACAGCAGGAGGACAGAGCCCCGCCCGCCCAGCCATGGAGTCGCTGGGCCCCTGCTCAGAGCCTGGACCCCGTGCACCTGCTGCCTGCGCCAGACGGCAGATTTGCGGGGGGTGGCTGTGGCAGAGAATCGGGAAAGCTGCTGCCCCATGGAGGGAGGCTGCTGGGGCGGCTTCCGCCCTGACACCTCCCACTGACACCTCCCACAGGGACAGGACCCTGGGCCCGGGCTGCCAGGATAATGCCCAAGCCCCAGCCCCCCTCCAGCCGCAGCCGGCTGCACATGGGAGGAGACCAGCAGCTTTTGCAAGTTTCCCTACAAGGTGGCTGTTCCCTTGGCACCTCCTTTCCCCCTCCTCCAGCTGGTGGCCTAAAGCCCCACTGGGCTCTAGCGTCTCCTCTCGCTGCACCGCCTCTGCAGGGGGCTGAAGGGGGCCCTCGGGAGAGCCCTGGTGCGTGAGGAGCTAGGATCAGGGCTTCAGAAGTGGCCACTGCTGTCCTGGGGAACTTTCTCTTCATAAGCAAATCTCATCCCAAGGCTCCAGATCATGAAGAGGAGCCAGTCAGGTGGGAACGGTGAAGGGGGGAAGAGCATGTGCGGGCAGGGAACACAGGCAAAGGCCCCGAGGCCATGCCATGCTCCAGGGCACACAGACTGACAGGCAGCTGCAGCCTGGAGCGGCGACAACAGGGAGAGGAAGGCAGCAGGGAGCTGGGTTCCCCCGGACCTGCAGAGCTTGAGGACATCAGGCAGGGAAGCAACAGGCCAGGGAGCAACCTCCAATACCCCACCCCAGGGTCCCGCCTCACCCGCAGCCGGCCCCGCTCCTCCTCATTAAGCTGCCGCTGTGATAGGGACAAGGTGCCATCCTGCTGGTTCCAGAGGAGTGAGCCCCGCTTCCGGAAGTGGGCGCTGTCATCTGTGGGGAGCCTGGGCTCAGCCGCCACCACCACCCCCTTCAGTGCAGGGAGCGACCAGGTCGCTTCTCCATCCCCAGCTCCCATTTTTCTACCTGCAAATTGGGAGCACCCTCACCCGCCTCTGCAGCAAATGCCTGAACCCGACAGCTCCTGAGCTCAGGGGCCCAGTCACATAAGCTAAGCCTCAGTTTCCCCAAATGTAAAAGTCAAGGTCTGCAGAGCTCGAGTGCCAACCACGGGGCGTATCAGACTGGTAGGCCCTCCGGAGAGCAGAGGCTCAGGGGGGCTGGCCTTGTCCATGTTTGTGACAAGTGTGGGGGTCTGGGGCCTGACCTGGGGTCGGACCACGGGGAGCCCGCACTGTGAGCTGCGCTTTGGGTGGGTCCGGCCCTGCCATTCCCTTACAAGCCCTGAGCCTCATTTTCCTCTTCTGGAAAACCGCTGGACACTAACAGCTTCCCCATGGTGAGAATGTGGGCGTTAATGGCCACAGGGCACCTAACCAGCAGTGCAGGTCTCGGGAGGCTGGTGAGGAGTGCGGGAGAGAACGGTGTGGACTCACCGATCTCAAACGAGTGTTCCAACAGCAAGCCCACGGAGCTGCAGCCCTCACCCTCTCGGCCATCCCCAGCCTGCAGGAGAGATGAGGGCCCCCGTGAGGACCATGAGAACCCTTGGCACAGCAGGACCCACAGACCCCCGAAGCAGACAGACTAATTTGAGGAAGCAGTTTTATTTTCATATTCATATCCCCAAGGGGATCCATGCATGTGCTTTAATGAAAATGCCCCATCTGGCTGCTTTCCCGAAAACCAGGGCCTGCAAATCGGCCTAACTCCGTTTCCAAGGCAACTATTTCCAGGTCACTTTCCGTGCCCTGCATCATTAAAATTCATGGTTAGGTGCACCCCGCTTCCTTCCCAAGCTAATATCCAGTGGCCTCGTTTTCACCCAAAAGCCACGACGCCCGGCCTCCGGGTTCCGCCACGGGCCACTCTCCTCGCTTTCCGTCTCTCCAGCTCTGCAAGCCTCTCCTACTTCTGCAGCCTCCACTGTCCACCCCCGCACCCGCTCAACCTCGGTCCCCGCCGATTTCAATCGGCCGCTCGAAATCCGGCCGTCTCCTGCACAGTCAGGCTAGAAGCCCCCGCACGCCTGATGTGTCCAGGCTCCGGCCGGCCACACCTTCTCATGCACCTTCACGGAGCGGTGGCCAAGCGCTGGGACCTGGAGGCTGTTCCCCAACCTTCTTCGGGGGCCCTGTTTTCACCGTAGAGCGCCCCAGACGCCCCTGAGCCCCGTCTCTCGGGCATGGTCACGACTGACCCTCCCTAACTGGCCTCTGGCTGCCTCCTGGTGCGTGTGCTCGCCCGCAGCCTGCCCTGCCCGGCCCCTTCACCTCTTCTTCCGCCACGGCCCGGCGCTCGCTCGATCCCACCTTGACCGACCTTAAGGCCCGCGCCCCAAGATTTCCTTCGGCCCCGCCCCCTCGCAGTCAAGGCGCACTCACCCCCCGCGCAGCGGCCCCGGACCGGCAGCCACTGCCTCGGGCGCGGCTGGGGGCGGCTGCCGCCAGGAGCAAGAGCAGGAGCAACCGAGTCGCCCCGGGGCCCGCAGCCGCCATCTCGGCCCTTCCCCGCCCGCCCAGCGGCAGGTGCGAGCCGAGAGCGCGGAGCACGTCGGGAGAAAGGTGCACCCCCCCCCCGCCGCCCTTGCGCCTGCGCTGGATTCCCGAGCCTGCGCACTGGCGCCCGCCGGCCCCCGGGCCTGAGGCCCGCCCTCATCCGGGCTCGGGCCCTGCCTCCTGATGACGTCACCACACTGGGCGTGCGTCTCCCCGTGACGCGACAAACCCCGTTCGCCGCGTTGTGGCATCACAGAGGCCGCGGCCCCGCCCCCCCGTTTTCTGCCGGGGCGCGCTCCCCCGCCCGCCAAGGGTGGGGCGTGGCGATGAAGCGGGGGCGCGCGCCGAAGCCGGCCCTCGCGCGAGCAGGCGTGGCGGGACCAGGTGGGATGGCAGGTGAGAGGCGGGTGTGGACCCGGTGAGGGACCCGGTGAGGGATGGGGCCGGCCATGCCGAGGCCGGTGGCCCAGAACCCCCTTTCTTCGGAGCGCTGTTCCCTGGGCTCAGCCGCCTCGACTGGACCCCCGAACTTCGCCTCTCTAGACCGCCCCCTGGTGCCCGCCTGTCCCGCGGGCCGGCCCGGACGGCTCCAGCGCCACCTCCTGAGCGGCGAGTTCGACCAGCTGCGAGACTTCCCCATCTTTGAGAGCAACTTCGTGCAGGTGTGGAGCCCCGGGGCCCTCCTCAGCCTCCTGATTTGGAGAACCCCCGCTCCCCCTGCTTCGATCGCTCTCCAGTAACGTCCATCTCTCGGGACTCCGGACTGACCCCCCCCCAATACCTCTTGATTTTTTGTGTGTGTGTGTGTGGGACCCTCGCCTGTGGCTGGGGAACGAACCGGCGCGGCAGAGGCTGCCCGCAGCCTCACAGCCCAGCGCTCAACCGCTGCGCCACCAGGGGAGGCCCACCTCTTGATTTTTAACTTCCAGGAATCCCGGCTTCTGATTCCTTTGGCCAGGTTTTCCTGGCTTTACATCTATTTTATTCTTAACTTTTGACCCCAGGATTTCTAACCGCCCCCCCCCACACACACACCCAATTTTTGACTTTCTTGGTTCCCCACCCTTAACCCTACCGGGATGCCTTACCGGGATACCTGACGGTGACCCCTACCCAATCCTTGCCCCTTCCACCCCGCCTCTAACCTCTGACCCTTGGACCCAGGTGACCCGTTTAGGAGAAGTTGCCAACAAGGTCACCATGGGGGTGGCTGCCTCCAGTCCAGCCCTGGAGCTCCCGGACCTGTTGCTGCTGGCGGGCCCCGCCAAGGAGAACGGACGCCTGCAGCTCTTTGGGTGATTGCCCTAGATCTCCCTTCCCAGATCTGGCTGCTGGGCCCCCCAGTCCCTCCTGGCACCCAGACAACCCCCAGGCCAGGAGCCTTTGATGGCTGCCTGCCCACTCTGGGCTGCTGTGCAGCCAGGAGAAGTAGGACAGGGAAATTCCCAGGGGCCAGAAATCAGGGACTAGAAAGACATGGGAGGATAGTGAGCTCACCCCTGGAGAATGGCCATTACTGCAGCGCCTCCTGCCTGCCTGCTCTGGGCCACGCACATGGGCACAGCCCTCAGACTGTGAAGTGGTGGGACCCTTAGCCCCATCTTCCAGAGAGATAAATTGAGGTCCAGAGAGGCAAGTCCACAGTGGGTTCTGGTAGGGGTAGAGGACTGAATTGGGACCTCAGCTCTCATGATAGCCAGCCTCTCAGTTCTTGGGCTCCCGCTCCACACTGATTCTTCAGGCCTTTGAGTTTGATTTTCCCATGAAAAAGTAATGTAGGTGCCCCCCCCTCAAGTTATGAAACACACAAACTGCACCTTTCTCCCATCCCCGACCCCCCGACCCCCACCCCGCCTCCCAGTGCAGCTGCAAACACCAAAATGCATAGAGGTTGACAGAGACATCCTGCCGGTCCTTTGCACTTTTTGGACCACATTTCAATTAATGCCAAAAAGAGGGAGAGAGAAAAGAAAGGAGGAAGGAAAGGCGGGGGAAGCACTCACATCATGACTCACCCACAGGCCCACACTTTACCTGCAGTTCCAAAATCCAAAAAGTGGTGGCTGGATCGGGTCCCACCCAGAGTACCTCAGGCCACTTGCAGCCTTATCCACCCCCACCCCTCCAAGCTTAAAGCATTTTACAAAGCTGGGTTCTGGCACCTTATTGGACCCCTGGATATTTTCTCTTCCCAGTTCCTTATCCTTTAGGTGCTAATTGTGTCCCCCACTTCAGCCACTATTGGCGGAGTCATGGCTGCAGTTGTGGGGGGGGGGGCAAGGATGTAGTGCCGGTGCAGAAGGGTGGATGGCTCTGACCCCCACAATCCCTTCACCACACTCACGCCCCTGCCCCAAGCTAACATACCCTCCAAGTAAAAAGACTGGATTTGCTTTCAGATCTCAGCCTCCTCCAACCCACCCCAGGCCCCGTGTCCAGTCCTCGCCATTGGCACGTGGTGGGGGGTTTGCCCTTTTAAAAAGGGGCACAGGCTTCCTGATCATGTTCACCTCCAGTCAGCAGGATGCAGCCACCTTTCACAGACACTCAAACTGAACAAGCTCTGGCCCCTGGACACACAGCCTGCCTCCAGGACAGTGCAGTGTAGACAGCTTGGGTTCAAATCCTGGCTTCGGCTAACTTCCCTAACCGCCTGCACCTCAAGTGACCTCTCTGAGACAGGGGGATAAGAGGAGCTTCCACTTCAGGCTGCCGTTTATCCAAGGGGATAGATGGGGTATATGTTTATCAAGTTTGTTGGAGCCACATGGGGCACAGTAAGTGCTGAAACGGCTGAAACTCTTCTTTGGGGTAAGGTAACACCTGCAATGTGGCTGAGGGACGCGGCAGGGGGTGGGTGATAGCCAGTGTGGCCGGCAGGGGGTGTGCAGTGCCTCCCTAGATGGGTTTCCAGTGGGGACTGCTAAGCCCTGTTGGGGTTAAGCCCATGGATGACTTGGACTCACCTCCCGCGTGTCCCTGACCTGGGTTACCCACCCTCCCTGGATTGTTTCCTCCTGGAGTTGGTTGACTCTTGAATCAGACAGGCAGCCAAGACGTTTCCCATTCTCGGCAAGCATCTGTTGCGTGCCTGCGAGATGTCAGCTAGTACAGGGACAAGCAGGGAAGGAAAGCAGGCCCAAGCCTCCACCGGCCTAGTGGGAAGCAGGCCGAAGAGACGACAGTGGGTCCCGCGGGGAAGGTCTGTGGAGACGTGACAGGGAGGGTCATGGCACCATCTGCCAGGGTGGAGGTGGCTGTAAAGCAGCTGGGGAGGCCTCCCTGAGAAGGTGGCTCTGGGACTGAGCTGAAGGAGCCCAGCCGCGGGGGGCGGGGAGGTGAGGGAGGAAGACTCCAGGGAGAGGGAACAAGCCGGTGCCAAGGTCGGGAGGTAGGACCGGGACTGACAGGTTTATGGAACAGGTGGGGCCAGTGAGGCAGGAGCCACAGGAAGGGGGCCGGTTGGAGGTGAGGGTGGGAAGGGAACATGGGGCAGATCCTTTAGGGTGAGGGCCCTGCCGGGACACCCTGAAACAGCCAGAAAGGGCAGGGGGAGGGCCCGAGGAAAGCAGCAGAGGCAGCGGCGGGCCTGGAGGTCAAGTTGAGGACCTTGTTTTTCCCCGAGCCCAGGAGCGCCTCGCGCTAACTTAGGCGTCAGCCCGCGCCCCCTAGCGGCTGCGCGGGGAACAGACGGGCGAGGGCGGCAGCGGGGAGCCGGGGGACCGAGGGCTGGAGGCCCCCAGTAGCGAGCGGACGGTGAGTACACTTTACCTGAGCCAGGACTGGCAGCGCAAGTGGCAGGATGCGACACCAAGATTGTTGACCGAGCCGGGGCCACTAAGGTTTGGGGCGCAGGGAGCTCAGGTGTGCCCGACATCGACCCAACATCCAGATGCAAGCTGCAGGCAGGCAGCGGCGCCCTGGAGCCTGAGCTCGGGAGAGGCCCGCGGCGGACGCGAGCAGCCGGGTGGGTGGAAGTCGGGAAGAGTAAAAAAGTCACCCGAGGCCAAGAAAGGAAGCGTTTCTTCTGGCCGAGGGGGGGTGACCCGGACCCCGAGGGCGCCCGGCGGGGGAGCCAGAGAGTCAGACCCTGAGGCCGCCCCTTCCGCCCGCCAGGCTGTTCCCCTTGCAGTTCGTCCAGCTCTTCGTCCACGATGAAAGCCGCTGGCAGCTCAAGGTCAAGTTCCGCACGGGCCGCGCTTTCTACCTGCAGCTGCGGGCCGCGCCGGAGACCCGCGACCGCGAGTTCGGCCAGTGGGTGCGGCTGCTCTACCGCCTGCGCTTCCACTCGGCGCAGGGAGCCGTGCCCTTCACGCAGGACGACTGGGCGCTGGAGGACGGGGAGGACCCGGACGGGGAGCTGGACGACGCGGAGGAGCTGTTTGCGCGGGAGGTGAGCGCCGGGGCCCGGGGAGGCGGCGCGCGGGGGCGGGGCTGCGGCCTGGCTCGGGGTGGGCGGAGGGGCTGGGAGGGCCCGAGTCCAGAAAGCTGGGAGGAGGCCAGGGGACCTCCTGCGCCTGAGAGCGGAGGTGACCAGGGTCCCTGAATCTTGGGTACTATAAGCGGATTTAAAGTCTGTGGGGGCTGCTGTGCTAGCTCAGGCGCTAGCTAAGCTTCCCTAATTGTGCAGCCGCCCCCTCGCCCCACCTTCTGCCCCTTGACCTACAGCACTGGGATCTGGGGCGCGAACGCCCAGGCCCTAAGCGGGGGTCAGCTGGGCCAGATGCCCAGTTCCCTGTCAGGTCTGAGGGAGGGCAGGGTGCCTGGAACCCCGGGGGAGGGGCTCTTTTTGACATACCCTACCCCGCTTCTTCCCAGTAAGTACAAAGCCCCCCACCCCCCACCAAACTGCACACTTGGTGCCGTCAAAGCCCCTGAGACGACCCTCTCTACCCAGCTTCAAACCATGGAAGCAAGACTCAACCCTCAGTCCTCTGAGCTCTGGGGTCTCTGACCTCCCCAGCACCCCTTGAGGCCGACTGCGGACCAGAGAGCAAATACCCCACCCCAGGCGGACAAATGAGTTATTAAAGTTAATAAAGATCAGCCGCTTAAGGACCAGCAACCACAGCTCCCAACTGGACACAACTGCCCCTGCCAAGGGAGCCCTCTGGTTAGGCCACCGTGGGGGTTGTGGGCGCTTTCCTGGGGTACTTGGCGCCAGTTGTCTGTCTGGCTTCCTCAGCGCCATGGGGCCCTGGAGCCGAGCTCCCTCCCGGTGCTTCCAGTGCCACCTTGGGTCCAGCAGCAGCTGCAGGCTGCCTGCCTCCCCCCCACCCTAACCTGGAAGGTTTGGTGGTTGCCAGGGAACTCAGCGGCCCCAAAGTAGCCCCTCTGGGTGGAGGCCTGAGCCCCTCTGGGCGGTCTATCCCACCAGGGCTGCCTTATCTGGGTGCCAACCCAACCCTGCTGCCCCCCAGGAGACCCTCCGGGAGCGGAAGTGAGCCACGGAGTCAAGGACAGACACTCGCAAGTCCGACAAGACTGTTTTCTTCTCAGGATGACCCCCGAAACGGGAACATTGGGGAGCGGGTCTGAGCCAGAACTCGGCAGCCAGTTATCACGCAGATGGGAGTGTTTCACGTCGGCACTGTGGGGGGGTGGGAAAGAAAGGGGGTGAGTGGAGGCAGGGCCTGGGTTCTGGAAGCGCGAATGCCCCCTTCGCCGGCTGCATCCGCGTGACCGGCAGGGGGCGCCAGTTCACCTGCGCCGCCAGCTTGGGGGCGGCCTGTCAACCCAAGCTCCTAAGTGCCCTGATTCTGGCTCGCTGAACCCCAAAGCGGGGCGTTCTGATGGGGGTTATCTGAGCAGCTGCTGACCACTTGCCATCCCTGGGGTTCTGCAGTAGGCCGCGGGGAGCTGACGGGATCGCGCCTCTCCGCGGCAGCAGCGGGCGCCTGGCAGCTAGGGAGCGGCCTCCCCTCCCTGCCTTGCCTGGGGAGATGGAGGACTGGAGCCCCCGGCAGAAGAGAGGTGAGGAAGAACTGCCGACACGCTCACCTTTGACGTCCAGCCTGCACTCGGCCAGCGCCTCCCCCAGCTCGTTGACCGCCCGGCAGGAGTAAGTCCCCGAGTCGAACGGGGAGGGGCGGCGGATGCTCAGCGTCAGGACCCCCTGGTGGTTGGTCATCAGGTACTTGGGGTCCTCCCGGATTTCCATCTTGTTCTTCATCCAGACCACCTTGGGCTGTGAGGGTGCAGGAGAGGAAGCCAGCTCAAAGGCCTCCCCCCCAGGTGCTGGCCTGATGGGTCTGGGAAGGCCAACTTAGCTCCTAGTCCTGCCTGTGCCGCCTCCTAATTTGGTTGGATGGCCTCGGACTAGTCGCTTCCCTGCCCTGACCCTCAGCCTCTTCCTCAGGGGTGGGATGAGAGCTCCCGGTTGTCTTTCATAATAGAGCACCCCTCCTGGTGGGAGTGCAGAGCCCCTCGCCATGCCATTCGGGCGTCCCCTCGACCCTCACCTCCCTTCCTCTGCTCAGCCACGCCACCCCCTCAGCACTTTGCACTGGTTGTTCCCGCCTGCAACACTGCCCTTCCCACCTCTCCTCACCCAGTCAGTGCCCTTCTTTCGGGTCTCAGCTCATGTTACCCCCAGCGCCCCCGCAGGAACAGGAACGCCTCTTTGGCTCTCTCATAACTCCCCACCATGCCCGCCACCCTTGCAAATTTTATGGCGATTTGCGCAAACATCAGCCTCCCTGATGGAGAGGAACTTCGTGTCCAATTCACCCAGCACGGAGAAGGCCTCTACAGTGTGTGTCGGGAGTGAATCATGGAAGGAGGGAATGAATGAATGACGTGAATCGATGAACGAGGGGATGAATGATTCATATAAGCAAATGGAGCGAATGAATCAACCGAGTGGTGCATGAAAACGAAGGCCTGAGAGGAGTTAGTGAACGCAGAGGCTCGATGAGGGGGAGGAGTGAGCTGGGGGTGCAGGGCCCAGGCTAGCCATGGGTCGGCACTTGGCAAAGGCCCAGGGTCAGCAGTTTGGCTTCTCGGGCCTGTGGTCCTGCAGCCAAGGCCAGAGCGAGTGGGCGCGCACAGCCTGGGGCCCCAAAATGGTTCAGGGATGCAGGCGGCAGCAGGTGAGGCCCAGGGGCCGTCATGCACCCGGCCAGGTCTAGGCGAGTCACTGGCCGGGGCTGCCCACATCCGGTCCCTGCTGGTGCTCTGGAAACCTGGAGGGGGCAGGAAGACCTGGGCAGCCCCAGGTGGGAAGACTGTCCCCCCAGAATGTTTCCGAGGGACATCGGAGTGTGATTGTCTGAGACTGGGGCTCCAGGCAGCAGGAGAGACGGAAGGTGAGTGAAAAGGTAGCCAGGACCGTGCAATAGAGAAAGAATGCGCAGGGAAGGGGCTTCGCCTGGGAGATCTCCCTTGTGCATGCACATGGACGGACGCACACACACACACACACACACACACACACCCTTGGGTGGCCCCTGACGGCGCAGTTGAGAGCAGCAGAGTAGCCAGCCACCACCACCCGGTCTGGCAGCGGCGTCAGGAACTTGGGAGGCGTCCGGAAGTCGTGCTCCTTGTAGGCCAGGGGTTTGAAGGACAGATCTGGGAGTGGGGGGAAGTGCGCCCATCAGGCCACCCCTCCTGACAGTCCCCCTACCACCGTCCTCTGTCACTAGGTGCCATCAACTTTTGAATGGGGGGGAGGGTAGTGGGGGGGTCCCACCTGTCTTGAGGATCTTGGCCGTGTTCTTGGAGACCCCAGGGGTGTCGCTGAGCCCGCAGATGTTCTCGCTGAAGACGCGGAAGTAGTACTCGTTGCCCACAATGAGGTCAGACACGGTGCAGTGGGTGGGCCGGTTGTGTTCGTAGACGTTGAACCACTCCTAGCGTGGGGACACAGGCAACAAGGGTTGCCACCAGAGGGTGAGAGAAGCACACCCAGGCACGTGCCACACGGAGCAAACACACTATTCACAGCAGTGGAGCTCCCCACGCACCCCAAATGTCCTGCAAGGGATGGCTGGAGAAAAAAATAGAGTAGCTTCGCATTGTGGAGTATTACTCAGCCATGAAAAGGAATGAAGGGCTGATGTGTGTTCCAATGTGGAGGGACCTTGGAAGCAAGATGCTAAGTGACAGAAACTAGACACAAAAGGCTACATAGCACATAGCTCCATTTATATGAAATACACAGAAGACTCGAGTCCACAGAAAGGAAGCAGGTGCTGACTGCCTGGACTGGAGAGGGGCAGGGGCAGGGAGTGGCTGCTTGTTTCTCTTCGTATTTTTTAAAAAGATTTATTTATGCATTCAAGAGCTGGGGTACAGGCCGGAGATGCAGGGGGTGAGAGGATTCACTCACCAGAGACAGAATGTGGAACAGAACAGACTGACTGAAACAGGCAGACTGACTGAAACACACTGCTGAGGGGAGCAGCAGGGGGCAGGAGAGGTCTGCTGCCCCATGTGGGTAGCTCCCTGGCCGGGGACGGAACCCACGCTGCAGTGGCTGCGGACAGCTTCATAGTGCTGACACTTAGCCCCTGCGCCACCAGGGAGGCCCCTCTCCACGTTTTTATTTTTCCTTTTGGGGAGTGACTGAACACATCTGGCGTTTCCGAATGATGGCACTGCCCAGGAACTAGATGGAACATGCCACACCTTCAAGTGTTGCTGGTTTTGTTATACCAACTTTGCCACAATGTGAAAAAAAAAAAGAAAAATTCGCGCACCTCTCTCCACCCAAAGGCGATACCCCAGCGGTTCCCCCAGTCGCCATGCCTCTGGCTCCTGGCTATGGAATCAGGACACGCGCCCAGCTTTTCTCCCCCAGGCCCACCGCGGCCCGCCTGCCTCTCACCATGGTTTTCTTGTCGGCTTTCTGGATGAAATACCCGGTGACCTCGCTGTTGCCGTCATCCCTGGGGGGCTGCCACTCCACCAGCGCATTGGTGCCCCACACCTCCTTCACCATCACGTTCTCGGCCGGGCCCGCTTTCTCTGGCAGGTGGCATGGGGGGTGAGCGCAGGCCCAGACCCCCCCACCGTCCGCTTCATCGCCTCCTCGCCCCCCTCCGACCTCCCAGGCCTCCCAGGCGCCCACTTCCTCGCCTTCCGGCGCCAGGCCAGCCTCCGCGCCCCCTCCCAGGCCAGCCTCGCCCCACGCGGCCCACTGCCCGGCCCAGCCCAGCCCAGCCCAGGCCTCGGCGCGCGCACCCACGACGCGGATGCGGATGGTGGCCTCGTCCTTCATGTTCTCGATCTGCACGCTCAGCTCGTACTCGCCCGAGTCGGCGCGCGCGGCCTGGCGCACGAAGAACACGGTGTCCAGGTCTGTGGTCCGCACGTGCACGCGGCTCGCGTCCAGGGGCGCGCCCGCCTTGGTCCACACCACCTGCGGCCGGGGCTTCCCCTGCGCGGCAGCGGGGGCGGCTCAGCCGGGGTGACCGGCGGAAGCGCCCGGGCCCCGACCCCACCCGACCCCGCTCGGCACCTGGAAGGGGACCACGAGGTTGATGGGCTCCCCGACTTGGCGGATGTAAGTCTGGCGCAGGTGGCGGGGGAGGCGGATCTTGGGTTGCTCTGGGGGCGCAAACACAGGGGGCGGCTCAGCGGGGCCCGGGGGGGGGGGGGGAGGCACCCCAGGGAGGAAGAGAGGCGGCGGCCGAGGCCCTTGCGGGAGGACCGTATGGTGGCCAACAGGGCGGGTGGGGCGACGCCAGCTCGGTCTTTGGGCTAGCGGGGCGGGCCGGGGCGCGCACCCACAATCTCCCGGATGGTGACGGGCTGGGCCAGCGTGGCCGGCTCGCTGCGCCCCGCGATGTTGACCCCAACGACGCGGAAGGTGATTCTCGCTCCGGTGGGGAGGTTCTTGACGGTGAAGCCGCAGCGCTCCACGGGCTCCGTGTTCGCGGGAAGCCACTCCTCGGCTAGGAGAGAACAGCCGCCCGGCCTCGGTCTCCAGGGGCCGCCCCCTCCTGAGAGGGGCGAGGGCAGGAGGCGAGCGCAGGGGTGGGGCCGGACGAGCGCCTGCAGTCCCGCCTCTTGGGCAGGTCCTGCTGGGGGGGGCAGTGTGGGCGGGGCCGGTGGGGAGGCGAGTGTGGGGGTGTGGGCGGGGCCGGCATGGGCGGGGCCGGTGCGGGAGGGGCCGGTGTGGGAGGAGCAGGTGTGGGAGGAGCAGGTGTGGGAGGAGCAGGTGTGGGAGGGAGCCGTGTGGGAGGAGGGCCGGTGTGGGAGGAGCAGGTGTGGGAGGAGCCGGTGTGGGAGGAGCCGGTGTGGGAGGGCCGGTGTGGGAGGGCCGGTGTGGGAGGAGCCGGTGTGGGAGGGAGCCGGTGTGGGAGGAGCAGGTGTGGGAGGAGCCGGTGTGGGAGGAGCCGGTGTGGGAGGGGCCGGTGTGGGAGGGGCCGGTGTGGGAGGGGCCGGTGTGGGAGGGGCCGGTGTGGGAGGAGCAGGTGTAGGAGGGGCCGGTGTGGGAGGGGCCGGTGTGGGAGGAGGAGGTGTGGGAGGTGTGGGAGGAGCCGGTGTGGGAGGAGCCGGTGTGGGAGGGGCCGGTGTGGGAGGGGCCGGTGTGGGAGGGGCCGGTGTGGGAGGAGCCGGTGTGGGAGGGGCCGGTGTGGGAGGAGCAGGTGTAGGAGGGGCCGGTGTGGGAGGGGCCGGTGTGGGAGGAGCAGGTGTAGGAGGAGCCGGTGTGGGAGGGGCCGGTGTGGGAGGAGCCGGTGTGGGAGGAGCAGGTGCGGGAGGGGCCGGTGTGCGGGAGGGGCCGGTGTGGGAAGGGCCTGCCCAAGGCCGGCTCTCCAGGAGCGGGATCTGAGCCCTGGGGCTTGAGGGCGGGCGCTGAGGCTTGAGGGCCACAGGTGAAGGGAAGGAGCGGGGGAGTGGCCACCCCCATCGTGCCCTGCCTCGGCCTCTGCTCTGAGCGGAAGGCACTGCCCGGTCAGGCAGGGCCGAATCCGCATCTGTCTGGTGCGGCCCGGGGTGGGGAGGGGGGCGGTGTGGACCCGTCCCGGCTGTCCTCACGGCGCAGTGACCACGGCAGCCGTGTCCTCAGCCACAGCCCTCCCGCCCGCGGTTGTGGGGTGTGGGATACCCTGGAATACAGGGGGGCAGGCGGACATGCCATGGGGCGTGGGTACTGACAATGACTGGGCGGTCACCCAGGCGGAAGGCCGAGGTGAAGAAGTACAAATGGGTGATGAGAGGGTGGTGAGAGGGTGGTGAGAGGGTGCTCCCGGGTGGTAGTGGGATGATCTGAAAGGCTTCGGGGTCGAGGGGTGGTTGGCCGGATGGGCGTGAAGAAGGCGGGAGAAGGAACCCCGGAGAGAAAGGGAGGGAGGGAGGAGGGGCATGTGCGCAGCTGTGGGCAGAGATGGAAGATGGAGGGTGAAGGGGAGCGCCGTGGGAGGGGAGCGCAGGGGCGGCAGGAGGGCGAGGGAGGGGACAAGCACGTCAGGGCCTGGCTTGGTCCCCCGGGGAATCAGGTACCCTCTCGCCCTGGATCGCCCCGTGCCCCCTGGGGACCATCCCCGCTCGGGCCCACGGCTGCAGGCGCGGGCGAGGCACTCACAGCCCTCCAGGCAGTACTCCACCAGGTAGCCATCGATGCCGCCCGCCCCGATCCTGTCCGGGGGCCTCCACTTGAGGGTGGTGGTGGTGTCCGTCACGTCCTCCACCGTCAGGTGCTGGGGCCTGCTGGTCGGTGCTGCCGGGACCAGGACAGGGAGCGGGTGAGGAGGGTCGGCTGGCGGGGCAGGAGGCCGAAAGGGACGGGCGCGGGGAGCGGGCGGGCGGGGGCGCGGGGTGGGCGTGGGGAGCTGTGGGTGAGGGGACGGCGGGGCGCGGGCGGCCCACCGATGGGCATGAAGGGCTGGCTGTTGACGCTGGGCTGCGAGACGCCGATGGCGTTGACGGCGAAGACGCGCATCTCGTAGAGGACGCCCTCGATCATCTTGGTGGCCTCGTAGGTGGTCTCCGTGAACACCTCAAAGTTCAGCTTCATCCAGCGCTGAGAGCCTTTCTTCTTCCGCTCCACGAGGTACCCTGGATGCCCCCAAGTGGAGAGAAGCGGGGGGTCACAGGTCACAGGTCAGAAAGGGCATTGGGGGTCACATGACCCAGAAGAGGTCGAGAATCCTGGGCGATCGCAGGGTCACAGAGCGGTCATAGGCCCCTCCTCATAGGGTGGGGTAAAGCAGGGTCACAGGTCGGGGTCACAGAAAATGCCGCTGTTGACCACAGTGAGAGCTCCCGGTTGTTGGAGAGTAGGGAATGATGGGGGAGACCAAGAGGGTCATGAGCGGAGGCGGGTGGAAAACCAGGTCTCAGGGGAGGCTGAGACCCTGGCAGGTCAGGAGGTCGCAGGTCAGAGGGGTCAGAGGTCAGGGTTCATAGGATGCTGGCCCGGGGCGCTCACCTGTGACAGGCTGCCCCCCGTCGTACTTGGGCGGCTCCCAGACAAGGATGGCCCAGTCCTCTCCCACCGAGGTGACGCGCACGTTCTCCGGGGGGTCCGGGACGTCTGGGAAGGCAGGAGAGTCAGGGGGCCCCTCTCCACCTCGGGAGCCCTCACCTGGGCTCAGCCCTCACTCTCTGCTCACCCACAACCTTCAGGAAGAGGGAGGCCACGTCCTCGCCGGCAGGGTTGGTGACCTTGATGGTGTAGCGGCCCTCATCCCCCCGCTCGGCGCTCTCGATCACGAAGCTGCTGGTCTCCAGCCGCTGCTCTATGTGGGTCCTGCCCTCGGTGGCAGAGAACACCTGGACACAGCCCCCCATTGGCCTCTGCCCTCCCTGCTTGGCACCCCTGTGGTTCCCATCCCGGCCCACGGACAGGCCTTGATCCAGCCCAAGAAGATGCCAGATCTACCCCCGGCCTTGTCCTTCCTCCCGCCCACCTCACCCCCAACACCACCGTGTCCTGCCCAAGCCCCACTCCTCTCTCTGCTGTACTCCTACACATCCCTTAGCACCCGCGGAGAGGTCGCCTCTTCCAGGGAGCACTCCTGGATGCCCTCGGCTGACAGTGGTCGCCCATGCCCTGAAATCTCCTAGGCCCAGGACCTCCCTTTATCTCGGCCCCAGTCACCCTGCACTGTGTGGGTATGTGTCTGCCTCGCTCCAGATGTGAAGGCGTCTGGAAGGCAGGGCCTGCGTCTGATTCGTGGCTGTGTCCCGTGCACAGAGCCTGGCATGGGGGAACCTCAGAGTGTTTGCTGAGTGGAGGGGTGAGTGGCGGCTGTGTCAAGTCTATCCATTTTACAGAAGAGGAAACTGAAGCCCAGAGGAGAGAAGAAAAATTGAACTGTCCCCGGGCCTGGAACATACAAGGTGAAAATATCTGTTGGGCGGATGGATGGTGAGCGGGCGGGTGGATGGATGGATGGTGACAGGTAGGTCGAGTGATGGAGAAATGGACAGATTAATTATTGATGAGTGGATGGCTGCATTAATCAATCAAGTAATTGATGGGTGAATTAATTACTACTAGATGGCTGGCTTGGCCGAGTGGTTCGTTAGTGGACAATGAATGGAGGGATGGAGCGCCCCCACCCTCCACCCCCCGCCCCCTGTGCTAGGTCCCTACCGCGTGACAGACACATCATCTCCAGTCAGCAAAACAGGCCTCTGGAGAAGGAATCCTCATCCTCACTTTACAGACCGTGAAATGGAAGCCCAGAGAGGGGGAGCGACGTGCCCAAAGCCGCAGAGCAGAACGGAGAGGGAGAAAAGTCAAGGTACAGGGGCGCCCCATACCTCATCTCCCCTCAGCCAGGTGGCGACCGGAGGGGGTTCCCCTGTGATGGCCACGTCCAGCCTCAGCTTGTTTCCAGCCACAACCACAATAGAATTCTCGGTGGCCTTTCCCGAGCAATCCAGGTGTATCTTCGGTGGCTCTGATGGCAGCGAAGAGACACGGGGGAACGTGGGCGTGGGCACCTGGGCCGTCCAGTCCCAGCAGAGGGCTCCCTGAGATGCAGGCCTCCAACAGCAATACCCGCTCGGCCCGAGGTCCCCTCAGACCTGGGGGTCCAGGCCCCAGCTCCTCCCTCAGACCCGGGGGTCCAGGCCCCGCCTCTCCCTCAGACCCGGGGGCCCCCCCGGTGCTTACCTTGCTTAGGGACATACTCCACCTTGATTTCTGGAGGACAGAGAAGGCTGGAGGTTAGGTGCGCAGCCAGGAGGCCCCATATCCCACCCTCACACCCCAGCAGGAGAGGCTCAGGGGCGGTCTCAGGCCGTGAGTGTCCCCGTCCACGTGTCCCCGGAGAACATGGGGCTCCCTCTGTCTTCTCATCCGACCCCCGTGAGAGGGACAGATGCCGGCGGTCACCCCAATGCAGTTAGGGAAGGAAGCCCGAAGGGACGTCTGGCTGAGGGAGGCGGGTGCTAAGGCCCCGGGGGCCAGAGGGTTCTTCACCCAGGAAGTTGAGCTTGGCCGAGAGGGACAGGGCGTAGCCGTCGGGCACAAATGTGTAATCAGCCTCATCCTCGGGTCGCACGTCATCGATCACCAGCTTGTGGATCCTGAGGGGGGCGCGGGATCAGGCCGGGTGGTTCTGGGGACACCACGGAGGGGCGCCCTCCTTCCCCGCCCCTTTTTTTTTTAAAGATTTATTTTATTTATTTGTGCATAAGAGCTGAGGTGCAGGCCAGTGATGAAGAGGGTGAGAGGATTCCCCAGAGACAGAGTTGGGAGCAGAACAGGCGGATCTAATGAAACCCACTGCTGAGGGGAGCAGCGGGGAGACAGGAGAGGTCTGCTGCGCCATGTGGGTAGCTCCCTGGCCGGGGATCAAACTCATGCTGCAGAGGCTGCGGACAGCTTCATAGTGCTGAGACTTAACCCCTGCGCCACCAGGGAGGCCCCTCACCTGCCACTTTATTCCTGGTTTGGGAATGCTCTCACCCGGCTTCCGGTCTCCCTGCCGCCTGCTAGCTGTGTGACCGCGGGCAAGTCCCCTACCCTGTCTGTGCCTCAGTTCAGCTAGAGAGTCAGAATAGTGCCTATGTGGACTCTAAAGACACAAAACAAGGGAGCAAAAAAAGCAAACCAAACCCTTGAGATCTGAGGTCAGAATGGAGGCCACCTGTGGCGGGGGGTGACAAGCTGGGGGGGGCGCAACCCTGCAGTGGAGGGTCATGGGTGCTTTGATGATGGGCGTGGATAAAATGGGAGTGACAGTGACCCTGTGCGCCTGGGCGGTTGTGAACAACTGGAGAAGCCTTGGGCGCGTGGCATGGTATTAAGATTCACTAGGACCTTGCAGCCAACGACTTCCTCTACCTGGTAGAATGTGCCAGAAATGCTCCCAGCCCAGAATGTGCCAGAAATGCCTCCAACCCAGGCTGTGGCGGCCTCGTACATGTCCCCTCTCCCGGGACCCCTGCTTCTGCCAGGCGAGCATGTCAGGCAAGAGAGGGGGACAAGAGGGGCCACCCTGGTGGCACAAGGGGTTGAGCGCAGCGCTGTGAAACTATCAGCAGCCTCTGCAGCGTGGGTTCGGTCCTCGGCCAGGGAGCAACCCACACAGCACAGCAGACCTCTCCTGTCTCCCCACTGCTCCCCTCAGCAGTGTATTTCTGCTCCCCACTCTGTCTCTGGTGAGTCCTCTCACCTCTGGCCTGTACCCCAGTCCTTGTATGCATAAATAAATCTTTAAAAAAAAAGAGGTCACAGGGCCTCCCCTGGTGGCGCAGCGGTTGAGCGCTGGGTTGCGAGGCTGCCCGCAGCCTCTGCAGCGCCAGTTCGATCCCTGGCCACCGGCGAGGGGCCCACAAAAAAAAAAAAAAAGAGGTCACAAGGGCTGAAACAGGCATCCTGACTGCCCTGGGGGGTCCCGATGGCATCCAGGCAAGATGGGCAGGGCCAACGGGCAGCTGACCACAGTGGCAGGAGAGAGGCTGCTCCAATCAGCCGCCCCAACCACACCACAGATGAGATGCAACACGGGCAGGCGTGGCTCAGTGGTGTTTCGGCAGCATCATGCCACCCCTGTGACCAGTCCCCCCAGGCCGGGCCCCTCGCCCAGGTAGGAGGCGGTGCCACCATGTAACCACATGCAAGGACGCCGGCCTGGCAGTGGCGCTGCCTCACGGAAATTCCTCAGACTGTCCGTCATTAAGGGACACCCGAGTGTACGTCTTGGTCTGTGAAGCCCCCAGTCTGGGGTCATCAGCACGCAGGGTGCCCGCACCTACCTCCCCACGTGGGAGATGGTGATCCGCTTGCTTGGCCGCACCTCCACCCCATTCTTGTACCACTTGCCGGTCACCTTCTCGTCTGACACCTCGCACTTGAACACGGCCTGGTCGGAGGCCTTCACTGTCAGGTCCGCGATGTCCTGCAGCACCTCCAGCTGCTTCTCTGGGGATGGGGGGGGGGCTCTCACAACGCCAGCCAGTCGAGGGTAGTGAGCACCCTCCCTGTGCCCAGGACTATCCCAGGCGCTGGGGGTGCGCAGCCCCGCTGTCAATAGCCCAGAGACTGCACTGGCCTCTTGGAGCTCACGGGTAGTGGGGAGACATGGAACTGGTTTATCAGGGGGTGCAGCGGCATGTGCAGCAGCCCTGAGGAGGCCAGCATGAGCAGAGCAGGTGGCAGGGCAGGCGGGGGTGGGGGCTGTCGTGCCCCTACCTTCCACGATGAGCTCAGCCTCGCACTGGCCGCCGTTGGTCATGACCTGGAAGCGACCGCTGTCCTCCAGGGACACGTCCGAGTAGATGAGTATGTGGCGCTTGCCGTCCTTCTTGAAGCGGTACCGGGCCTTGTAGGAGTCCTCCCGGGTTATCTCCACCCCATCTTTCATCCTGGGGGGAGAGGGGGCAGTGAGGGGTCTCTTGGCCCGGGTCTGGGTTTCAGAGGGTGTCAGGGGCCGGACAGTCCAGAGAAGAGGTCAGGAGGGAGGTCATGGGTCATCGGTGAGGGTCAAGGAAAGAGGAGGAGAGGAAGTCACAGGTCTCAGAGGGGCCAGTTGGAGGTCGGGACACAAGAGGCCCCGGGGAGGGTCAGAGGATGGAGGAAGCTCAGTGCTCAGAGATGCCAGATGTCGTGGTGTGCCCCCCCGAGACTCCACCCACCCCACTTCCACCTCCTCATCACACAAACCTCAGCTCCATTGTGACCTCCTCTAGGAAGCCTCCCGAGGCCACGGCATTAGATACTGCCCGTCTGAAGTGCTGGTCCAAACAGAGTGTTTATCTGTGTTTGACTTGACTAGAGCCTGTCCCCACCTCCTCCATGAGCCCCAGCTGCGCCCACATCACGCGCTTCAGGCTGCTACATCTCTTCCCCGGTATCCCCACTGTGTGGAGAGCCGCCGCGCAGCAGGTGCTCGGAAAATAGTGTTGGGCGAGTGAACAGATGCAGGAATGAATGAGTGGGTGGTAGATGAGTGGGTGGGTGGGTGGATGATGGATGTGTGGATGGATGACGGATGGATAACGGTTGATGGATGGATGATGGATGGGTGGATGATGGATGGGTTGGTGAGTGGATGGATGATGGACAGGTGGGTAGATGATGGATGGATGATGGGTAAGTGAATGGATGATGGATGGATAAATGATTTAATAGATCTGAAATATCAGGGACCTGGAAAAGGACCCTGAAGAGGCTGTAGATTCTAGGAATTTGTAGAGAAGTTAGTGCCTTTAAGAGAAAAAAAATGTTTTTGAAATTCTAGGAAGAGCTCATAGGTGAAGGTAAAGTCTCCTGGTGCCTGCTGGGGCAGGTCAGAAAACTCCAAGAGACGCCGTAAAGATCACAGCCCAGGCCCCGGCCAACTGGAGGCCAGGGGTCAAGAGTCACTTACCACATGAGCTGGGCGCCCTCTTCTGACACCTCCACTGCCATTTCTACCCGGTCACCCACATACACCTGCTGGTCCTCAAGGGGCTTGACAATCAGGACTGGAGGTTCTGGAGGGTGATTGGGGGGTGGGGGGGTGGAAGGTCAGTAGCGGCAGAAACCCCCCTCCAGAGCTCCGTTCCCCAAGCTCAGGTCCAGATGAGTCCTGGCCTCACCTTTGACAAAGAGCTCAGTGAAACACTTCTCGTCCTTGACGGCGACCTCATAAGCAGAATCATCCGCCAGCGTGCACTTGTTGATGGTGAGAATTCGCTTCTTACCAACATTCTCAAACACGTACCTGTTGCACAAGGCTCCGCTCAACCCCGGGCTGCGGCAGATCCCAGCCCTGGGTGGGGCCCGAGCCCGGGGGTAGACCTGCCCAGCAGTTCTCAGGGAAGCCTTTCCTCCCGGAGCCGAATTGTGCAGGAACTGGCTCAACTGCTACTATCCTGGTAATCACGGAGGACACGCTAACTGTCCACCCTGTCCTGTCTGGCCGCGCACAGGGCTGCCCAGCTAGAGAACTACATTTCCCAGCCTCCTTTGCGGCGGTGGCCGCACGCTCTGCGTGGCCCAGGGCGGTGGGCGTGGACGTGAGGGTCGTGATGGCCGCTCCCTGCTGCCCCTGCCTGTCCAGCAGACACAGACACGCCCGACACCCGGCTTCAGTGATGCCCGTGAGGACAAAATATGGGACCTGGTCCCCCAAAGGCCCCGGCGAGGAGAGCCAGGCAGCCCGCCCGCACCAGGAGAAGGACGACCTCTAGCTGCTCCCGGTGGGGCCTCACAGTAAACACCTGCAGTGTGCGCCCTGGAGGTGCTGCACCCCGCGCCTGCTGGCGAATGGCGACCTGCCCTCAGGGAGCGCCTCTGTGCTGTGGCAGCATTTTGAAAAGTCTGCCCAGTCGAGGAGCAGAGACTATTGAGTTGCTGTGTCATCGTCACCATCGTCACAGCTGACCCTGAACAACACAGCGGGTGGGGTGCCAAGCCCCCCACGTAGTCCAAAACCCACGACTCTCCCAGAACTCAACTACGAGACCTGCTGTTGGCCGGAAGTGTCAGGGCCACCCCCATGGGTGAACAGCGACCCTGCAGGTCCCGTGGCACACACGCGCTGCGTGTGCTCTGTGCACGTGTCGTGAGACTACGCACAGCGAGGCCAGCCAGAGACGGGGCCGTCACAAGGCAATCAGAAGGAGGGACAGTGACAGCCTGGACTGGGCTGAGCGACACAGAAGCTGACCTGGCCCCACACGTCTTCCAGGACACAAAATGCCCTGGATGTCCATGTGTCTGACTCACCCTGGGCTTCAAAACGGAAAAGGCGACGTGACAGAGACATGCGTACTTGCTGCTCGGCTTGATCTCCTGGCCGTTCTTGTACCACTTGAGGGGAAGGTCTGGGTCGCTGATCTCCACCACCAACTTGACCTTGTTGCCCCTGTCCACTTGGTAAGCGGGGTCCAGCTTCTTTGTGAAGGCTAGAGATTGAGGGATGTGGCGGGGGTGGAGATGAGGGATGCTCCCTACCTGGGCCACCCCAGACCCACCAAGTCTCTCTTCCCGGACTCTCCAAGGTCAAGGCCAGGAAGCCTCCTATGAAGTTGGGGGTTCTTGAAAACGGGGCTCTATGACACCTCAGATTGGGGCCTCCAAAAGCTAGGTCCAGGGCCAGACAAAAGATACCCCTCTCCCCTCGGGCCAGCGCTGACCTGCACTCTTCTTGACCTCGACCTTGGCCTTCTTGAGCCGCTTGAGCATGCCCCGGAGGTCGGTGATGCCGTACTGGAAGGCGATCTTCTCATACTCGCTCTTCTTGGTGGCTCCTTTGAGGAGTTCCCAGATCTCAGGTGGGATGCCGAGGTCGTCTTCATCCTTCTTCTTCTTTTTCTCCTCCTCAACCACCTCCCTGAGGGTGAGAAGAGCAGGCCGCAGCCACCGTGGGGGTCTCCCTCTGCCTTCTGTGCCTGCTTGCTGTGTGACTTGTCCCGGTCACCTTTTTAGTACAGTGACCTCTCTGGGTCTGCACCATCTCTATCTTCTCCTGCCTGGACCATATCTATTCTCTCCTGCCTGGACCATCTCTATTCTCTCCTGCCTGGACCATCTCCCGAGCCTCCTCCATGGTCTCCATCCAGTGTCTTCTCTACCAGTGTGTCCCCTCACATGGCCCAAGTGGGGTAGTTCTGACACCCACATTAGCTGCCATCCGTTTCCTGCTCAAAACTCTTCCATGGCTCCCTAACCCTCAGGAAGCCCTGGTCACTTAGTCTGATAATCCCAGCCCCGTCCAGGTCCCATCACACCCCTGCAACCGTCCAAACCATGCTACTTGCCTTCCCCTGAACTCCCTGGGCTCTCTCCCTCCTCCCAGACTCTGCAAACAGTATTTCTCTGCCTGGACAACCCCTCCCATGTCTGCTTCCTGCTGGACTCCTCTCCATCTTACAAGACCTAGTGACAAAGCCCTCTCTTCTGGGGGTGGGGACACTCCTGTCTTCCCAGACAATGAATTCTCTCTCTCTCTCTTTGGGCTCTCGTGGCCCAGTGGGCCCCTCTCTGACCACGCGAGATGCTCCTGGTCTGTGTCCAAAACTGTTGAAACAGACCCATCTCACCAAGGCAATGCCCAATCGGTGTCAGGAATCCAGTCAAACTTCTCTGCCCCCTGATCTCAGCCCAGGGCCTCAGAAGTTGTTTGACAGGTGAGAGAGTGAGGAGACTTGAAAAATAGGAAAGAGGGATGGGGACCCCAGGGAGGATAGAGCAGTGGGTGAATTGGGGGGCACGTGGATATTTGGACTGAGAAAAATACAGATGGGGGGCTGATGAGCAGAGGGCTGGAGGGGTTGCTGGGCAGCTAGGCTGAGGGACAGGTGAGTGGAAAGATCAATGCATGGGTGGACGGGTGGGTGAAAATGTTGAGTGGTGGCTGGGAGAGTATGTTCATGGAAGATGGCTGCGTGACGACAAACAGATGACTCTAGAAATACGCAGAGTTGTGGGGATTTGCTGTGGGGTAGGTGAGTGAGAAGGAAGACTAACAGACAGTACATAGGTGTACGAGTAGACAAGCACCGCGAGGATGGCATGAAATGGCCAACGTCCAACCATGTTGACCTGCAGAAGGTCACTTTTGTGTGGATTCATCTATCGGGGTAGATGAATGTGGATTATTCTATCAGGGTGGACGAATGTGGATTAATCTAGCACGTGGAGGAATGTGGATTAATCTGTGGGTGGAAGAATGTGGATTAATCTATGGGGTGGACGAATGTGGATTAATCTATCGCATGGAGGAATGTGGATTAATCTGTTGGTGGAGGAATGTGGATTAATCTATCGCGTGGAGGAATGTGCATTAACCTGTGGGTGGAGGAATGTGGATGAGTCTATGGGGTGGACGGATGTGGATTACTCCGTCGGGTGGGAAGGTGTGTCACTGAAGAGGTGAGCAGTGGGTAGAGAAATGGGTGGCCGCTGAGCTCGGCTGGGGAGGGGTGCAGGTACGGATGGACAGACAGGTGGAAAGCGGGGGAGGGTGGCGGGCAGGCAGCGGGATGGCTGCCTCTGTAACGGGGAAGCGGAGGATCTGCGGGCGAGGGTGGCGGAGGCCCTCAGGAGCGGATGGCTGAGTGTAACGGCAAACGGGGAGACGATGCTGGGCAGACGTGCGGGGGTGTGGTAGAAGGACGGACAGACGGACAGGTCAGCGGGTGGATGGACTGGCAGGCGAATAAATAGGCAGCTGGTTGGAGGGATGGACGGTGCACAGAGTGATGGGTGGCAGGGTGGGCCAGTGGATGGAGGGATGGCTGGACAGATGGAAGGCTGGATGGTTGGAGGAGTGAAGAGCTGGGCGAGGAGGTGAGCCGGAGCCGGAGTAAACAGGAGAGCGGGTGTGAAGACACTGGGAGGGCGGGAGGGAGGGAGGGCGGGCAGGTGCATGGTGGGCAGATGGCGGGGGGTGAGTTTGTCACTAGGGGTCTGGGCGGGTGGGCACGTGAGTGGGTGGGCAGTGGGTGGAGGGTAAGCGGGCAGTCCTGCTGGCAGTGAGCAAGCAGCCAGGTCACAGGGCCTCCCCTCCCACCCCCTCTGCCTTGCGCTCCTCGTCCCCCGGCCACGCCAGCTGGCTGCGCTCACCTCTTCTTCAACAGGCTGCTGAAGTCCAGCTCACCCGCGTCTTCTGACTTCCCTTCATCCCTGTGGCCATGGAGAGAGGGGGTGAGCCCCAGTGAGATCTTGTCCCCGCAGACTCATCCTGGGTCCCCTCTCTTCGCTTCCCTGGCCCTCTTCTCCCCCTGCTCCCTCTCCCAAGGGAGCACCTCCCACAGTCTTTGGAGCTAGGAGGGACCCTCTGCCAGGGCGCAGGGCCACTTACGAGCGCCTGAAGCTTTCTAGACCCTGTCCAGAGGTGTCCTCACGGTGTGCTGGGAAAGACAATGTGGGGAGGGGTAGTGAGCTGTGGCAGGCCTGATCTAAGACCAGGAACACCCCTTCAGACCTGCACAACCTCCCCCAGACCTCTCTATCACCACCTCTTGAACCAGCACATCCTGTCAAGCCTGGACACTCTACTTCTAGACTAATTTTCATGGCTGCCAGGCATCACCCTCTCTCAGCAGCCCATAGCCCTTCACACATGGATCAGCCTGGACAATCTCGTTCCCTGTGCCCATGCTATTTAAGCCCCCACATATCCTGGGCTGCAGGTCCCTAGAACCTGTACACACTCATGGCTCCATATACATGGCCCCAAATCTGGGTCATCTCCTATTAATCCTCTATGCCCCTAAGCCCGCCCACCCTTGCTCTCTTAACCGGGACACTCTTACTTCCCAAGCTTTTACTGCTGCTTTCTCAAGCCTGGACACTGAGATCCTGGCATCCACATAATTCACCTCCTGATCCTTCTCATGCACTCCACAAAAAACTGAACCCTTTCATCCTCAACTTTGAATACCCTGAATCCTGAATCTGTACCCCTGCCTCCAAAAACCTGCGTCTGCCTCACGCCCACATCTATTCACTCTCCTACCCCTGGCTGATACATCCATCTCTCCCACCCCAGACCCAGACCACTCAGCCACCACCCCTGCCAGCACACCCTCCACATCGATGTTGAAGCCACAGCTGTCACAGACGTCCTTGGCTTTGACTTCGAGACGGTAATCCCCACGGTCCCCCAGTATCACCTTCCCAATTCTCAGCTCCAAGGTGTATACCTGGGGGTGAGAGCCAGGGGGGTGGGTGCACGTGACCACCGCCCAGTGCCACCCACCACCCCTGGAGCCCATGTCACAGCCTTCTGAGTCCTCCCCTCACACCTCAGGAGGGGCCACTGAGACCTAGAGTGAGGAACTAGAGATGGCGGCACCATCTTTCCCCAGGCCAGGACAGTCTTGACCACTGGAGGCCCTTGTCCCTGACCCTGAGACCTTTCTTAGAAGGCACACTCCATCCCCAAGAGCACCCTGCTCCAACCCAAACCTTCTCCCCTCCAGCCCATGCCCGCACCACCTCTACCAAGCAGCCCTGCACAAACTCCAGCCCCACCAGCTCCGGGTCCACTGCTATGCCTCAGACGACAGGGCTTGTGGGAAGAGAGCTGCACAACGTCCAGCCCCCGCCCTCATGCCTGGGGACCCCAGAGGGTTCTCACATTGCTGGCAGAGTCGTGAGACTCCTTGAAGGTGAACCGGGCCCCGCTCTTGCTGCCCAGCTCCAGCCACTTCCCCTTGAACCACTTGATGGTGGGTTTGCCTGGGAGCTCCTTCCCGTTGATTTTGGCCACAATCACTGCATCCTTTCCTGGGAGCGAGGGGATTTGAGAGAGCAGGGAGGGGTGAGAGCAGTGGTGGGGGGCCCTAGACTCGACCAAGAGGAGTGTGACTTCAGGGGCTCCCGGACGCCTCCCTCAGCCCCGGGAGTCCAGCCCCCGGCCCCTCCCTCAGGCCCCCATTACCAGCCTCCACCGACACAGAGTCCGGCTTCTTCAGGAACACGCCGGTGGGCTCTTCGGCAGTGGGGGACTGGTCCTCAGGCGGGGCTTCTGCTCGGGAGATAGGATTGGGGGACTGGGGCGGCTGGGAGGGGGGCGGTAGACCGTGTTGGGGACAGTGCCTAGAGCCAGTGAGTGACCTTCTGTTCAGAAGCCACAGACGGTGGAGAAAGTGGCGTTTCCTCCCCGGGAAAGGCCCGGATCACCAGGGGACGCGTGACTTGGGCAGGCTTCTCCCCCACACCTGCGGCCCTCAGTTTCCCCCTGTGAACTCGAGGGCGGTGGGCCGGCTGGTCTGGAGCGGGTCTTTGGAGTAGGAGAGGTGTGAGGACAAGCCGGGCTGTCAGAGCCGGGCAGGAGCGGGAGCTGGCCAGCCCGGGGCGGGGTCTGTCCTGGGGCACCCGGGAGCCGCAGAGGACCGTGAGCAGGGAGAGGAGGGTCAGCTCCGGGGCCTCCAGGAGGACGGGAAGGGTACAGATGAGCGAGGGAGCACGGAGGATGGGATGCCAGGTTCTGCTGGGCTCCGGGGAACTCCGGCTCACCTTTGGGGAGCTCTTCGGGGGCCTCCTTGGGGGCCTCTTCCTTGGGAGCTGGTTTGGCAGCCTCTTTGCCTTTGGGGGCCTTTTTGGCGGCCGCTGTGAGGCAGATGATCACAGCTCTGGTCTTCCAGACCCGGGGTCCAGCCCCCCAACTCCTCCCTCAGACCCGGGGTCCAGGCCCCCAGCCCCCCCTCCGCAGAACAGGAGTGCAGCCTTGTCCAGGTGTAAATTGACCTCTAATCCCGAGAGCCTGAGATCAGGTTTCCTCTGGGCAGCACGCTGTGCCCCATCCACGCAGGCCACCAGGCCTGACCTTTTGGGTCCTGGGGGTAAAATTAGCTCTTCCGCGGTGGCAACCACACGCTTCTCGCTGACACAGCATCTTCACCTGCCTTGCCTGCCGCCTCCTGCTCTGCTGAGGCCCCAGCCACAAAGGGGGGCTGAACCCCCACCCCATAGCCTGGTTGGCCTGGCCCAGGAGACTGCCCCCCAATGGGAGGAGGGGCCCCCCGGGGACTCGGTGTCTTTTGGGTTTACTTCCCCAAAGAGAGAAAACCCCATGTCCATATAAAGAAATACCCTCGGGCCCACGCAAACAAGCACCCCCAAACTGCACATAAATAAGACAGGCCAGCCCTGCTGAGAAGAAACTCTCATTCTTACAGGGGGGAAGCCCAGGCCCTGTAGAAGGGAGGGGCAGGGAAGAGCCCCCCTCACCCCTCATCTCTATGCACACAAGGGCCCTGACCCCCTATGAGAAAGGCCCAGCATTCACTCAGAGCCGGGGCCCCTATTCTACCCAGAACACCCTTTCCTGAATGTAGAGCACCCCACTCACCAGGCAGCTCCCCAACCTACACCAGGGGGCCCCATCCCCACCAAGAAATCTGTCACCCAGAAGCCCCATCAATATCCAGAGATAGGCGCCCCCAACTCCCTATACAGAAGGGAAGTCGCCCCACACAGGGAAGGCGATCCCTCAGCAGACAGCCCCACCCCACACAAGGAGGGAAGCCTTCCCCCCAGCCCCTCAACCCCTGGAGAGAGGCGCCCCGAGTCCCCATTCAGAAAAATCCCCTTTAAATCCCGCTCCTCCGCGGGGAGACCTGGCCCACCTGGTTTTGCCTCAGGCATGTCAGCACTGGCCTCTGTCCTCTGACCCTCTCGCCTGGGCCCGGGGAGGACAGGTGGGCCCCCAGGGGGGCCCTTTAAGGAGTCCAGAGACTCCCAGGAGGCTCTGGGAGGCATCAGAGTGCCTCCCCCACCTCCCCTGCTGCCCCACATTCCATTAGCAAGTTCTAAAGGGCGACAAATAACAGCTGGATGAGGCGCCAAGGCCCAATGCCAGGGCCTGAGGGGGGGTGGGGGCCTGGACTCCTGGTCTGCAGGACCAGGCCCAGGGCCTCCTGGACTCCAGGGGCTGAGGGAGGAGGCGGGAGGCCTGGACCCGGGTCTGAGAGAGGAGGAGGGCTGAGGGCTGGACTCCTGGACGTGGGGACCTGCGGCAGAGGGAGAAGGTGAGGGCCTGGGGGGGGGGAGGGGAGAGGGGGAGGCTCAGAGTCTGGGGGTCTGGAAGCGGGGAGGTCCGGGGAGGTCCGGGGAGGTCCGGCAGCCGGAGCGCTGGCGCGGGGCTGGGGGCAGGGTCTAGGAAGCCATTCTTAGCATCTGCGAGTCAGGAGTTTTCGGGAAACCAGAGCCTGGAGGGAGGGTCTGGTTTCCCAGGGCAGGCAGGTCGGCCGAGGGGGAGGTTTTCGTGCCCGCAGAGAGGACACTGGGGCTCCGGGCTCGCGCGCCCCGCCCCCCGAGTGGGCGCGCCCGGGGGTCACCGCGTCCCCGGGGCTCCAGCCACCTGGGGCCCGGGACTGGCCGCCGCGCCTCCTGGGACCGCGCCCGGCTCCTCGCGACGCTTCCCGGAGCGGGCACCGGCACAGGAGGGGGGTTGCCCCGGCGGGGACGGGCGGGGACGCCGGGAAGGCCCTGGAGGGCTGCCCGGATGCTGGCGCGCTTCCCGGCAGGGACCTGCGGCGCTCGGAGCCGGGTGGCCGGACGCGGGGGGCGGGGGGCGGTGGACTTGGGGGCGGGGGATGGGGCAGAGTCTCGGGGAGACCAGGTGTTCTGGGGAGAAGGGCGAGGTGAGTGTGAGCAGGCGGGATTAAGGAACGCTGGGTGAGGGACCCCACGGCAGGGAAACAAGTACCTCGGGGTTTTCTTCCCGCCTTCTCCGTCCCCCCTCTTTTCCAAAACCCCCTAGGAGCCGGAATCGCGCCCGCCCCCCGGGAGCGCCCAACCAACCCGGAGGCAGCGCCTGTGGGACGTCACGAGTTGCCAGGTGCACTCGCACGCCAGCCCGCGAGCCCCGGGTGGCCGGGGTGACAGCGGGGCGCCCCACCCGCCCTGGCAGCCCCAGGGCTGTATCCGGAGAGAGGGGGACAAGGACGCAGACCGGAAGGGGGGGGGAGGGTGGAGAAGAATGCCGGTGGTCAGGGAGATCAGAATTGGACCGAACCGCCCGTGCACGCGTCCCAAGCCGCTGTGCACGGCCTTCAAGGCGCGGCCCGCCGGCCTCATCGCCTCCCGTCTTGCCCTCCGCGCCCTTGTGTCTCTGAGGACCAGCAGCCCCCCGGGGCACGGCAGCACCCCGCCCCCACAAAGGGTCTTAGGAGGTGTGTTTACCTTGATTTGTTTATTTTATTCCACACATGGGTGATTATAATTTCTGCAAAAGGTGTGTTTGCAAGAGGAGGTCCTGAGGGGACCTTCCGTCCCTTCTTCGTGCCTCCTACCCTGCCCCCACCCTGGGGGGTCTGTCCCTAGAAGGCAGGCAGCCCGGGCTGTGAAGTCGTCGCTGGCTGTGTCCCCCACGAGGACCTCTTCCTTCTCCCGGTGCTTGGAGCTCCCTCTTCTCCCTCCTCCCAGCCACGGGGGGGGGGGGTAGATTTCAGGAGATGCGGCGAACGTCCAAAGAGATTTTGTGATCTTCCTCCTCTCCCCTTTCACAGAAGGGACAAACTAGTCTTTCACCCTAGATCCCAGCCACCCAGGCTGAAGGACCTGGGACTCCGGCGGCTTCAGATGCCCCCTCCCACAAGCCTCCCAGTCCATTCAGGCTTCACCTCCAGCTGAAGTTGGGGCAAAACCCTAAAGTTGGGGGACAAGTGGGCAACTGACAGGGTCTGGAAGTGAGAGAAGCCACGGGGGTGAGACAGGCAGGGGTAGCGGGCACTGGGCAGAGTGGAGAGTGGATGCCTTACTCCAGCCTCTCCACACCCCAAAGCTGGCCCATCCTTGCTGCATTGTGCAAAGTCTCCCTCTTTTGAAATGCCAGCTGTTAACTCGGATCCTCGGATCCCGGTCCAAAGGAACCAGTACAGTCAGAGAAAGCAAACACACCAGGGCCTGATTTACCCCAGGAGGTGTGAACCACCTCTCACTGGGCGCTCACCAGTTAGAAAGGTCAGGGGAGGGCTACCAAGATCACCCAGGAGCCAGCTGTGTGGCCAGAGCCATTCCCTGTCCTTCCCCCACCCCACAACCTGGAAGAGACCTCAGGAGAGGGAGTGTTTCTCCCGGACTGCGGGCTGCTGTGGGGTCTCAGAGGGAGCCAGATATGATAAGGCTCACTGAGATCACCCCCTCTCTGATAGGGGTGATTTTCAGACACGACAAAAGGATCCCAGAGGGGTCCTAGGTGTGATTGGAGTATCCAGACACGACAAAGTGACAGCAAGCTGGTCCTGCAGAATTGGGGGGGGGGGGGTCATCTCAAAAATGACAAGGGGCTGGGGAATAGATAGGACAAGGAAGTCACAGATGGATGCGGACATCTGAGACATGATAAGGGGTTGGGGGAGGCAGACATAACTAGGAGAGCTCAGATTTGACGGAAGGGACCCAAGACTGTACAGGACTTGGGGTTGCTGGCAGCACCTCCCCCCATCCTGTTGAGATGACCTGTGGGCTCCCCCAGATGAGAGGGAGGAATTGCAGAGAGGTCCCGGGCCTGGTTGGGGTATCTCAGACATCACAAGGAGATCCCAGAGAAGCTCTCGGGGTTCTGGAAGCCCTGCCCCGCCACGCTTTAGACAGGCGCCGGGTAGCAGTCTGTGGGTGGGTCCCCTGGCCCACGGCAGGGGGATCCGGGGGATCCTGGGCATGCGAGGAAATCCCAGAGGGGCCCGGCCCAGACCCGCCTGGGGGTCCCAGAGAGCCCCAGACAGGGCTTAGGGATGAAGGGGGCGCCCCTCCCCCACGTGGTGGGGCTCCCCGGGTCCTCTGACCGAGGGCGTGGGGGCGCGGCCGGCGCGGGCGCGGAGCCCCGAGAGCCCCGCCCTGGGCTCAGGCCCGGCGGGCGGCGGGCAGCAGCGCGCTGTCGAACTGGTAGGTGAGCTTGCGCTTCACCTTGCGGATCTCGCCGGTCTTGGCGTAGTTGCGCAGCGCGCGCGCCAGCTTCTGGTAGGTCATGCGCTTGCGGTTGCCCTTCTGCTGGCCCCAGCGCCGCGCCAGCAGCTCCTTGTGCTTCGACGAGAACTGGAAGACCCCGGCGCCCGGCTCCACCCACCACACGCACTCGCGCATGTCCCCGCGCGTCAGCAGCCCCAGCAGGAACTGGTACAGGCGCAGCTTCTTGCGGGCCCCTGCGGGGGATGGGGCGCGTCAGCGGCCACCCCCCCCCCCCCCCGCCCCCCAGCCCCCCGAGGAGCCAGGGCGCCGCGAGAGCCGAGCCGGGTGCAGTTGGATACACCCACCTGGCTCAGTCTGGCCCCGAAATCGGGGCAAATCCCCCCCAGCCCCTGCAGCGGTGGCCCCAGAAACCCCAACCCTCTTCCCTGCTTTCTTTTCCAGGATGGGCGCCTGACCTGGGCTCTGCTCTGTGCCCCGCACAGCAGTCCATGCCCATGCGGGGGAGAATCTGAGTGGGGCCCCTCAGAGGCTTCTTACAGAGACTGACTGCTGGAGAGGACCCCAGAGGGGGTTCAGAGCACCTGGCCAGTTTCTCCAGCTCCGGGCCTTCCAGCCTCCGTCCCAGGAGGGCTGGCGTCGGGGAGAGGTCAGTGGGTCTGACTCTTGGGCTCCTCCAAGCAGCCAGGGCCCCCACGGAGCCTGGGGAGGGTGTCAAGAAACGCACTCTGCCGGTTGCCAGCTGTGTGACCTCGGGGCGCTGACTTCACCTCTGGACTGTGAAGGAGGCCAGCGTGCGTGTGTTGTATTTTTACAAACCTTGGTGAGGCTCCGTGTCAGGGGCTGCCTCGGGAGCTTCACAGCTGTGAGCTCATTCCATGGTCATCTTAACCCCACAAGGGGGGGATGGTGAAAATGACGCCCTTTTTAAAGAAGGGAAACTGAGGCCAGATAGGAAAAGTCACCGACAAGCCCCACTGCCTGGGGTTGAGCACAGGGGTACAGGTGGAAGCACGGGGGGGGGGGTTGTGTGTGTGTGGATACGGGGCTGATGTGTGTGGCTCTGGGGTGGATGATGACAGTGCGCACCCTGTGCCCGGAAGCCCATCGTGTGTACACGGGTCTCCCTCGCCATCTTAAAGTGGCACGGGCCTATTTGGTATGATTAGGGGGGTCCCTTTTGGGGTGTGGGATTGTTCACAACTTTTTCCATAAACATGGAAGGCAGTAGCATTCCTGGACCTGGCAAAGTAATCCACCACATCATGCTTTCAGATAATGGGGGAAACCTGTGTCCTCTTACCTCCCCCATGCCCCAGGAGCCCCAGGAGGGCAGACATCACTGTGGTTCTCTTTGCACAGACAGGAAACCACAGCGCGCAGAGGCAGAGGCACTTGCCCCAGGTCGCACAGCCAGCAGGTGGCAGTCCTGAGAACTGCGGTTGGCCCTGGGTATGCAGTAGGTGCTTGGGAAGCGGTAGCTCCACTTGGGGTTCTCCCCAGCCCCACATACCTGCCTCAGATCCCCTCCCCTCGGGACCAGCCGTGAGGGCCTCATCTGACTCGCTGTCCGAGACCTCCAGGGCAGGACTGTCCAGCAGAAGATCCTCCTCCTCAGAGAGCACGGGGCTGGGGTACGGAGCATAGGTGGGGGGGCCCAGGGTCTGTGGAAGGTCAAGGTCACCTGTGATCCAGGCCCCTTTCTCTGCCCCCCCTGCCGCCGCCTCCTGCCCTGTTTGCAGCCTGCGCTCTGGACTAGGCTCTGGTCTCCTGACAGGACCAGGACTGGGGCCCCGCCCCTCACCTGGCTGGCGAAGTCTTCGGTGGGGTACGCTGGGAAGCCGGGCCCTGGGGCCTCTAGGCTGGGGATGGGGTCGAGACTCCCCGCAGCACTGTAGGTGGAGGGTCCGTAACAGAGCTGGATGCCCTGGGGGTGGCCGAAGGGAACAGCGGACGGGTCGAAGGCTTCATAGGAGGCCGCGGGCACGGGCGGGGCCTCGGTCCAGCCCCACAGGGAGTCTGGGGAGGGGCACTGAGTCAGGAGCCGGCGGGCTGGCCGCCCCTTCCCCCTGCAGCCTGCAGCCTGGGCACAGAGGGCCATTGTGGGGCGTGCAAATCTCTGACCCCAGGATTTGCATGGGAAAGCGGGGTGTGGGGAAGGGGGAGGGGAGGAGGCCTGTGCTCCCCCATCCTGCTGTGCGAGGGACAGCCTGCTCTGGGCCTCGGCTCCCCCAGCTGTGAAATGGGCCCAAGTGGGGGGGCGGGGCAGGATCACTCACCGGGAGCCCCCTCGGAGTCGGGGTAGCCGGGGTGCTTGCAGCTGTCCAGATCATAGAAGACTCCATCTGGGTACTGGTGGGAGGGGTTGGGGGGAGAGGTCATCTGGCTGCAGGGGCCTCTGAGAGGGCGTGGGGAGAGCAGTGAGGAAGAGAAAGAGGCGGATGCAGGAGCTAAAAGACACGGAGACGGTGAGAGAAAGACAGAGAGGGCATGACGGGGGCAGAGAGAGAGACAGGGACTGGCAAACACGACGCGGGTGGGCGCGGGTGGGCGTGCACGGGGACAGAGCTGGGGCGGGGAGGGGGCTGCTGCAGCGAGCGCCCAGACTGCAGGGGACCCCAGCACCGTGGGGCACACCCTCGCGGGTCACAGCGCCCCGTGGAGAGCCCCAGCCTGGCCTGCCCTGGGCGCGGGGTGAGAGGGCTGGGAGCATCCTGAGAGGCAGTCTCGGGGCATCTTTATCGGCCTCCATCTTGCTTCCATTGGCCCCCAGAGGGTGCCCAGGCCAGAGGCTCCTCCCCTGCAGCCTCTCTCCCCCTCTCCCTTGGCCAAACCCCCAAATAGCCTTATTCCAGAACAGTCAGAGTTGCCCTGTGAGGAGCCCCAGGCAGGAAGGCAACCAGCGCCCGCGGGAAGGAGACTTGGGGGGCCTGGGGGACGAAAATGTGTACATGGAGGCAAAAGCGCCTCGCCAGCCGCGGGCGGGTGTGGCTGGGAAGGGGCAGGAGGCAGCTTCCAGTTGTCTGGGACCGGGGTGCCTGGCTCAGGCGGGCGCACCCGGTGCTGCCCCGAGCTGCCCGTCGGAGTCCCACTGCTGCCTTGTGAGCAAGCACAGCACAACAGAACAGCAGGAGGGGCCCCATTTGGAGGGGCGCGTGGGGGGGCATCCGTGGGGGTGTCCTTCAAGCACCTGAGTGACGCTGGGGGTGTCCAGCCTGGGGCATACGCATCCCGTGTCTGAGATCTGCAGCTAATATTTCGCAAACATGAAGCAGAAATGGGGTGTGGGACCCACAGCTTGACTGCATGTGGGACGGATGCAGGAGGGACAAGTCAGCAGAACCCCCCAGCCCTCTCAGTGCAGGAAGTGAACGCAGAGCCTGAGGGAGGGAACCAGCTAATGAGAGAAGAAACCCGGGCGATGGAGCGGGGATGAGGTCGGGGGAGGGGCGCGTTGGAGAAAGTGACAGGGCAGAGAGGGAGAAACTGAGGCAGGGAGGCCCCAGGGGTCCCTGTGCCCGTTTCTGGCCCCTAGGACCCCGACTTACCAGGCAGCTGAAGTGCGGCCCGTCCAGCCTGCAGGGGGAGAGGCACAGGGGCATGTCAGGTGCCGCCGCCACCTGAGCGAGTGGTTGAGGGCCGCTGGGGGCGCCCGGGGGAGGCAGCTGCAGCTGTGACCACCGCAGCTGTGTGTCCGTGTGTGAGACCAGCCCCACCGCACTCCCCCACTGGGACAGGAAGTGAGGGGTCGGGGCCAGGCAAATGTCCCCCCTCCCCCGGGATTTGCATAGACCAGGGCTTGGGGGGCAGGGAAAGTGAGGGAGAGAAAGTCCCCAGGGAGGAGGTGTGGGCGCAGCGGGGCGGGCAGTGGGGGCAGGGAGGGCCTCCATTAGCCTGTGGGTGCAGCGGGTCCCCTAGGAAGGCCAGAGGCGAGCAGGGGGTACAGGAGTCCTCGCTGAGTCCCGGGATAGAGACGGATGGGGTGGGGAAGAGACAGGACGGGGGAAGGGGGGCAGAGGGGGACAGACACAGACTCGGGGCAGCAGCGAGAGGCAGACGACAGTGACCTAGAAGCCAAAAAAGAGGTGGCAGGAGTGGGGAGCCGCGGGGTGAGCGGGCTGAGTGTAAGATGCAGCGAAACTGGCGGGTGGAGAGCCAGCTGTCGGGGCACGCCCAGGGGGCCCGGCGAGCGCCTGCTGGGGAGCCCAGGATGGGATGGAGGGCGGAATGCCAGGTGGGAAGAGGAGGGTTCCTGGAGGAAGCAGGTAGCCGCCCCTCCCGCCTGCCTGCCAGTGCCTCCTGGGTGGGCCGCGGGCGCCCCCCAGCCTGTGGGGGCGGTGGGCAGAGGAGCTGTGGGGGGGTGGGGGTCCCCAGGCCACTGAGGGGCCCCACTTACTGTGCAGCCTCCAGGGCGAGCATGGTGGTGCCGACGGCTAGGCTGGGCTGGCCACAGCTGCAGCCACCAGCCCTATTTATACCTTGGCCCGGCCCCCTGGTGGGGGGGGGCAGGGGTGCAGGCAGCGGACTGGGCCCTCCTCAAAAATCCCCTCGGGGAGGGGGTCAGGGCAGGGGGCTGGATTGCACAACCCCTTGGTCACGTGGCAGGGAGGGCGGGTCCAGGGGCCAAATGGATTTGGGGATCCCCATGGTCAGGGGTGGGGGGTCTCACTGAGGAATGGACATGGGAGAGGAGCTGGATTTGGGGTGCACTCTGAAAGAGTAAAGGAGGGCTGAAGGAGTCCCGTGGTTAGTGAAGGGGGGTAAGTGGGATGTGGGGGCCCATACCCAGGGAGGAGCGGGTGCTGGAGCTGGAGGGCGGACTTGACACAAGGGTCCCCAGGGCTCTCGTGGACTGGGGGGGGGCCCTGAAGAAAACCAGGCCTGAGGGGGGTGAGGACCCCAGGTGGAAACATCGTGGGTGTGACTAGGAGGGGGCCCCCCTTGGGGTGCCAGGGAGGGGCTGCCCCAGGCCTGGAGGAAACAGGTGGGCACCCGGGAGGTGGGGCAGCCCCAGGAAGGCAGGGAGGCAGGAGCCGGCCTGAGGCGCCCCCCGGAGGGCCCGGGAGACTGAGGCGGGGCCGGCCTCTGTGTAGACAGACCAGGGAGCCGGGGCCTGCAGGGAGGGTGCCGAGGTCAGGTGTGTGGAGGTGACCCCACGGCCCACAACTGGGCAGCAGCCTTGTCCCCCCAGAGACCACAAAACGCCAGGTAGCAAAAGGTCTGAACTTTATTCATCGCCACCCCTGCCTGCCCTCGGGGAAGCTGCTCTGGGGGGGCTGGGGTCACCAGGCCTCGGGGCCAGGGGGCCCGAAGCGGCGCAGCAGCTTCTCCTGGTCCTCCAGGTCCTTGCGCACCTTCTTGCGCATGTAGAAGATGGGGCAGTCGCGGCTGCGGGGGGGGGGGGGGGGCAGGTGGGGGTCAGGGCCGTCCCCACGTCCCCTGCCCGCCCATGATGGGGTGGGGGCCATTCCCAGGACTTTGGCCCCTGCCCGCCGCCCACCCACCCCTCCCAAGGCGGGCTGTTTGCTCAGCGGGCACGGGGGAGCCGATAACAGCGGGTGCTGCCGCGGCGCAGGGCCGTATATCACCTGTCACCCGGCGTGGGAACCCGCCCCGCCCACCTGTTCCCTGGGGAAAGCCCGGCACGCCCTGGGGGAGGGGGCCAGGACTGCGGGCATATGTGTGTGTGTGGACAACGGGTGCCCCCCAATTCATTCAGCAGCCCACAGAGGACGTGGGGTGGCCCGGGGGGCCCGGAGCTAGGCTTTGGCCTCGGGCCAGGGGCCGGAGGGCAGGCGGGGCAGGAGGAGAGGCACCTGGTGCAGATGACGTCCTCGTGCAGGCTGCCCTGGCAGCGCTGGCACTGGGTCCAGAGGCGCGAGAAGCGCTCCTCCAGGGCATTCAAGTGTGACACCTGGGACAGCAGGACCGGGCTGAGCGCCTGGCCCAGCCCTGACCCTCCTTCCCCCCAACCCCCCGGCCCCGGGCCTCACCTCCTTCTGGTACAGCTCCGACTCCCGGGGCTGGCAGAACTTGCACACGGCTCCTGGGGGTCAGCACGGGGAGCTGGGGCCGAGCCAGGCCACCCCACCCCTGCCCCTTCCCCGCCCGCTGCCCAGCCCGCCTTCTGAAAGTCCCTGCGGGCCGGAGAACAAGGGAGCAAGTGTGCGGGGAAAATTCCCCGGGGAACCCCCGGGGCGGGGGGCCCGGGACCCTCGGTGGGGCTGCCTCGGGACAGGAGCCCCACTCGGGGGTGGCTGGCGGGGTGGCGGGGCCCAGGCTCACCCTGGTGGCTGAGGACGGTGCGGCAGCCGATGCAGCAGCTGCGGCGCTTGGCAAAAGCCAGCAGGCCGCCCACCTTGCCCGTGAGCACCGTCTTGCAGCGCGTGTGGTCCCCGCCTGCGGGCCGGGAGTGGGGGGGGGGTCAGTGCCATCCTGTCCAGGGGCACTCCTACCCTGGGGGCCCCGCCCGAGCACCTCTATGTACCTCGTGCCTGGACAGTGCCCCCTGTGCCCTTCCACCGCACCAGTGTACCCCATGACTAGGCAGCGCCCCCTGTGACCCTCCCCCAGCGCCCCGCCCAGGAGCCCTCTCCAGCACCCCCATACGTAGCAGCACGGCTTCCGCGCGGCCCTCGCCCAGGATGGGCTCAAAGATGCGCAGCAGCGGCTTGGCCAGCTGCTGCTCCAGGTAGTACTGCGTGTCGATGGGCAGGCTGTGCTCCAGCACGAACAGGGGGTCCTGCGGCAGAGGGGTGGGGTGTGGCCAACGCCCGCAGCCAAGGGGCTCAGCCCCACATGGGGGGCAGGGCCCTGCAGGGTTTGGCCTGGGCCACGGGTCTAGCATAGAATCAGAGGGCGGGGCATGGGACCCACTGGGGTCCACAGTTGGGGGCTGTGGGGTTGCCAAGGAAGGGTCAGAGTTCACGACGGGCCGTGAGGTCAGCGGGATGGCGGGAGGAGAGCAAGCAAGGGCCGGGGCTGTGGGAGAGTCGGGGCTCAGGTCACTGGCTGCCTGGGCAGCAGCGGGGGTGTGAATTCAGGGGAACCTGGGGCCCAGGAGACGGCGGCGGGGGACAGGCGAGCGGGCTGCACGGGGAGGCCCGGCCTCTGCAGGGGCAGGGAGGAGTCCCAGTAACGGGCCCTCCAGAGGGCGCTGGGAGGCCTGGGAGCGAGACGACTCCCAGGGGTGTGTTGGGGGCGGTTCTCGCCCCCCTGGGGCCCCGGAGGGAAACACCCTCCCCACCCGGCCTGGAAAGCAGAAGTGAGAGTCGGGGAGAGCTGGGCGGGCGCGGGCAGCCAGGTGGGCCTGACCTCGGACTTCATGTAGGCGGCCACGCCCTTGGCGGCACTGATGATCACGTAGGGGACGCGGTCACCCAGGCTGGGGGCGCTCCCGGGGTCCCGCTTCCTCATCCTGCGGGGAGACGGGGGGCGGCGGGGTGAGGCAGGTGGGGCGGCGGGGGCGGGGCACAGGAAGTGGCGGCCCAGCTGGCAGGAGCGGCTATTTCTGGACAGCCCCCCGCCCGCCGGCCCCGGCCACCTCTCGGCCAGCTCCACGTGGGCCTGCTTGCCGGCGTAGTCGGCGGCCGCGCGGGTCAGCTCCTTGGTGATGACCAGCTGCGAGATGTCGATGCGGTTGCACAGCAGGTCCGAGATGACTTCCTGCGCATGCGCCACGGCGCCATCCGGGTCTCTGCGGGGGCCGCAGGGTGGGCGTCACCCCGGGGCGCCGGGGCCAGGCTGACTTGCCCACCGGCCTCTGAGGCTGGGGGCGGCCGGGTGGAGGCTGGGGCAGGAGGCCGTGGATGGGGAGGGGCCTGCCCAGCCTCAGGCTGCGGCAGAGGCGGGGCCTGGGCCCACAGCTGCCCAACCCCACTCGGCAGCGCTCCGCTGCGGGAGGAAGAGCTGGTCGGACACCTGCGTCTCCAAGGGCGGGGGGCTGGGCCTGAGCCCCCGGCCTGACTGGGGAACTGGACTCCTGGCTCTGAGGAAGGAGGTTGGGGGCCTGGACTGTCTGGGGAGGAGGGTCCAGCTCACCTGTCAATTAGCAGGCGGCGCAAGGAGGCAGTGACCAGATTGGCCACTAGGGGGCAGTTGTCCCTGCGCACGGCCTCCAGGCCCTTGCAGTCCATGCGGTCGTGGGTGTCCGGCCGGGAGGAGAAGAGCAGGCCGGCATAGCGCTTCTTGCTGATGAGCAGGTAAGGGAAGTAGACCTGGGCGGGGGACCCAAGGCAGAGAACCCTGTGACTGTGGGGGCTGGTCCCCAATCTCAAGACCACTCCCAGAAATTGAGGACACCGGGTTGGCCCCCATGACACAGAATCCCAACGCTTGAGGAGAGGACCCCTGAGACCCTAAGGCCCAAGCCTGGCGACGCCTGAGGCGTTCCTGTACCCCCTGAGAGGAGACAGGCCCTGCGTGAGCCCTGTGGCAGGATGTCTTGAAAATGGGAGGCCCAAGCCTGAGAACTGGCATACCCCCCCTGCCCCTGCCTGCCCCAAGCTTGAGCTTGGGATAAAATATGGTACGGGAGGCCCGGATGATGGCGTCCCAATCCAGGACACTGTCCTGTCAAGGCCCCTAGGAAACCCCAGGCCAGCAGCGCTCAGAGGCTGACAGGGTTTTCAAGGAACAGAGCCCCGGGCTCCAAAGCCGGGTCCCCAGACTCAGGAGGATTCGGGCAGCAAAACCCCTTGAAACAGGGGCTTATGAGCCTGACGAGAACTGGGAGACAGTTCAGGGTACCCCAAAATGGAGAGACCCTGGGCAACACCGGGGTACCCCAGATGTGGGAACCCCACCTAGGTGCATCCTTAAACTCTGCGGACACCGGCGGAGCAGAGGCCACAGCCACCCGCTGCAGGCCCAGGCATGAGCAAGGCCCCACTCACCTTCTCGAACTCCAGCCGGATGGGGGCGGGGAAGTGGCCTGACACCCAGTCCGCGGCCTCCCGCCCCAGGGCCATGGCCTCGGCCACAGAGGTGACTCCGAATCGGCACATGACGGAGTCGGTGTCTCCATACACCACCTGGGAGGTGCGTGTGTGAGCGGGAAGCTGGGGGCTCCCCACCAGTACCCCCCATCCAGCGGTGGCGGCAGCCCCCAGACCTTGGCGTCCGAGCTGTAGCCTTTCTCTATGGTGTACTTGGCCTCCACCAGCTGCTTTGTCTGCTCAATCATCTGGCGTCCGAAGCCAGTCACGCTCTGTGGGGAGACTCCACAGTGGGCTGGCCGCACCCCCGGGGCTGCGTCCCCAGCCTGCCGGAGGGGCGGAGGCTGCCCCTCAGGGATGTGGGGGTGGGGGCAGCGTGCCCCTGGCTTGGTTGTTCGGAAGGGTCAGAAATCTGACTTTCAGTGTCATGGCTGATTTATTTGGGTCTAACCTGACTCCTCTGCTCCCCGCCTTCTATGCTGCCATCTTGCTCCCCTACTTCCAGAAGGCCTCAGTCATCCCACCCCGTCCCCTTAAGCTTGAGAGAAACAGCAGAGAAGAGAGGAACAGAATGGAGAGGCAGAGGGGGTGGTGGAGACAGGCTGAGACCAGGCTGGGGCAGCCCAACCGCCCCCCACCCCCTACTCTCTGCCTAGGGGCTGAGCCTGATACCCAGACACTGTTTTCTGCCCAGGCAGCTGGCGGGGCCCGGACCCAGAAGGCCAGGAAGGGGCCTGCCCGGCGACAAGCATCCTGTGCCTGACGAGTGTCTTCGCACCAGTGCCTGGACCCCAGGACCTGCACCGACCGTGACTCATGGCGGCCCTGAGCCTGAGCAGCCAAGGTCAGTCTGTGACTTGGGATCTCCGCCTCATGAAGGACCCTTCCCCAAACCCCAGCACCCCAGCTGGGTGAGCCTCCCTAGCGATGTTGCTGCTGGGAGAGGAAAGCCCCGTCTGCGCCTCCACAGGGAGGGACGAGGGGACACCCAGGCCTGGCCCCCCAACTGACCTAAGTCTCTGTCCTTCCTCTGTAATAAATCCCAACCGTGTGTGTGATGCCGTGAGTTCTGAGTCCTTCTAGTGCATCACTGGGTCTCAGGGTGGTCTTGGGGGACCCGCTCAAGCTGCAGGAGGTTATGAGGGTGTACCCCTCACTGCCATGAGGCATCCCCACCAGGGCCATTCTTCCCAGCCTTCTGCCTTGAGAGCCAGGCCCTCGTGGGAGGGAGCCCCCCATGGCTGGAGGGAGCCAAACCCCAGAGGAAGGGGATGGCTGGGGAGATTTTGCAAGGTCCCCTCAGCTCACGGGCAGAGGACAGAGTCCAGGCCTTGGCCTGCCAGAGGTGGCCGGTCTGCCCCCAGCTGCCTGCCACGGAGGCCGAGCACCCACCTGTGAGATCTCCAGGCACGGCAGCTTGCCCACCTGGGCACCGGTGAAGCCGTATACCGAGTTGGCGCTCACTTTTAGTGCCAGCTGCCGCCCGTCCAGGACCTGCCGCCGCAGGGGGTCTGTCTCCTTGGCCAGCTCAGCTTTGGCCCTGGAATGTCGGGGGACAGAGGTCACTCGGGTGCCATCCTAGGTCTCAGGGGGAGACTAGATGCCTGGGCACTGGTCAGGGTCTCTCTGGAAAAGGCCCTGTCCCGTCGTGCATGCTGCACACTGCACAAAGGGGTGGCAGCAGAGGGGTGGGAGCTGCCTGAGGGGGCGCCCTGTTCTGAGTCACGCAGGGGTTGGCCTGAGGTGACTAAAGGATGGGAAGGCGCCTTCGCCGGCCTGAGCTCTGAGGGGCTGAGGACCCGCCTCTTCCGGGCGCTGAGCAGGTTCTCTAGGATCTGGGGCAGCAGCCCCTTCCGCACCGACGCCTTCACGAACTCGTCCCCCGTGGGCGTCTTGATGAACTGATCCTCCGTCAGGCTGGGGAAGGGGAGCAGAGGGTGACACGGGGCCGGGCCTCCAGCGCCCCCACCTCTCCCGTCTCACCCATCACGACTGGGTCCCCAGCCCTAGCCCACCGAGGCCAGCCCCTGGGTGGTGCTGGAGGAAACCGCCGTACCCCAGCTTCTGGGCGGCCCCAGGCCGCAGGAGCGTGGTGTAGCACAGGTTGTGGGCCATCATGATGGACGGGTACAGCGAGGAGAAGTCCAGTGTGGCGATGGGGACGTCGTAGTATCTGCAGGGCAGGGGGGAGGGTCAGGGTGTGTGTGGAGGGCCCGACGAACCCCCCGGGCTCCGGGCCTCACCCTTTCAAGGGCTCGATGACGGTGGCTCCGGTGTAGTCCTCGCTGCCCTCCGTCTTCACCACAGGCATCAGCAGCCCCTCGCGCATGGCCTGGGGGCGGAAGGGGAGGCGGGGTGGGCGGAAGAGGGCGGTCAGCGCTCTACAGGGTCTTGCGTGCATGGGGCGGGGGGACCAGTGGCCACTGACCTGCCGCAGCAGCTGGGACACGACCTTGACCTGCTGGCCGCGGCTGAGCAGGTAGCCCAGGGGCACGCCAGTGACGCGCGCCATCTCCACGGCGTTCACCAGCACCATGAGGCGCTCGAGCAGCCGCAGCGGCAGGAAGGCGTCCTTGAGGCAGTACACGGCCAGGCGGCGGCGCGTCTGCTCGTTGCCGTTCTGGGGATGGCAGGGGAGTCAGGGCGGGGCGGCAGCCCAGGTCGGAGGCAGAGGGGTGAGGGCGGCTCCCGAGGCCCGCGGGGCCCGGTGGTCAGGGCGTGGGGGCGGGACGGGCGGGTGGCGGCACCTGCAGGTCGGTGATGATGCTGTGCTGCACGTCCTCCTTCTGCTCGCCCAGGAAGTGGAAGCTCACGGCGTTGAGCGTGTAGGAGCGCAGCTTGTGCTCGCGCAGCAGCACCTGGGGCGCAGGGCGGGGGGTGGTGGGCGCAGGCCGGAGGCGGGGTTGGCGCGGTGGGCAGAGCCGGCCCGGTGGGCCCCTACCTGCAGCATGTCCATCTGCACGCGGCCCACCATGCTGACCACCTTGCTGTCCCGCCGGCCCGTCTGCTTGGACTGGAAGGACGAGTCCCGGATGTTGGAGCGGAGGCCGGACACGCGGCCCAGGAAGGGAAACTTGTCCACCTGAGGATGCAGTGTGAGACCGTGCAGAGACCTGTAGGAGGGGGGTGGGGGACCCACAGCAGGGGAGGCCAGACTCCCCCAGGACGCCCCTCCCAGGCCCTGGGGGCAGCAGATCTGGGTGCAGGAAGACTCTGTGGGGCTGGTGGGTAGGCTGACTGAGGGGAGATGGGGGCGCTCAGGGTGCCCAGTGTCTGCTGGGCTGCACCGAGCTGGGGAGTAGTGGGCTTGGGGGTGATGCTGAGCTCAGCGAGGAGGGACCAGCCACACCGACGCTGAGCTCAGCCGGCACGGAAGGCACAAGGAAGGGGACAGCTCGACAAGCCCAGGGACAGCGAGGCTTCACAAGGCGCCCAACCTCAGCACCTGGGGGCAGGCTCCCCACAGCTCCTGTGCCCCCCACTCCTTGGGCCAGCGCCGAGCTTGGGGTTCTGCCTTATGCTTCAGGAAAGTCTCCTTTGCCCTCGTTCTTGCTGCCCCACCTTAAAGCCTAGAAGACCAGTCTCAGCACCCCCACATGCTCCCTTCCACACCTCGGGATTCACAAGACCCCACCACCACTGCCCTCCACGGCCCCTGCAGAAGGCCCAGCAGCCTCCTGGACTGGGAGCGGGGCAGGGACGGTTTTGGGGGTGGTCTCTGGAGCTGCTGGCACTGAGTAAGATGGGCCACCCCAGGAGACAGAGCTGCAGGGGGAGAGAGGAGGAGAGGCAGGGTAGCCGTCTGCACCCCGGGCCCAAGCACCCCCCTGCGCTCCCACCTTGAGGGTCTGGGCCCGGGAGATGAGGTAGGGCAGGTCGAAGTTCTGGATGTTGTAGCCAGTGATCACGTCGGGGTCCATGGCGCGGATGAAGGTGGACCAGGCCTGGGCGGGAGGGCACTCGGTCACCCTGTGCTCTCCCTGGTCACTCCCCAGCCTCAGCTCCCCATGGCTGCTGCCAGAACATTCCACGAGAGCGGCCCTAGAGCCCTCCAACCGGTGGGGAAAACGGGGTGCATGCAGGCACATGGAGGTTGGGGTGGGGTACTGAGGACAAGGGGGGTCTGGAAGGGTCACCTGGAGCAGCTCCTCCTCCCGCTCGTAGCTCTGCACCTGGGCGCCCAGGATGGGGGCACAAGGCTGTAGGGTGAGCGCCAGGCGCAGGAAGGGCTCCGGCTCACCCCAGCGCAGTCCCAGAGAGCAGATCTGGATCACGGGGTCCTTCTCGGGCTCGGGGAAGATGCCTGCACAAGGGAGGCAGCGTCACAGGGGACCTCACTCCTGCTCGTCCCTCCAGGTGGCTGCACCCTCAAATCCCCCAGGCCTGCAGACCCCGGCACCACTCCCCCATCCTGCTCCACTCCCCCATCCTCACAGGCAAGGCAGGGTCATCCTGCCCCAGGACCTTTGCTCTTGCTGCCAGGTTCTCCCCACTCCGCACCCCTTGACCTGCAGGAACACCCGGGGGCTTGGGATCTCAGCTCCCTGGGGGACAGACCTTTGCGGCCAGCGCACTCAATGTCAAAGCTGAGCACCCGCAGGGGTGCGATTCGCTGCCACGGCCCTTCCGGTGGGTGACTGATCACATCTGACCACCACACGTCCACTTCCAGCTGACACAGCGTGGCCTGCGGGCACCCGGCACATTGGGTGGCTGCAGCGGGGTCCCGGCTCCCCGCCACCCCACCCCGGGCCCTCGCCGGCACCTTCTCAGTCTGCCTCAGGAAGTACTTCCCCGCAGGGAGCTCCAGCCAGTTGCAGCCGACGATGTCCGTGTCCACCATGAACCTGGAGGGGGTGAGGGTCAGCGGGCCCACGGGGGAGGGGAGATTGGGGGCTGGAGAAGTGGGGGGGGGGTGCGGGGCAGGCAGTACCGGATCTCAAAGTCGATGTTGGCCTCATAGGGCGCGAAGCTGGGGGTGCCCAGGCCGGCCACGCGGATGCCCTGCTCCAGCAGGCGGCGGGCGGGGGCCACCAGGCGGGGCAGCGCCAGCGCGATGCGCAGGAACGGGGAGGGGCCGTGCCCGTGGTACCCGAACATGCCTGCAGGCCGAGGAGGCGGGCGGAGGAGGCTGGCCCCACCCTGCTCGCGCAGAGCCCCCCGCCCCCGCCCGGCCCAGCCCGGGGTCCCACTCACTCTCCCGGGAGCAGAGCAGAACGCCCAGCACCGCAGGCCCCGAGAGCTCCTTCCCGCCGCGCTGGTCCCGGCTGATGGCCGCGTTCAGCTCGCGCTGCAGGTCGGCCAGGTGCTCAGGCCTGAAACCTGAGTATGGGAGGGCTGGTCAGAGCTGCGGGTTGGGGGGCCTCCAGGCGGCCGGGGCAAGGAAGGGTCTTCCGCATTGGGGCCACTCACCAGGCGGGGCCAGGGTGTAGAAGTAGGGCGCGAAGCCGTGGATGTGACAGCAAACGGAGACGCCCTCGTCCGTGACCCCAAAGGCTCGGAGCACAGGCACGGAGTTGCAGGGCGATGGGGGCGCCCCAGGCAGGGGCCGAGCTGTACCTGGGGAGGCCGGGGGTCAAACAGGGTTGCCTCCCAGGTTTATCCCCCCAGGCCTGTCTTGCACTGGGGCACGGCCCTGCAGCTCCTGTGGCATACTCCTCAGCGCACTGACCCCTCACTGCTGCCCTCTTTATCCTGCCTCTGCTTCTTGAAGGGGAGCCCCTGAGAAGCCAGTGCAGACAGGTTGTTCCTGACTGACCAGATGGACGGATGGACAGGAATGGGTGTCAGAACACACCTCTCTCCGCTCTGCAAGAAGCCAGCTCTTTCTGCCTCTGGCTCTTAATTGGAAAATGTTCCCCTCCTCCAGGAAGTCCTCTTAGATGCCTGCCCTTGCCCTAGCCAGACTCCTTGCCACCCCCTACCCCATCCCTCCCTCTCATAGCCCTGGTCATCTGGGTGGGAACTGCTTACGTCCATCCCATCCCCACAGAGCCAGAGAGGTTGTCCTGTCTCAGCCTTTGACCCCCAAACTCACCCACATAATGGTCGATCTCCAACTGCTGGAAGATGAGGGGTTCTGTCAGGGGGTCCAGGGCGGGTGGGGAAGGTCGAAGCCAGCGGGGATCAATGGCTGTTGGGGAGAACAGCCCTGTGGGGAGAAGGGAAGTGGGGCTATATGGAGTCATGGCTCCTCCTGCAGACACAGGTGACATCTGGTTTGCAGGAAAGGCAGGCAGAGGTGGTGGCCTGGCTCATGGAGGAAGCTGAGGAGAAATCGGGGGTCAAGGTCAAATAGAAGCTGCAGGCCACAGACATCAGATATCTGCACGGGTTCAAGGTCAGCCCTTGGAGCTCAAACTGGGGGTGACAGGTTAGCTCTAGGCATGACGAGAGGGGTGCAGGGGTTCTGGCTCTGGGGCTCACCGTCTGCAGCCCCCTCCAGGGCAGGCTGCAGCTCCTCCTCCTCCTGTTCCTGCAGCCTGTGCTCCGCCTCCATCTCCTCCATCAAGGCCAGCTCCGCCTCGAACTGCGATGGCGGCGGACCGTCATCATCATCCCAGAGGCTCCCACGGGCCCGCTTGGGGGGTACCCCGGGCCCAGGGCCTGGCCGCCGCTTGCCGTCCATCCTGCTGGGTGAGTCAGGGTTGGAGAGGGTTCTGAGCAAGGGGACCCTCCCCAAACTGCTCCATGGTCTCCCAGGCACCCACCGTGACTGTGACTGTGGGCCTGTTCACCACACTGAGGGCTCCCAGATTCCTCTCCTCCCCATCACCCCTTCCTCACATGCTCCCCATCCCCTCGCTTGTTTCCTGCCCTGCATGCTCCCCCCCACCCTGTCTGCCCAGGTCGCCACAGCCCATCAGCCGGGAGGCACCTCCTGCAGACCAATCACTGTGTTGGGTCCCAGACACAGAGCTGACCAAGTGCCCCCGACTCAAAATACACCAGAGGCTTCCTCTGGCACTTAAAAGCCAAATGCAACCCCCAACTCTATTCTGAAATGCTTTAAGGCTCTACAGCTTCTGATTGCCTTCCTCTGGGGTCCCTAGTAGTGGACACAGTGCCACACTGGCTACCTCACCCCTCCCCAGCAGAGCCTGCATCCATATTATTTATCGTGACAAACCACTGGTGAGTGAGTGCAGACACTATGCCCCCGCCCTGCTTCAGCTAGAGAGAGTCCATGCTGGGGAACGCCGAGTGACTGCTGACAGGCATGGGGATCCCTTTTGGGGTGACACTAATGTTCTGGATCTAGAGGTATTAGCTGCCCGACGCAGTGAACGTACCAAATGCCACTGAATGATACAATTTAAAATGGCCAATTTTGCCTCAATTAAAAAGAAAAAGAGCACATATAGTATAATGCCGGCTATGCCATGTTCTAGTAATTTGGCTAGTGGCTGCTTCTGGGGTGGGAGATACTAATACCGGAGGGGGCACGAGCGACCTTTCTGGGGTGATGGAAATGGACTGTGTACACCTGTCTGCTTCACAAGACCTGCACATTTCCACTAGGGGTGAGTTACTGTTTGATTGAAAAAGGTGGAGAGGGCGCGATTCTACTGCCAGGGGTTTCTGCTGCAGAGACACTATCACATCAGAGAAACTGCCCTCACGAGGTTATTTCCGGCACCATTGTTTGCTATCACAAAAGACTGGAAACCACCTAAATGTCCTTCTGGGGGACATTTTTTGTTTAAGTAGATTACATTTATTCGGGTCTGTGGAATATTATGCAGCTGTATAAAGGAAAGAGGAAGCTCTCTATGTACTGATAGGGCGGGCTCTCAAAGACCTATTGTTCAGTGGGGAAGGTGAGATGCAGGTGGGGAGAGGCTCACAGAGCCTCTTTTGTATACTAAAGATAAAAGATGTGTAAGATGTCTAATGTGTATTCTCCTCACTAGGCTTGCAAAACTGCCCCTTCAGGAGTCTTCCAAACTGCCAATGCCATAAATGCGGAGAAAGGGAAAGCCAAGAAGCTGTTTTAAAGTACAGGCTACAGGGTCATGATGAAGAGATGATGCAGTGGGGAATTCAGATCTGATCCTGAATTCAAACACCGGCCATCACTATGAAGGGTACTCTCAGGACAGTTAGAATCAGGGCAGCCCACGAGGTAACAGTTCAGTAGCCTGATGGTGAGAATTAAACTGTGGTGACATGGTGGGATACCTGTTCTTAGAGCTATCTGCTGGCATTTCAGAGTCTCAGGAGGACTCTGATTTTGAAATAGGTCAGCCCCCCAAGAAAGATACCCGAGCATGTGTATAGCTGAGGCAATGGGTGAAGAAAGCAGCGAAGCAGGGCAACAGGTGGGCCAGGGTCCACTGTTACTGTCTTGTGACCTCTCTAAAGGCTTGAACCTTTCAAAATAAAAGCTGGGACCTGGGATATATACAAACAGAAAATAACTCTAGCCACCACTGTGTTGTCCCCCTTTCTCGGCCCTTCTGTGACAAACGCTAAACAATGACTGCAGTGGAGACATAAACATTGGGGCTCACTGGGACCAGACTCTTGTTTCTCTGGGACCTTCACTCTCACCCTCGTGCAGCTTTATTTTTATTTACTTATATATATATTTTTTATTTATTAAATTTTATTATTATTTTTAAAATTTATTTATTTATACAAGCACTGGGTACAGTCAGAAGCACGGGAGGGTGAGAGGATTCACCAGAGCCAGAGCGAGGAACAGAACAGGCAGAATGACGAAATACACTGCTGAGGGGTACAGCAGGCACAGCAGCAGAGGTCTGCATGCCATGTGGGACCCTCGCCGGGGGCCGGGGATCGAACCGGCACTGCAGAGGCTGTGGAAGCTTCACAGCCCAGTGCTCAACCGCTGCGCCACCAGGGGAGGCCCCTCTCTTGCAGCTTTAAATGTCGCCTCTGCCTGTGCGTCTCGGGCCCAGACCTCTCTGCAGAAGCCAGGCTGACAGAGTGACCAGCCCAGAGTGAGGCCATCACCAACCAGCCCAGACCCCAAGGTCCGGCTCCTGATGTCCCCCAAACCTGCTCCTTGCACTCCCCTCTCTAATTCAGTGCTTGGCAAGCTAACACCCTAGGAGTGCCCCCACTTCGGTCTTCCCTTCAGGCCACAGGTCTGCAAGCCCCATCAGCACTGGCTTCCAACAGGCCTGGGCCCTGAGCCCCGCCCACCCTGGGCCCAAATCGGCGGCTGTGGCTCCTTCCGTTTGGGCACTGCTGCCTGTCTGTCTCTCCTGCTGGAAATGAGATGGGGGTGTGTGGGGATCGAGCTGTGTGGGGTGCTGAAGTAGCCCTGAGCTCCACTATAGTGTCCGGCACATAGAAGACGCTTTAGAAAGCCTGTGGGATGACTGACTAGGCCCCCACCCCGGGAGGTGGGGGGGCGCGTTCAGGAGCTGGGGCCTTCTAACTTCTTGTGGGCGCACCAGATTCTCGAACAGTGGCGGGCAGGGAGTACTCAGCATGGAGTGAAAACCATGGCACCAAGCCTCCACGTGCAGCATCCAGTGCCCCAGTGCCCCGGATCCCGGGGCCCCAAGGGCCCCTCAGGGTGGAGTCCCCGCCACCGCTGCAACTCCAGTGGCGCTCAGCGCCTGCGCCCCCTGCGCGCCAAGGGGCCCCCACCGATCGCCTTCCCGCGCGCCCCTGCGCCCACGGGCCCTGGTCCCCTTCCGCGTGCGGAGGGGCACCCTCTCGCTGCCACGCCCCGCGCGATCGCCCAGCACCCTCTATCAGGTTGCGTGCCCGGCCCCTCCAGCCCCGCTCCCCGCCCGCCCGAGTCCCCGGGAACTCTAATCACCCCGCACTCACCCGCTTCAAACAGCGTTTCCCGCCACAGCCGACGCCACCGTGACCCCTGACTGCGGCGCGCGCAGGCCCAGAGTGGCGGCGCGGGAGCCTGGCCACGCCCCCTGTCCATGTAGGGCGAGGCCACGCCCAACAGCCCAAGCTCCCGCCCCATACCTCCATATAGGGGGAGACCACGCCCCTCTCCGTGATATGACCATGCCCCCTCGCTTACGCGTTCTCGCAAGCCCGCCCCCTTTGAGGCCGGGATAATAAGCCACGCCCCTCGCGCGGCTGTTTTTGTCGCCTCGTGCCCTCTGCGCGCGCAGCGCCCCGCCCCCTCCGCCCGCGCCCCGGGCGCTGCGCGCGCAGCGGCCAGTCTCCAGCCCCGGTCCTGTCGCGGGCCGGGTCGGGCGGGCCCGTGGGTGTTGTCCGTGTCGCCCTCTGAGCCGCGGAGGCCGGCTGCTGCGAGCCCGGGTCCCGGCCCGTTCTGTGAACTAGACTGCGCTGGTGGGCGCACTTGCGGGGCGCAGGTCCGCTGCTGGCACGGCCCCCCTTCTCCGCCCCAAGCACGCCTGCCCAGCCCAGCCCTCCAGCAGCCCCTGGCCGCGCTCCCCGGGAATGTCCGTCCAGGTCGCGGGGTGTCCCCTCGCAGCCGAGTATTCCTCACTCGGAGCTCTCGGGCTCTCTCGTCCTCCACGCCCGGCACAGCCCTTCCCTCAGCTTGGGGGGCCAGCCTGCTGGTTCTCATGGGTCAGGTCCCAGCTCCCCAGGCCTTCCCCGGTGCTGCCCCCACGAAACGAAATTCCCATCCCCTCATTCTGTCTGCATTCAGCCAGCCCGACCTTGGAAACCTCTGGGCAGGAACCTTCCCCTGCTCGCTGTTCCCCGCTTGCAACCGCCCGCGCCCAGCGCCCCCCAAGTGCTGGCTGGATCGGAACACGAGGCGCAGCGCTCGCGCAGTGGCTTCAGCACCTCCTGCCCGCCCAACGGAAGCCCGGGTGCCTCGCGCGGGTAAGTCTTCGCGTCCTTCCAGGGCGGCTCTGGCTGTGGGGAGGTGGCCTCGAGGGTGTCATGTCACACTGGGCCCGGGGGTCCGCGTCTGACCCCCCACCAGCCAGGGGCCTCTCGGAGGCCTGTCCACGCCAGGCCGCCCACCTCCGACTCACTCCGGCTCCGGGCAGGTTCTATCCGTATTTTATTTTCCTGTTTTTTTAATTTTTTTTTTTTAGTTTTTATTAAATAAAAGGAGCAGAGGGAGAGGGGGGCCTGTGGTCTCTCGGCTGGGCCGGGGGGAGAGCCAGGGAGCGCCCCTCCCTCCGTTCAAGGTGCATGGCGTGCTGGGCTGGAGGTGTAAGCTGGCAGGGAGGGCAGCTGGGAGTGCTTGGAGAAGTCAGAGGTCGGCCCCTGTGCCCACTCCCGCCCAGGAAGACTGCGTGGGCAGGGAGGGGGCCTCCTGTGCCGGGCAGGGGCTCTGAGTCACAGGGTGGTCCCCGACTGGCCGGCCCCTTCCCATCCAGGAGGAAGGGGCGAGTGTCCATTCATTGGAGGATGCAGGGCGTGGCCGGGGCCACGGGTCCCTCACTCGTGCACGTCCCAGATCTCCGACAACAGAGGCGGCAGCTTCTTGTCCTGGAGCCGCAGGGCGAAGACCTGCTCCGAGTGCACGGAGCTCAGCGTGCGTAGGCTCACCAGCTTCATGAGCATGCGCGGGAAGCGCAGCTGGTCCTGCGGGGAGAAGGGGCGAGCGTGCTGGTGGGCCTTGCTGGGCCAGACCAAGTCCTGGGCAGCTGACTAGGCCTGGCTCTGGTTGAGGGGCCAGAGCTGAGGGCCTGGGGTAGGGGGGAGTGGCGAGGAGGGGGGCTCGGCGGTGGGCTGGACCTCCTGTCCCCTCCAGGGCCTGCGGGCTCCATGGCTCCGCCTGGCCGGCCATACCTGCGGCCGCTTGATGCGCGTGTAGGACAGCAGCGCCTCCACGTAGGGCTGCTGCAGCGCCTCCACGCGGCCGGGCTCCTGCACGTTGGGCCGGTCGGCAGAAAAGATGTTGATGGCGATGAGGAGGGCGTACTCCGCGTCGTCCAGGCCCAGCCGCCGCATGGCCCGCGAGAACTCAAAGATGGGGTTGATGAACTCCACCTGCAGGCCTGGGGGTGGGGGACCGGCTGACAACTCCCCCGCCCTGCCCCCCATCAATGGGGGGAGGAAAAGCATTTCTGTTTGCCTCAGTGTCCTTTACTTGCCGCCTGGATGATGCAACGAGCCACAAGAGTGGACGTTTCCAGGATTTTCTACTCTCCCCTTGCCTCTCCTGCTCTCAGGCCACCTCGCCCCTTCAGAGAGGCAGAGACAGGCTTTAGACCTGGCTCACTGCCTCGTCAGGGCGTGTCACCCCGGCAATGGCTTCTCTCTCAAACATGCACTCGAAAGGGACCATCCACCCACTCCCCAAACCCACCCACTCATTCCTGTGCCCCCACCAGGCCGGTGGGGTGGTGTGCCAGACCAGGTTCCCTGGGTGCAACGTAGATTTGGGGTGCAGGGCACAGGTAGGAGAGAACACACAGGCGCCCAGCCTGTGAGGTTCGGAACGAGGGCGAGGCAAGGGTGAAGGGGCAGTAGAGAAGAGGGGCCTCGCTGTAGGGGGGTCTGAGCCAAGACCTGAGGGAGGAGGCCGGCGCACAGGGAAGGTGAGGGTGAGTTCCAGCACGTCCCAACGGCCAGTGTCCAGGCCTGGGGCTGCCTGGGGACTGTCAGGGTTAGAACTGGGAAGGGCAGTCACACCCCCTGGCTCCAGGCAGAAGGGCAAACCCACAAGGACTGAAGCATTGAGACTGCAGCTCAGGTTTGAGTGAGGAGATGGATGGAGAAGAGGGAGCGAAGGGAGAGGCGGGGCTGGGGCCAGACCCCATGGCAGGTGGGCCGTGGTGGGGACTCTGGGTTTTTCCCCAGTGAGCTGAGAGACAGCCCCCTCGAGTGAGATCAGGTTTGGGGGCTGGGGGGATCCTCTTCCTAACTCCACACAGCGGGCCTGTGTCTCGCCCTACACCGTGTCCCACCACCCAGAACCAGCGACTGCACGCTGCTCACACCTCCAGGCTGGCTCAGCCCTTACTTCGGAGATAAATGAACGGTCAGACAGGGACAAGAGGACCAAGAGCTGCTAGCAGGGGCCCTGCAGGACCACCCATGGGCGTACCTGCGCGGTGGAAGTCATCCTTGCTGTAGGTGAAGTCCTTCAGAAAGGTGATGCACTCGGTCTCATGGTTGTAGCGTCTGGCCGTCTCCAGCAGCATGATCTGCGTGTGGCAGAGGAGCACAGGGGTCTTTGACCCTTTGGGCACCTGTCCCTCCTCTCGGGCTCAAATGGAGGGCCTGGTCTCACTGGGACCGACCCTGTGCTCTTAGCCACAACAGCCTGTGGTCTGGACACTCCAGCTCGCCGCCTTCTGGGTCCAGCACACTCGCACTCCTGACCCGGGCCACTCCGGGTAGTCAGGAGGCCTGGGGGCGGGATTTCTGTCTGTCCCGTTCACTGCCACCTGCCAACCATTTAGAATGGGGTGCAGCATACAGCAGGCACTCAATACTTAATCATTGCCGTTATTTTGAGTCAAAATAGCTTGTTGGCAAAAGCACGCCCCTCCAGCCCATCCTCAATTATCCTCCACCTCAGCCAGTTTCCCTCCCTGTGGCTCATGGGAGGCTCTGACGATCTTGTTTACTGCTCTGACATTCCCAGCAGGTCACCTCCAGCAGGCAAGGGCCAGAGGGGGGGTGTGCATCGCCAGGCTCCCAGCCTATCTGGGGTTCCTGGTGGGCGGGAGGAAGGGGCTTGCTGAGGACGGTGGGCTGGCTGGTACCTCTATGGTGGATGCCTTCAGAAGGGCGATCTGGTCCTCGCGGCCCAGCTGCAGAAAGCCGGGCACCTGCTTGGCGAAGTCCACGATCTCCTGGACTGAGATGATGGCCAGCTCCGTGAAGTGGGCAAAACGCTGCTGGCGGGCGTCGCGGGACTGGGGGTCTGCACCCAGGGGCCAGGGCTGGGGACACAGGGGCCACGGTGACTCTCAGAACTCCTGTGAGCCCCAGGCACCCTGAGGCCAAGCCCACACCCAGCAGACACTCGTGTCCACACCCCTGCCCTTGGACCGCCTCCCTCCCCACGGGGGCTTCGGCCTCAGCGGGAGGCCACAGGAGGCAGTACCGTGACTTTGGGCTGGTCGGAAAAGGAGCGCTTGTTGCACTGCAGCTGGGCTGCCACGAGCTGCTGGATCATGAGTTCCTGGGCAGCTGTTAACTGCACGCCCTCACTGTCCCCGGAGCCCGGGCCGCCCACTTCGGAGCCTCCAGGGGAGGCTCCAGGCCCCGGGGCTGAGCTGCTGCCACTGCCGCTGCCACCCGGGGCCCCGGGTGATGACTGCTGCTGCTGCTGCTGCTGCTGCTGCTGCTGCTGCTGCTTTCTAATCTTCTTCTTCCGGATCTGTTCTTCAGAAAGGACACCTGGGGGGCGGGGAGGCACAGGCTTGAGTGGAGCCCCTGGGCCTGGGCAGCTGCCAGGCCAGCCCCACCCCTGTCCTGGTGCCGACACTCACACTGCTCCCTCATCCCGGCCTCCTTGCACTTGCGCAGCCGGCACTGCTGGCACTTGCGCCGCATGAAGGCGTCCATCTGGCACGTGCCACCGCCCCGGCAGGCGTAGCGCCCCGCCCCGCCGCGGACCACACTGCGGCGGAAGAAGCCCTTGCAGCCTTCGCAGCTGAGCACGTTGTAGTGGAAGCCGGAGGCCTTGTCCCCACACACGCGGCACAGCTCGTGGCCCAGCATCTTCGGAGCTGGGCCCTTCTTGCGCTTGCGCTCTGGCTCCTCGGCGGGGTCAGGAATGACTGGGGGGAGTGCACAGCCAACGTGAGGGCCAGAGCCACAGTGAGGACAGCAGCGAGAGCGACAGGCCCGAGGACAGAGGACGGAGGGTGAGCCCGGGACACAGGGATCCAGCGGGGAAGAGGTGTCAGCGGAGGAGCCCTCGAAGGAACGGGTGTCATGGAGGAATAGAAGAATATAATAAAGGAGAAGTCTGGACCTCCTCCCGTTTCGGTTCCTTCCCCCTTCCCTGATCTGACCCGAACCCTTCTCCCCAATAACAGCCCATGTCCCTAGACCCCTTCTCACCCATGCTGCTGGCTGAGTCCGTCCCATTAGTGCCTGGGACATCAGGGTCTGGACCCCCTGGCCACGGTTCAGGACCCTCCTCCTTTACAGCTGGTGAAGAAGAGGGGGTGCTGGTCTGAGGGGGGTCATTTCCTGGAGAAGGAGGCACGGTGAGTTTTTCCTGATGAGTATGTGATGGGAGAACGTTGGGGTGAGAAAAAGGGTCACTCACCAGGCAAGGGGGTGTCCAGGGAACTTGTGGTGGGGGTGGACATGGTGGGGTCACGGAGCAGCCTGCGAAATACAGGGGGACTGAAGGGAGAGCCTTGTGGAGTCAGAGAGGGTCAGCCATAGGCTTGCTGGGGGCACCTCTCCTCCATCTCTCCCAAATTCGTCTCCCCCTTCGTCCCTCCCACAGACACCTCGCTCAGTCCCGGCTAGCCTGCACCCCCACCACCAATTCCCACTGGGCCCTGCCTGTCTGCTCCAGGACAACCTTCAGCTTAGCCTCAGGTCCCGCCCCCTTTTAGGCTCCGCCCCAACTCCTCCCACCGGCTCTTCGCAGGTCTTGCCCTTTCAGCTTCATCCTTGCCCCTTCCCACTGTTTCATGATCAGATCCCACCCCATCCCACCCCATCTCCGCCCAGGAAGCACCCCACAATTCTCAGTCTGACCCCACCTACTCCGAATGCTCCGCCTCTCTTCTCCCTAGGTCCCGCCCCGTCCCTTTCGGCCCCTCCCTCACCCCGCCCATACCGTGCCGGCCCATCACTTGGCTACCTCCCTCCCAGCCCCGCCCCCACCTCCTCCCGCCCCTCAGGCCCCGCCCCCACCTCGCTCCAGGTCCCGCCCCTCTCCGAACACCAGTGGGGGGCGGGGCTCATGGCTGCGCGCGAGGGTCTCGTGGGCGGCCTCTCGCGGGGTCTCCTACTCCCGTTGCCCTGGAAACAGCCGGGGGCGGCGCGAGCTGGGGAGGGGAGGGGGTGGAAGGAGAGAAGGGGTACTGATCAGCAGCGCGGGGAACGCCGGGAAGACCCGGGCCCGGAGCTCCTCCCGCGTCTCCCCACACTCCAGTGCACCTGCCTCCGTCCCCTTGCTCTGCTTCTCTTCCTCCTCCTCTGTGTCCCCTGGCGCGCCACTGCTGCTCGGGTCCCCTCAAAAGTAACTTCGCCACTTCTTCCGGCAACCCCACCGTGCATCACTTCCGGAAAAGGGCGGGGAGTGAGAGGTGACGGATTTCCGGTTCATAGGGGCTCGCCGAATCCGTTGTCCCGTGCGGAAGTCCCACAGCCACCGGAAGTTTATCTTACCGGGTCGCTCCCCTGGAGGCTGGCACAAGGGTTCCGGGCCCGCGGGGGCCCGGGCTGGGCGAGGGGCGCGCTGGAGTGTCGTCACCTCCCTGCGCGCGCTGTGTGGCTCAGCGCATCCCCGTGCCTCTCAGGGCTGCAGCCAAGGGGGTGCTCGCCCTGAAACGCCCCAGCTCTAGCTCCCTTTCTCACGCAGCTGATTTGAGGCAGGCGTCTGCGTTCCGGGCGGCGGGAAGCCCGGGGCAAAAGCGGGAGGCTTGAGAGAGACAGGTGTGCTCCAGGAGTTCAGCTCCAGCCTCCAGGGAGGTAACGTTTAAGCATTGCTACCTTGGGGAAGGTGCTGGCAGTAAATTAAGGTAAATGAGGAGACTGGCTCTTCCCAATGACCAGAAAACTCGTCAGCGAGCACCGCCGATGGGCATCGTCGTGGGTAAAGTCAACCACTCAGTAGCCTGTGTACTCAAATTTTTTAAATTTCAGAAAAGTCATGAAGTTGTACTGTTTGGATTCATGTAGGATAGACTGCGTAGAAAATATTTTTCCGTAGTACCGAGAGGAGAGTAATTACAGAGCCTTGCGTTTGTAGTTAGTTGGTTTGTAGTTTGAGTAAATCGCGAATCTGCACTGGGAGAACGGGCCACACCACCCCCGTGTGGCTATTTAAGAATTTGCAGGGAAGACCCAGAAATCACTAAATTGCCCAAGAGGGACTAGGTGATGGGGAATCGGGGTGGGGGGATCCTGAGGGTTCAAGAGTGACTATGTCGGCTGCTGAGACACAAGAGGGGAAGATGCGGTGAGAGTTACTGTGGAGAAACAGGATTTCCTGTTGACTGTGTCAGGGAAACCCCCCAGACCAACGCATGCACGAACGGGTTCTTTAGAAATATTTATTGAGCATTTACAAGGTGCTAGGCACTCTCCTAGGTGCCGGGAACACGATGGCTAAGGAAGCAGACCAAGACCTCTGTCTTGGTGTAGGTTAGATTCTAATGGGGAAACAGGCAATCAAGGTAAAAGGTAAATTATCAATATAGACAATATCCCTGATTCTAAGATGCACGTGACACAGTGGCATCTTAGAGTTAATGAATGCAGCAGGAATGAGCGCTGTGGGGCAGGGAGAGATATCAGGGCAAAGGAGACTGGATATGCTGGGGGAGGATGGTTGCCTTGCTCAGTAGAGGGGTCAGGGTAGACTTCACCAAGAAGATCACATTTTTTAAAAAAGGTAACACTTAAGCAGAGATTTGAAGAAGGATTAAGGTGCCCTGGAGGAAATCTTGTGCAGGGAGCCTCCCTGGTGGCGCCAGAGCTTAAGTCTCAGCACTATGAAGCTATCAGCAGCCTCTGCAGCATGAGTTCAACCCCTGGCCAGGGAGCTGACCCACATGGCGCAGCAGACCTCTCCTGTCTCCCCGCTGCTCCCCTCAGCAGTGTGTTTCAGTCAGTCCACCTGGTCTGCTCCCCACTTTGTCTCTGGTGAGTCCTCTCACCACCACCCCCGTCCGGCACATCTGGCCTACACCCCAGTTCTTGTATGCATAAATAAATAATAAATTTATTTGAAAAATAGAACAGCTTGTGCAAAGGCCCTGAGGCAGAAGCGGGTTTGGAGTATGGAGTGGGTGAGGAGGCCTATGTGGCTGCAATGAAGGGAAAAGATGATGTCAGAGAAGGAATGATGTCCCAGCCTTAGGGTCTTTCCATTCTGTGATTCCATTGGTATCCCTGATCTTTTGCTGTAATTGTCCCCCCCCTTTTTTTTTCTTTTACATTTTCTCCTCCTCTAAACCCTTCCTTGACCAGTATAGTCTGTGGTCTCCACAACCATTGTCACAGCGCGTGCAACATGAGCTCCCTTGCTTTCTCCCTCAGTCATACTCTCCTGGCAAAATGAACTCCGCCTCTCTGCCTACTCACAGCCGCCAGGCCTGTGCGTGGACACATCTCACACGTGTGAGTGCAGGCCTGGAGGGACACGGACAACCAGCCTTCCATGGCTCACTTCTCCATTCTCTAACAAACTGCTTGGTTCCTTCCCTGTCAACACTCCAGCCTACGCCCCCTCTTCTTTCCCACTTCTCCTTTTGATGAATGAAGTGGAAGCAATCAGGAAATGGCCGTGTGCTCCCCCCGGACGCTGCTGGCTCATCGGCAGAGGTTCAGAGACATTGCTGCCCCCCACGTTTGCGCAATCTGTAAGAGGCCAAATCCTCCACTTGGGCACTGAATCTCCTCACCTCTCCCTACTTGAAACTTTTCCTCTTACAATGTTTCCTTCACTCTCTTGCATCATTATTTGTGCAACGCCTGAGTCTTTGTTCCTGTAGGATTCCCCTTCACTTAATGCCCACCTTTCCTCTTGGGGCTGCTGAAGGTGCTTCTTGAAACCTGGAAGTCACAGCCCCATCTCTCTGGCTGGGCCCTCGCAACTTCTTTGAAGATTCATTCCCTCCAGGGTCCACCTAAGGGACTTTCCTGTTACTACATCTCAAAGGGGAACTGAAGTTCAAGAGGGAGACCCTAGATTTCATCCAATGCCTTTTACTTATGGGGTGGGGCCACTACCTCCAGCCTCAGAGAGAGATTAGTCCTGGAATCTGCAGTCAGTCCAGAGAGGTTGTCCTGAAGACCCATAAAGGGCTGTGGGATTGGTGGACGCAATGATTGACAGGTGGAGGCGGGGCCGCTGGAAAGGCTTGGAGAAGAGAGGGGAGGGTTTTGCAAGCACTTTGATCCCCAGAAGATGGGGCCAGTTTTCTTGTAACAGAGGAGACAGACAAGAGGCAAGACAGGAACAGCGATTGAAAGTGAAGGCCAGCTCTGCGGCGCCGGTTCGATCCCCGGCTGCTCCCCGGCCACCGGAGGAGGATCCCACATGGTGCGCAGACCTCTCCTGCCGCCCGCTGCTCCCCTCAGCAGTGTGCTTCAGTCCCTCTGCCTGCTCTGCTCCCTACTCTGGCTCTGGTGAGTTCTCTCACCCTCCCGCGCTTCTGACTGTACCCAGTGCATGTATAAACAAAACAAACAAACAAACATAATAAATAAAAACATGCCTCTATAAAAAAAAAAAAAGAAAGAAAGTGAAGGCCAGGTAGCAGTCCATCTCCCCACCTCTGGCTGTGCAGGTGCTTCTTCTCACCAACTCTCTCCCTCCCCAGGGCAATGGCCTCCTGCCTGCCTGTGACCTGCACCTGCTGGGGCTTCTCCTCACTGACCCCCCCCTCAGTGGAGGCCGCTCTCCTCAAGGCTGCCCGCCTGAGACCATGCAGGCCTCTCTCAGCAAACCTGTCCCCTCCGGGCCAGCTCTTCCTGCCCTCTGGTGTCTCTGCAAGTGTCTTTCATTCTTCTGTCCCTTTCCCTAATAAACCTGTTTTTTAAATATATATATATATATATATATATATGTATATATATATATATAAAGAAAGAGAGGACAAAGAGGCACTTAGTGGAAATCTGGGACCCTAATTGACAGTTGAGAGGGTGAGTCTGCAGAGTGATTGATAGGTGATTGAATCCTTGTCTTGGAAGGGTAGGGCTTGGGCTGTGAAATTACAGTTCTTCAAAATACTGAAGGTGTGTCTTCACCAGACCCAGGTTATCCTAACCAGACTAGCTTCCTGGTCACCCGGATAGTTTACAATATCACGTGAGCATCCTAGCAGAGGGCAGTCAACAGTAATAGTTAGGATTTCCATTATCCCAGCAGGAAATAGAAGGAATTGAAATAACTGACCACATAGGAAAATATTTTCTATTTTTCTTTGTTTTTCAAAAATTTCTTCTTGTTTTGAAAATTACCTTTCTATGTGACTAAAATCACCATAAACATGATTAAGAATAAGGTGGCAACCTGAGAGAAAATATTTGCAACACATGGAACAGATGTTTAACAGTGCCTAGAGTTTGATTACCAAGTGAGACGTTCTCTTCGGACCTCAAAATCCACCCAACAGAAGTCGACCCCAGTTGTGGGGCTCTGAAGGAGATTGCAAACACAAGTGCAGTGCTGGACTCTGGGCAACCAGCCTCCAAAATGGCCCCCCACCACCCCTTTCTTCTGTGTTCACACATTGCGTTGTCTCTTCCTCGGGGTGAATCAGGATTCTGATTGTATCAAAATCTACAGCTCCGTGTGGTTATTGTAAAAGCAGTTGTAGTTCTCTGTGTGGACTGACAGATAGCATGGAGCAAGCACTCAGCACGTGCAGTCAGGACCAATTCTGCAGGGTCGTTTATCATACTGAAAACAGGGAACAACAGACATAGGACATCAGTTAGAGAGATAGTGTCACATTCCTACTCTGGAGTACTATACAGCTGTTTAAAAGACACTTGCTTCATTCCGAAGGTATCACTTGTCTGCAGCTTACTAGGAAGGCCAACAGACACCTGGAGAAATGTTCATCGTTGCTTTCAATGAATGAGATGGAGGTTAAAAGGACACCAAGATACCATCTCACACCCGTGAAATTGGCAGGTATTGAAAACATCCCCAGCAACAAGGGCTGGAGAGGGTGCGGAGGAAGAGAACCCTATGATGCTATTGGTGGGAGTGTGAACTGGTATTTTGAAATGTGATCTGGATGTACCTTAAAAAACTAAAAAAAAGTGAAAATGAAGTACGATCCAGCAATCTCATTCTTGAAACCATCCAAAGGATGTGAAACCAGCAAGCCAAAAAATGTACATTCTACATGGCGCGCAGACCTCTCCTGCCGCCCGCTGCTCCCCTCAGCAGTGTACTTCGGTCCTTCTGCCTGCTCTGCTCCCCGCTCTGGCTCTGGTGAATTCTCTCGCCCTCTCGCGCTTCTGACTGTACCCAGTGCATGTATAAAACAAACAAACAAACAAGTAAAATAAAATAAAATAAAAAGCATGCCTCTATAAAAAAAAAAAAAGCATTCTATAGCGTTTAATGCCGCGTTAGTTACAATGGTGAGGACTTTAATACATGGAGGAAGATTTCTGAGGTTAAGAGGGGGTGGGAGGAGGAAGGGTCAGGAGGAAGGCACTGCACATCGATGGTAAATACAGCATAGGAAAAAATATTCACCGCTTCATTGGGGAAGAAGGGCCAGATCAGTAGACGCTGGTTTAGTTTTTGGCCTTTTCTGTGAGGTAGGGCGGTGGGGGTGTGGATTTCAAGTGTTTTCCAATTAGAATAATGAGTAAGGGGTCCTCACCCTGGAGGCCCCACTAAAGCTGCCGGGGAGAGTGTCTGCTCTGACCCTCTCTCCCGCCAAACCCTTCACCTACTCCCCACCGGCCCCTTCACGGCATCTGGGAAGAGTGAAGTCATAATTGTAAGAGGGATACTAGCTGTGGAGTGTGCGTGTGGCAAGGGGTGGATGCTTCAGCTGAAGAGAACCCCAGAGCCACCACCCCAGGACCTGGAAGTGACAAGGGCCAGTCACGCAGAGCAACGCTTCTAGCCCCTTCCCTGCAAAATGCCCAGCCTCCCACTCCCCTGGCCTTGGCCCAGCCTCCCCCAGCCCAGGCCATCAGCTGAGACTCCAGGCCTCAGCACCCCCGTGTCGCTGTCCCCCCAGAGATCACGCAAACCCTAAGTGTTTCCACGATGAAACCAACAATGGCCCTGGTTGGGACAGGCAGGACACTGCACAGCCGGCAGGTGTGTGCGAAAGACACTCCAGCAGGTTATTCTCACTGCGGATGGGGCAGGGAGCGACAGTCACCCCACGTGTCCAGTAACTTTGCAAACGCGCCGCCCATCCCTTGTCTGGGCCGACGAGAGGCTGTGGTTAACGAGATTTGAAAAAGTGAAGTGAAAGTACTTAGTAAAAGCGATAGTAGCTAAAGGGTGGGGGAGGGGTTCTGGCTGAGGAGACCCCCCCTACCGCCACCCCCGATTTTGAGAGAGGAGGGACATGCACGGTAATACTTCTGGGGACCCTCCACCAATGTCTGTACATTCCTCTGCTGTCCCAGCCTCTTCCCTCTGCGTCTCACACCCACACACTCCAGCTCCTGGGTCACCTCCGAAGCCCAGGGGGAGGTGGTGAGCAGGGCGGAGTCTCGGGGTGAAAGAAAACCAGGCAGCAAACGCCTGGGTTGGCATCCGGGTCCCAGAGATGTCACCGGTACCTTTGCTGCTGCTGCTACTGACCCTGGACCCCACAGGGGCCTCGCTGATGCGGTAAAGGGGACCCCAACCCAACCTAGGAGGCCCTCCCCCCTTTCCTGTCATATCTGGAGCTCCCCAATTCAATGGCTCCCAAACCTGGCACCTTTGTATCCATGACTCCTATCTCGTGGGTCCCCAGATCTGCCACTGGGCTCATCCCTGAGGATGGCACCCCGATATCGGCTAAGACCCCAGTCCTTATAATGCTAGATCCTCTGACTCCTGATGGGGGCCCATCTCCCCACTGTCCAGATCTGGAGGGCCCTGCCAATCCCCCCTTAAGCTCTGACCATCTGGTACTGGGGTCTCCACACTTGGGGCCCTCTCCACGCAGATCTTAGAGACCCAGATTGTGGTGTTTAACCTGACTCCCTCAGAGTCACATCTTTCGGTCTCAAGAAACCAAATTTGGGGAACCCAATTATCTCCCCCTCTGTTGTCTTCCCTCAGTTTCTCCTCTCCTCTCTTCAGCCCCTGAAACTTTTGATAGGAGGAAGGGGGTACTCTCCCAGGAAGCTTTTTCCCAACTTACATTCCTGAGCTCTGGAGAAACTCAGAAGCAGAGAGCAGGCATTATTCCTGAGGTTTTTTTTTTTTTTTTTTGCCTTTTTAAAAGATTTTATTTTTGCACAGAAGAGCTGGGTGTAGGCCAGAGGTATGGGGTGGGGGGCGGGTGAGAGTGTTCACAGATCCACTGAAACATACTGCTGAGGGGAGCAGCGGGGAAACAGGAGAGGTCTGCTGCGCCATGTGGGTCGCTCCCTGGCCAGGGATCAAACTCCTGCAGCAGTGGCTGCCGATAATTTGATAGCACTGAGACTTAACCCTTGCGCCACCAGGGAGGCCATTATTTTACATATTTTTTACATATGTATTTATGCATACAAGAGCTGAGGTGTAGGTCAGAAGTGTGGGGGGTGAGATGAGTCACCAGAGACAGAGTGGGGAGCAGAACAGGCAGACTGACGAAATACACTGCTGAGGGGAGCAGCAGGGAGACAGGAGAGGTCTGCTGCGCCATGTGGGTAGCTCCCTGGCCAGCCGGAAATTGAACTTGTGTTGGAGTGGCTGCAGACAGCTTCATAGGTTGAGTCTTAACCCCTTGCGCCACCAGGGAGGCCCTACTTTACATAATTTTTAATGTCTCCTATTGAAAGGTTTGGGGAAGGTCTGTTGGGGATGGTTTGCTCAGTCTTTGGGGAAATTTGTCATGAGGGATTGGCATTTCCGGGAAGGTGAGTCTAGCCGGGAATTCAGCAGTGACTGCGTAGGGCCCTGAGGTGCCCGATGGGTCATGTGCCCCGCTGGGGACGTCTGCACAGAGCATGTCCCGGAAGGGCGGCTTCTGCCCGTCAGTATCCTCCTCCCCACAGGATCCGTCTTCACCGAGCCCACACTGGACGAGGGACCTTGAACCCACTGAGAGGATGGGGGAAGCCATCAGAGCCCCCCGGACTGGGCACCCCATCCCCTGGGGGCAAGCCCATCTCTGTGCCTCTCTCCAAGATATTCAACGTGAGTCCCAGCCCCACACAAGTTCCCCACAATCCACATTCCTTGGTCCTCATGCCCAGCTCCTCACTGACGCTGTGTTCTGTTTTGCCATCAGGCCCAGTATTACGGAGAAATCGGGCTCGGAACGCCCCCCCAGAACTTCACTGTCATCTTCGACTCTGGCTCGTCCAACCTCTGGGTCCCGTCCACGAAATGCCACTTCAGTCTGCCCTGCTGTGAGCTTCTGTGGGGGAGGACAGGGCTAGATGAGTGGGGTTAGGGCTAGATGGGGCGGGGGTAAAAGATGATGGGGGGGTTTGAGGCACTGCCCTCTCTGACATGCCCCCTCAGGTGAGAAGATCAGAGGGGTGGGAGATATTCTGCAGCTCCCCTGCCCCGGTGACACTTCCCTGACCTTCTGACCTAGGGTTCCACCGCCGCTTCAACTCCTCAGCCTCCAGCTCCTTCAAACCCAATGGGACCAAGTTTGCCATTCAGTATGGAACTGGGCTGCTGAAGGGCTTCCTGAGTGAGGACAAGCTGACCGTGCGTGACCTCTGACCCCAGGAGGGCTTGGGCCTGGGGGAACCCCCAAGTCTAAGATGACTTGTGTTAGGGAGCTGGTTTGAGGAGAAGAGGCTTTCTGGGGAAATGGATGAGGGGCGGGGCTTCCCTGGAGGGGCGGGGCTTCCACAAAGGCGGGGCTGCCGGTGGGGGCGGGGCCAAGGGGCGGGGCTTCTCAAGGCAGGCGGCTCTGCCCACCCCTGCAGTGGGCATTGTTTCTGGGCGCCCTCACCTGAGGTTCCTGCTTTGGGTTGGGGAAGCCCACGGGTAGGGATGTCCTTCCAGAAGTAACTTCCTGCTTCACTGTGTCCCCAGCTCGGAGGAGTCACAGGGGCGTCGGTGACCTTCGGGGAGGCTGTGTGGGAGTCCGTGCTTTTCACTGCCGCTTTAAGTGATGGGATATTGGGCCTCGGCTTCCCCACTCTGGCCGTGGGAGGAGTTCGGCCGCCGCTGGACGTGCTGGTGGACCAGGGGCTCCTGGATAAGCCTGTCTTCTCCGTCTACCTCAACAGGTAACGGGATGGGACTGCCTTCCTGCGCCCTGGTCCCCAAGGAGGGTGTTCTAGTCATCTTGAGAAAGTCCCTTCCCCCATAAAGGTTGTCGCCCCCTCCATTCAGGAAGTCACACAGCACCCCTCTGCACAGGACATCACCACCCGCCAGACGAAGGCCCAGTGCAGTCAGGAAGCCGCCTGAGCAGGATAAGAATCACCTGGGCCTTCTTTAGCAGTTTCGCTCCCTAAGCAGGGCTGAGGACATACGAAACTCACCGTCACTTAACCTCCATGTTTCCAGCTCAAACCAGGAAATGACATTTCCATTCCACTCCCACTGGGTAGGGGAGGGACTTCCCTGCCCCAACTCAGGAACCCTCAGTTCACCGTAAACACCCCACATTCCACTTGAGAACACACATTCGGAGTCAGCACTGCCAACCTATTCCCAGAAGCTCTGCCTCTGGCAGGAAGCTCACACCATCTGGGAAGTCCCCATGTCTCCCTGAGCCCCCCCAGGCACAGGCAGGAGTCCTGCGCCCCTCTGTCACTCCGCCTCACACCTGCTCAGGAGCCCTGCCACCTCGTAGTGGCTTCTGCCTCCTGCGCCTTCCATGGGGGGGACCCTGCCTCCCACACCTCCTGGAGTCCTGCCCCTCTGCCCCTCTTGGCCAAATCAGGAAGTCAGGTTCCCCTGACCGTGGAGACACCCCAGGAAGGCTGTTCACCTGGCGCCTTTCTTCCGCACCCAATATCAGCGCCCACTGATTCCTACCACCCCACTGAGAGTGCAACCCCATACACACACACTGGCAGGAGGCCCTTCCTCAGCCTCTGCCCTGCTGGCAAGGGACCCAACCCCAAGGCACTGACAGCCCTGTACCCTGCAGGGACCCCAAAGCGGCTGACGGAGGAGAGCTGGTTCTGGGTGGCTCAGACCCCGCGCACTACATCCCGCCCCTGACCTTCGTACCCGTCACAGTCCCTGCCTACTGGCAGGTCCGCATGGAGGGGTGAGGCGCCTCCTCTGGGCCGGGGGTGGGCTGGCCCTGATCCCGGTGTCTGGGAGGGGCTGGGACTCCGACTTCTGGTGAAGGATAGGCTTGGGCTCAGACACCTGAATTTGAGAAAGAAGCACTGGGGTCTGGACCCCTAGGTCTGAGGGAGGAGGCTGGGGGCCCTGGACCCCTGGGTCTGAGGGAGGCTGGGGGGCCTGGACTCCTGGGGTGCTGGCTCTGATGGCTGACGCCTTGCACAGGGTGAAGGTGGGCACAGGACTGACTCTCTGTGCCAGGGGCTGTGCTGCCGTCCTGGACACAGGCACACCAGTCATCACAGGACCCAGCGAGGAGATCCGGGCCCTGCACAAGGCCATTGGGGGACTCCCCTTTCTGGGTGGGGAGGTGAGGACCCTGTGTCTGCTGGGTGTGGGCTGGGGAGGCTGATGGGGGTGATGGTGGACACTGGGTTTGATGTTAGGCCTGAGAACATTAAAGGACAAAGTCACTGGGCATGGTCAGTGACGGTTGGGGTACAGGTGGGAAGTAAGGAACTCCCTGGGGTGCTCCCAGTGCTTGGTGGATGGGAGGGGATGATGAGGCAAGTTTATCAGGATTGGCTGATAGCGAGAAGCTTGGGGGTCTGGGGCTTCTGGAAGAGGCTCCAAGGGGGCCAGCAGTCAGCCATGGAGGAGGGGAACCCTCAGAGGTGGGCAGCCCCCATGGGGTGAAAGTGCAGACAGCTGGAGCAGCTGGAGGCCTGGGAAGAGCATCCCAGGGCCGCATAGACAGTTGAAGCCTAAAGTGGGACTTGGCCAGGGGCTCAAGAGCTGCCCCGCACCCCAGCACTCAGGAGGCCCTGCAGGGGTCTGGGGAGGGACTGTGTCCTTCAGGTGATTTCTGACCCCCCCATCACTGGGCCCTCTGGTGCTGCTGAGACGGTGGTGAAGACTCGGGGGTGAGGTTGTGAGCTGAAGCTGAGGGCGGTGACACCATCATGTGGGGATGTAGGCGAGTGGGAGGCTACAGAGGGCAGCAGAGCCGGAACACATGGCCCCGCGTACCCAGCTGCCCGCTTTGGACAGCCTCATGGCACCCGGGAGGCTCTGAAGCGAGTGCGCAGGCCAGGAACCTGCCATCACCACTGTGCTCTTCTCCCTCAGTACTTCATCCCATGCTCGCTAATCCCAAAGCTCCCCACAGTGTCCTTCCTCCTCGGGGACGTCTGGTTTAACCTCACGGCCGAGGATTACGTCATCCAGGTAGGTGGGCATCAGGGTGCCTTCGGAGGGAAGCCATAAAATGCAGCTGCAGAGGTGGAGCTGGGGGTGCCCCCTGCCTGGGAGGGAGGAGGGCCACAGACACCCCTCCAGAGCCCGGGCAGGGTCTGGATCTCTGGCTCCCAGTTGGGGGCCCGGTGGGCGTGACACCCCATGTGGCCTTGCAGTTTCCTCAAGGTGGCCTCCCTGTCTGCCTCTCCGGCTTCCGGGCAGTGGACGTGCCTCCGCCAGCGGGACCCTTCTGGATCCTCGGCGATGTCTTTCTGGGCGCCTACGTGGCCGTGTTCGACCGTGGGGACCCAAAGGGCGGCGCCCGGGTGGGACTGGCGCGTGCACGCTCTCGGGGTGCTGCCTCACAGGGCGATGCACAGGGGCAGCCGCGGGGGTGAAGGCCTGTGGGCCGCGTGGGCACTGGGTCATGCCACAGGTTCCCCCCTAAAACAAGCACTGGCAGTCCTCTCCCTCGCCCCTGCTCAGTAAAATTTTCTATTTCATTGAATCCTCCTGGGTCACTTTGTTCTTTTTTTTATTTTTATTTTTTTTATTTTTGGAAGTTATGGAACAACCCAGTTCCTTGTGTTTAATGTGCGCTTTTTGGGGAGAAGAGTCGATTCCCTCCCTTGGGCCTTCCTCCGGGGCTGGGGTGACGCTGGTGCAGGTACCCCAGTAGGCACCGCTGCTGGCCGCACTCCTGCAGTCACAGGGATGCCAAAGAGATGGGCTGAGGGTGGGGGCAGAATTCCTCAGGCTGGGCACTATTGATACTTTAATGGAGGGATGATTCCTGCTTGGAGGGGGTGTCTGGTGCATTGTAGGATGTTGAGCAACTTCCCCGGCTGCTGCCTGCTAGATGCCAGTTGTCACAACCACAAGTGTCTCTGGTGACCCATGTGCCCTGTAGGTGGGGGCAGAAGCCCCTCTGAGGACCCCATGGCTAGAGGTGGATGGAAGGGTGACCCCAAAAACACAGTGACCCAACGGCAGGGGCGGGGTGGGTGTCTGCGCACCAACAGAACGGTTCTGTCAGCTTTTTTGTTGTTGCATACAAGAACTGGGGTATAAGCCAGAGGTGCTGGGGTGAGAGGATTCACCAGGGACACAGTGGGGAGCAGAACAGGTGGATCCACTGAAGTACACTGCTAAGGGGAGCACTGGGAGACAGGAGAGGTCTGCTGCGCCCTGTGGGGAACGACCTCAGGCCTTTACAGTGAATAGTGCTTAGGGCCTCCCCGGTGGTGCAGCGGTTGAGCACTGGGTTGCGAAACTGCCTGCGGCCTCTGCAGTGCCGGTTCGATCCCCGGCTGCTCCCCGGCCACTGGAGGAGGGTCCCACATGGCGCGCAGACCTCTCCTGCCGCCCGCTGCTCCCCTCAGCAGTGTACTTAGGTCCTTCTGCCTACTCTGCTCCCCGCTCTGGCTCTGGTGAATTCTCTCACCCTCCCGCACTTCTGACTGTACCCAGTGCATGTATAATCAAACAAACAAACAAACAAATAAATAAAGCATGCCTCTATAAAAAAAAAAAAAAGTCTTACAGTGAATAGTGCTGAGACGTACCTACACCAACAAGGAGGCCCCGATTCTTTCAGCCTTGCTGTATGTTGGCTTTTTTTCATAATGAAATTTTTTTAATGTGCTATTCAAGAACAGGCAAAACTAACCTAGGAGTCAAGGTATTATCTTCCTTTGGGGGACACTGGCAGGAGATGGTGGGAGCAGGGAGTCACTGGCCACTCTGCATGTGGAAGAGTGTGCCAGACTGATGATGTAAAGATGTGCCCGGGTGTGAAGAATGTGACGTCTCCATCTTATTTGAATGATGCATGATAAAAATAGACGGGTCCTGGGTGGATAGTGGGTCGAGGTGTGATGAGGAAATTTCAGCAGAATAGATTAATTGTACAAATGGAGGTGGTAGCTAATGGGGACACACTATAAAATTATTTTTTTAGGATTTATTTATTTATGCATACAAGAGCTGGGGTGTGGGCCAGAGGTGTGGGGGGCGGAGAGGACTCACCAGAGACAGAGTGGGGAGCAGAACAGGAATATCTACTGAAATCCACTGCTGAGGGGAGCAGCGTGGAGACAGGAGAGGTCTGCTGTGCCGTGTGGATAGCTTCCTGGCCGTGGACTGAACTCGTGTTGCAGAGGCTGCGGATAGCTTCATAGTGCTGTGCTTAACCCCTTGCGCCACCAGGGAGGCCCCGGCACCCTATAAAATTCTTTCAATTTTTCTAGATGCTTGAATATCTTAATAATATCATGCTCAGGGATATAATGAAAACCAGGCCATGGAGCACATCAAAGTTGTTCCTGTTACTATATACACACATCATCTATTTCTTTTGAGCACTCCAAGGTATAAGGTTAAGGGAGGAAAAGTTGCAGATCAGTAAGTCAATTATGTTAATGTTGACTTAAAAATATACAGGTTGGGACCTTCCTGGTGGCCTAGGAGTTAAGTCTCAGTGCTATCATTGCTAAGGCCTGAGTTCCATCCCTTGCCAGGGAGCTACCCACATGGCACAGCAGACCTGTCCTGTCTCCCTGCTGCTCCCCTCAACAGTGTATTTCAGTAGATCCACCTGTTCTGCTCCCCACTCTGTCTCTGGTGACTCCTCTCACCCCCTGCACCTCTGGCTTACAATCCAGATCTTCCATACACACACACACACACACTCACACACACACTATGCAGGCGTCTAGTGACACATAACTGTAAGTTAAAAATCCAAAAAGATGGGGTTTCTCAGCAAAGTTAATGGCCGCATGATGGATGGGGTTGTTCAAAAATATGTGTTCTTGGGCTTCCCCTTTGGCGCAGTGGTTGAGCGCTGGGTTGCAGCCTCTGCAGCGCCGGTTCGATCCCCGGCCACTGGGCGAGGGTCCCACATGGCGCGCAGACCTGTCTTGCCACCCACTGCTCCCCTCAGCAGTGTACTTTGGTCCTTCTGCCTGCTCTGCTCCCCGCTCTGGCTCTGTACCCAGTGCTTGTATAAATAAATAAATAAACCTTAAAAAAAAAATATGTGTTCTTGGGCTTGGACTCTGGAGTCAGAAACTCATTACATTTGAGAAGCTTAATCAGGGGGCCAGGTGGCAGCTGAGACAGAGAGCCCGCAAGTGATTTTCAGGCTTCCCGAGGTGGTAGGTCTGGGGTGATGTGTATGTTTCAATATTTTTTTGAATACAGCAGTAGATCGGGGTCCTTACACTCTGGGAGCCCCACTTAAGCTGCTAGGGTGTGCTCTGACCTTCTCTCTTCCCCTTCACTGACTCCCCGCCCGCCCTTCACTGCTGAGCAAACACTTGTGGTGAATGAGTCTCGGAAAAGTGAAGTGAAAGTCAAGAGTAAAAGTGATGTAGCTGAAAGGTAGAGGGAGGGTGCTTGGCTGAGGAGACCCCGCAGCGCCACCCCGATTTTGAGTGAGGAGGGACATGCGGGGTAATACTTCTGGGGACCCTCCACCAATGTCTGTACATCCTTCAAATGTCCCAGCCTCTTCCCAGCACAGGGCGGAGTTTCGGGGTGAAACAAAGCACCTGGGTTCATACCCAGGCCCCAGAGATGTCGCTGCCACCTTTACTGCTGCTGCTGCTGCCGCTCCTGATCCTGGACCCTGCAGGGGCCTCGCTGATCAGGTACTGGGGACCCCACGCCATCCCTGGGATGACATTCCCCCTCTTGCCCTTCATATCTAGAGCTCCCCAGTTCAGTGGCTCCCAAACCTGGCACCCCTGGTTCATGACTCCTATCTTGTGGGTCCCCAGATCTGCCACTGGGCTCAGCCCTGAGGACAGCACCCCACATCAGCTAAGACGCAGTCCTTATAGTACTAGATCCTCCAACCCCAGACTCCTGATTGGGCCCATCTCCCCGCTTTCCAGATCTGGAGGACCCTGCCATTCCCCCCTTATGCACTGACCATCTGGTACTGGGGTCTCCACACTTGGGGCCCTATTCTCCGCACAGATCTTAGAGACTCAGATTGTGGCGTTTAACCTGACGCCTTCAGAGTCACATCTTTAGGTCTCAAGAAACTCATTTTGGGGTAACCCAATTATCTCCCCTTCCGGTTTCTTACAAAAGCTGGGATACAGACCAGAGATGCAGGCGGGGGAGGGTGTGTGTGTGTGTGTGTGTGTGTATTCACCAGAGACAGAGTGGGGAACAGAACAGGCAGACTGACTGAAGTACACTGCCAAGGGGAGCGGCAGGCAAGTCAGGAGAGGTCTGCTGCGCCATGTGGGTTGCTCCCTGGCCGGCTGGGGATTGAACTCCTGCTGCAGAGGCTGCGGATTGCTTCATAGTGCAGTGTTTAACCCCTTGTGCCACCAGGGAGGCCCCACCCCTTGAAGCTCTTGATAGGAGGAAGGGGGCACTCTCCCAGGAAGCCTTTTCCCCACTTACATTCCTGACTTCTCAAGGACTGAGTCAGGTGGGGTTGAGGTGACCAAGGAGCCGGGCTCCGGGAAGTGACAACAGCCAGGTCCAACCTGGCTGCAACCTGCTTTTGACATGTGACTTCTCGTGGCCATTTCCTGGGTCATTGCAAAGCTCTGACACCCCAAGTGTTGTCTCAAGAACAAATTACCAGTGAATGTGTTAGATGCAAATTCTCAGGCTCTCTCCCAGACCCACTCAAATGGAAACTAAGAGAGTTGAATGTTGTTTTTTTTATTTTTTTTTTTAATTTTTTTTTTATAGAGGCATGTTTATTTATTTATTTGTTTGTTGGTTTGTTTTGTTCATACATGCACTGGGTATAGTCAGAAGCGCGGGAGGGTGAGAGAATTCACCAGAGCCAGAGCAGGGAGCAGAGCAGGCAGAAGGACCGAAGTACACTGCTGAGGGGAGCAGCGGGCGGCAGGAGAGGTCTGCGCGCCATGTGGGACCCTCCTCTGGTGGCCGGGGAGCAGCCGGGGATCGAACCGGCGTCGCAGAGGCTGCGGGCAGCTTCGCAACCCAGCGCTCAACCGCTGTGCCACCGGGGAGGCCCGAATGTTGTTTTTTTTAAAGGTTTATTTATTTATGCATACAAGAACTGGGGTACAGGCCAGAGGTACAGGGGGCTAAGAGGATTCACCAGAAACAGAGTGGGGAACAGAACAGGCAGAGTGACTGAAATACACTGCTGAGGGGAGCAGCAGGTGAGTCAAGAGAGGTCTGCTGCGCCATGTGGGTAGCTCCCTGGGGGTTTGAGGAGGCTAGATTTTCTGTCATGGAAAAACTTGTGAATAATAGTTCCCTGGGGATAACTTATTTTACATTATTTTTATTTTTAAAGATTTATTTATTTATGCATACAAGAACTGGGGTACAGGCCAGAGCTGTGGGGGGGTAAGAGGAGTCACCAGAGACAGAGTGGGGAGCAAAACAGGCATTGGCGTTTCCAGGAAGGTGAGTCTAGCCGGGAATTCAGCAGTGACTGCGTAGGGCCCTGAGGTGCCCGATGGGTCATGTGCCCCGCTGGGGACGTCTGCACAGAGCGTGTCCCGGAAGGGTGGCTTCTGCCCGTCAGTATCCTCCTCCCCACAGGATCCGTCTTCACCGAGCCCACACTGGACAAGGGACCTTGAACCCACTGAGGGGATGGGGGAAGCCATCAGAGCCCCTGGGACTGGGCACCCCATCCCCTGGGGACAAGCCCTTCTCTGTGCCTCTCTCCAACTACATGAATGTGAGTCCCAGCCCACACAACCCTGCACAACCCACTGCCTCAACCCTCACATCCAGCTCCTCACTGACGCTGTGTTCTGTTTTGCCATCAGGCCCAGTATTACGGAGAAATCGGGCTCGGAACGCCCCCCCAGAACTTCACTGTGGTCTTCGACACTGGCTCGTCCAACCTCTGGGTCCCGTCCAGGAAATGCTACTTCACCCCGCCGTGCTGTGAGCTTCTGTGGGGAAGAACAGGCTGAGTGGGGCTAGGGCTAGATGAGGGGGGCTGGGGTGCTGGGGGGGCTTGAGGCAAGATGTGGGGGTGAGGCACAGTGAGGCACTGCCCTCTCTGACATGCCCCCACAGGTGAGAAGATCAGAGGGGTGGGAGATATTCCGCAGCTCCCCAGCCCCAGTGACACTTCCCTGACCTTCTGACCTAGGGTTCCACCGCCGCTTCAACTCCTCAGCCTCCAGCTCCTTCAAACCCAATGGGACCAAGTTTGCCTTGCAGTATGGAACTGGGCGGCTGAAGGGCTTCCTGAGTGAGGACAGGCTGACCGTGCGTGACCTCTGACCCCAGGAGGGCTTGGGCCTGGGAGAACCCCAAAGTCTGAGATAATCAGTTAGGGAGCTGGTTTGAGGAGGAGAGAATTCTAGGGACGCAGGAGGGGGAAGTGGATGAGGAGTGGAGCTTCACGTGGAGGGGTGGGGCTTCCCATGGAGGGGCGGGGCTTCAAACGGAGGGGCGGGGCTTCAAGCGGGGCGGACCTTCCTCTACAAAGGCGTGGGGCCGGGCTTCTCCAGGCAGGAGGCTCAGCTTCCCCTGCAGGGAGCATTGTTTCTGGACGCTGTCACCTGACGTTAGTGCTTTGGATTGGGAGAGCTCGCAGATAGGGGTGTCCTTCCAGAAGTAACGTTTGACTGTGTCCTTAGCTCGGAGGAGTCACAGCACAATCTGTGACCTTCGGGGAGGCTGTGTCGGAGCCCAGCCTGGTCTTCACTTTTGCTCGCTTTGATGGGATATTGGGCCTCGGCTTCCCCACTCTGGCTGTGGGAGGAGTTCGGCCGCCGCTGGACGTGCTGGTGGACCAGGGGCTCCTGGATAAGCCTGTCTTCTCCTTCTACCTCAAGAGGTACGGGGTGGGTCTGCCTTCCCGCGCCCCACTCCTTCGGAGGGTTCCACCTGACTTCGAGAAAGTCCGTTACCCCCCACCCTCCCCCCAATAATCCATGGAGGATGTCCCTCCTCCATTCGGGGAGTCACAGGGCTGTGTAAAGTGATGGGGTCTTAACAACAATTCATCTTACCCTCAAGGTGATCCAGTGAGTAGAGCTGTATGCTCCCCGAGTTTTTACAGATACACAATTGGTGTTAGTGGATTCTGCTTCTTCAGCTCAGCTCTCGACCAATTATATGTAAAATAGACTTTGTCAGCATCTTTTTATTTTTTCCCATTTTAAAAAAGGACAGGCTTATTAGCAATGGAAAGGACAAGATGTCAACGTGTGTATTTTTAATGTGCGCTGTGCGGGGGTGCTGATTCACATAGATTGGTCTTAATATCATCAACAGACTAAACATGTATTTTTAAAAATTATTTTTATTTATGCATACAAGAGCTGGGGTGTAGGCCAGAGATGGAGGGCGGGGGGGGGGTGAGAGGATTCACCAGAGACAGAGTGGGGAGAACAGGTGGATCCACTGAAATCCACTGCTGAGGGGAGCAGCGGGGAGACAGGAGAGGTCTGCTGTGCCATGTGGGTAGCTTCCTGGCCGTGGACTGAACTCGCGTTGCAGAGGCTGCGGATAGCTTCATAGTGCTGAGACTTAACACCTTGTACCACCAGGGAGGCCCTCTGAACACGTATTTTGGGGAAAAGGATCAGTGAACTTTTCAGAAGTGAATCTTTGACAAAAAAATGGATTCCTAGTTGATGCTAGGAATCACCCCACACAGGAAGCTCCTCCTGTGCTGAGGAAGCTGCTCTCCCAGTGTAAGAAACATGTCAAGCCCTGCTCACAGAGTGACATTGTGATGCATATGAGAGTCACCGTCCTTTAGATGCTCCCCGCTTGCACCTTAATGCAGTAAATGCCATCCCCCACCCAGCATTCGACTTCACAATCACCTCTTCATACACTGGCTACATTCCGTTTGGGAATACTCCTTGGGAGCCAGCCACAGCCTGGCTCCATAGACGAAGTCCTGCCCACATTTTAGGACACTCAAGCCCCAGCTGCTCCAGCCAGGAAGTCTCTGCTTTGCTACTGGAGGCCCTTCCCCTGCAGCACACCCTGTGCCAGTCAGCCGCTAGGAGGTCCAATGGCTCCCATTCCGGGCCCCCCCTCTTACTGGACTCAGCTCCCCACTCTGTGCAGGAAGTCAGGGTACTCAGGAGTCCCAGCCTTAGCAGATCCTACCCTCCTGTACCCTGAGAAGTGCCAGCCTTGTCTTCATTCCTACTCAGCCAATTCTGGAAATCAGATGCCTCAGAGCTTGGAGACACATTCAAGAAGTCTCAGCTGCTACCGGAAAGCCACGCATGACTACACAAAGACTTCCAGAGCCAGTGTACAAATCCCAACTGTCCACTTAAATTTCTCCAGCCAAATCAGAGTCTGTCACCACACCGGAAGGCCCCCCCCCCCATCCTAACTTCCTACCCTCTATCCCATTTCTTTTTACCTCACAGCTTGCTTCCAGTATCAACACCGGCCTCCCCACCCCAGATTCCCACATCCCATCTAGAGCACTTACCCACACCCCCCCACACACACATTGGCAGGAGGCCTTTCCTCAGCTTCTGCCTTGCTGGCAGGGGAACTCCAAGATGCTGACAGCACTGTGCCCTGCAGGGACCCCAAAGCTGCTGATGGAGGAGAGCTGGTTCTGGGCGGTTCAGACCCCACACACTACATCCCGCCCCTGACCTTCCTGCCTGTCACTGTCCCTGCCTACTGGCAGGTCCGCATGGAGGGGTGAGACGCCTCCTCTGGGCTGGGGGGTGGGGGCGGGTTCAGGCTGGCCCTGATCCCTGTGTCTGGGGGAGGGGCTGGGACTCGACTTCTGGTGGAGGATGGGCTTGGGGTCAGACACCTGAATGTGAGAAAGAAGCACTGGTGTCTGGACCCCCAGGTCTGAGGGAGGAGGCTGGCGGCCCTGGACTCCTGGGGTGCTGGCTCTGATGGCTGATGTCTTGCAATGACAGGGTGAAGGTGGGTGCAGAACTGACTGTTTGTGTCCAGGGCTGTGCTGCCATCCTGGACACAGGCACGTCCCTCATCACAGGACCCAGGGAGGAGATCTGGGCCCTGCACAAGGCCATAGGAGGAATTCCCTTTCTGGGTGGGCAGGTGAGGACCCTGTGTCTTATGGGTGTGGGCTGGGGAGGCTGATGGAGGTGTGATAGTGGAACTGGAGCAGGATGCTGGGGCCAGAGAGTGGTATCAGGCATCCTAGGATGGAAGGCACGAGAAGTGGTGACAGGCTGAGGTTGGAGGACACCGCTAGGGGTGTGCTCTGAGTGCTTGGATGGGAGGGGATGATGAGGCAGATTTCTCGGGACTGGCTGGGAGTGAGAAGCCTAGGGGTCTGGGGCTTCTGGAAAAGGTTCCAGGGACATTTAGGGACCAGCAATCTGCCCCGGAGGAGGGGAACCCTCCAGAGATGGAGCAGCTTAGCACTCAGGAGGCCCTGCAGTTTCTGGGGAGGGGCTGAGTCCTTCCAGGTGAATCTGTCCCTCCATTACTGGGCCCGTTGATGCTCCTGCGACAGTGAAGACTGAGCGTGGGCTGAAGGCCTACGTGTGGGCAGGGCCAGAGGTTGACAAGTCACTGAACATCCCTTTTCCTCAGTTTCCTCATGTCTGAAATAGAGGAACTAACACCACCACTAAGGTATGCTGTGAGGACTACTGGACTCATGCACTCACAGTGTGAGCAGTGCGGGGACGGCTGGGGTTGCTGCTGTCGCCCCTCCTTTCAAGAGTTAGACACTGTCGAACTCGTCACCGCTCCCTGGCCAGAGCCATCCCGCTGCTTTTCCAGGAAGCTACACTTTGGGGGTGTTATTCCTAGCAGTTTAATACTGTTTTCCAAGGTGCTTGGGAGTGATGGGATTGGAAGACACTGGACAGAGTGTCCCCAGCTCAGAAGGGCAGCTTCTGGCCACTCAGCTCCAGACAAGTATTGTCATGTAGCGAAAGCCAGTTCTGCCTGGCTGATTGGTGTACCTGAAAATAGTATTTCAAGCTCCTGGTTTGTAATCAACACTTGCGCTTCCTAAGTGTCAGGCATTCTTCCACGCTACTCATTTTTTTCTCACCCAATTCCCTATGAGGTCTATATTATGTTAGTCCACAGCTTCAGATTGGAAACTGAGGCACAGAGAGGTTAAGTTACTTGGCTGATGTTGCACAGCAGCAGACTCCATAGGATACAATCGGAGCATCTTGGTCTACAGTTGGTAATTAATTTTGAAAACAATTTCGACTCAGTTTAAGGCAAACTGAAGAACCTGTGGACCTACTGTGGCCTGTGGGCCACCAGTTCTTGATCTACTATTCAATAAAGAAGGGTTTGATGAAAGGAAGCCGAGGGCGGCGACACCCATCATGTGGGGGTGTAGGTGAGTGGGAGGCCAGAGGGCAGCAGAGCCTGAACACACGGCCCCGCGTACCCAGCTGCCCACTTTGGACAGCCTCATGGCACCTGGGAGGCTCTGAAGCGAGTGCGCAGGCCAGGAACCTGCCATCACCAATGTGCTCTTCTCCCTCAGTACTTCATCCCATGCTCGCTAATCCCAAAGCTCCCCACAGTGTCCTTCTTCCTCGGGGACGTCTGGTTTAACCTCACGGCCGAGGATTACGTCATCCAGGTAGGTGGGCATCAGGGTGCCTTCGGAGGGAAGCCATAAAATGCAGCTGCAGAGGTGGAGCTGGGGTGCACCCTGCTTAGGAGGGAGGAGGGCCACAGACACCCCTCCAGAGCCCGGGCAGGGTCTGGATCTCAGGCTCCCAGGCGCGAGGCGTCACGAGGGGGCGTGACACCCAGGGGGCGTCGTGTGTATTTGCAGATTGCACCGGTTGGCGCCTTCCTCTGCTTGTCAGGCTTCCAGGCTCTGGACGTTCCTCCGCCGGCGGGGCCCCTCTGGATCCTCGGCGATGTCTTCCTGGGCGCCTACGTGGCCGTGTTCGACCGCGGGAACTCGACGGGCGACGCCCGGGTGGGGCTGGCGCGAGCTCGCCCTTCCCCCGCGGGAGCGCCGGCGGGTGGGCTCGCGCAGGCGCAGTCCTCTAGTTGAGGTCCTGGCTAGGCGCATGCGCCCTGGGTGGTAGCAGTGCAAACCCCCCCCCCCGCCCCGCTACTAGTAAAATTGCGCTCTTTCCATTGAACATATCTGGGTTGCTTTTTTTTTTTAACGCGCACACTTTTGGGCGAGAAAAGGTTCTGTCCGCACGTCTGGAGTTAAGACACGGAGGCAAAGGTGATCACTTCCCTCCACGGCGCACACCGGCACGGGGCCGCACTAGCGACCGGGGAGCCCGCGCAGGCGCGCCGTCGTCACGACGCGGAGCATCACGGGCGTTGTAGTCCAGGCGGCGTTCACGCCCCGCTGGGGGCGGGCGTAGCCACAACATGCGTGGGAGGCGACAGGTCGCGACGCCAGCGACAGGTGGCTGTGGGGGGCGGCCGAAACCGTCAAGTGTTTTCCAACCCTTGTTCTAACGGAATAGGATATCATTCCTGCACACCTCGTCTCGAGTTCTTCCTCAACCCGTGGGATTTCTGGACCCCTGGGTCGGCCATAAAGGCGGGGCTTGAAGCCCCCGGGTAGGGGGGAGCCGTGCTGCCCCTCCTCCGGCGATGATGTCACTCCCCCCTCTGCAGCCTCCCGCTGTCCAGAGCTGCTGGGGTTGGGTCACCCCTCCCCCCACCGCCAGCCCCGGATTCCCCCAGCCCCGCCCCGCCTCGACTTGGGGTGAGTACGGGGTTGGGGGAGAAGGCTCAGGGTCCGGGGGCGGTAAAACAGCCTAGATCTCAATTTGGGAGTGGGAGATTCGGGAGACAGGGATCCAAAGATTACAGCGGAGGGACTCCCCTCAATAGCGAGCTTTGGGGGGAATATTGGTCAAGGTACTTGGAGATTCTGTGCAAGGATTGTAGGCAGAGTCCCCATATTTTTACCTTTAACTTTCATGTCATGGAGAGGCTTTTCCTGGGTTTGGGTCTGACAACAATGGGTGTGGAAGAACGAGGAAGGGGTCGTAGACGTCATGAGGAAGCCCCTTCCCCAATTCCAGGGCTTTGGGGTTGGGGGAGGGAGAATTGGGCATGGGTGCTGAAAAGGATGGAGATGGGAGTTTGGAGCTTTCAGGAATTTTGTGGTTTGAGGCCCTGGGAAAGGATAGATTGGGCAGGAGGAGGGATGAGAAAGGGTCTGAAAACATGGACAGAGGTTGGCTTCTTCCTCCTGGTGTCCCTGGCAGAAAACCAAGTCTACTTCTCCCTGGTCTATTTGCAGAGCTGGGTGTTCTGTCACCTTGCCTCTCTTGTCGCCCATGGGTGGAAAATTCAGGTTCACAGATCCCTCACATTCCCCAGTGGGGTCTGGAAGGGGCACAAGGAAGTGATGGCATCCAAATTTCCCAGGACCAGGCCCCATCCTATTACTCCTTGCTGGCTGCCCTCACCCTCCTCCCCAAGTCTCCAATCCTGAATCTCATCCCATAGTATCCACTATTCCAGCCTCCCCCTCCCAGCCCCCACTTTTGCTTCTATCTTTTGACCTCTGCAACAAATGCTGATGTGGTAATTTGATCCCCAGCTTGGCTGCTGTCAAAAGCACAAGAGAAAAGCAGAATGGAGGTGGGGGTGGAGGACACAAGGGGGGACAGTTCACTCTCTTACCCTAGTCCCTACTTCTGGACCCCAGTGCCACTCAATTCCTGCCCCAGCCTCCATCCACACCCTGGACTTGTCCAGACGCTTTAGTCAACCCAAACCCTCACCTCAGGATTCACTGCTTCTGCCTGGAGATACACCAGAATTGGGACAGAGAGGAATATGAAGTCCTGGTGTCTTTTTTCTGCCCTCCTGGTGCCCATCTGGGGCTTATGGACAGCGCGAGGACACTGGATCCAGAGCAGTGAGGGAGCCTGGGCCTGGGCAGTAAGGGCTACTACTTTCCTGGTCTGCAGGACAGGTCCCACTTCTGCAACTCTCTGCAGTGACGCAGCCTCCAGCCCTGGCCAGGATGAGAGTTAGAGGGGGTGAAGGGAGGGGGTGTGGAGAGCCTGAGAGAAAGGGAGAGAGAGTCAGAGAGGGACAGAGACCAAAGGACAGTGAGACGAGTCCCAAAGAAGTGGGGACGGGGCGCTCGAAAGAGGCGCACAGACTACTTAGAAGTGGGTGAAAAAGCCGGGGGGACTAGAGACCATGAAGAGACAGAGAGAAAGAGAAAGGGCAGAAAGAGAAAAGGCTGACAGAGTGGGGGAAGACCCCCAGATGAATGGGCAGAGACCCAGAGAGAGCAGGAACAGCTCCTGGGGGCGGGGAGTAGAGGACAGACACACACAGAGGAGGGACAGAGATGTTCAGGGGCAGAGACCCGAGAGAGAGTGGCAAAGAGCCGAGAAAAAGATACTGGGGCGAAGGAAGAAAGATTGGGATGGGGGGACTGAGGCTCAGCGGGAAGAGGAGCAAAGATTCAAAAGGGGCGCAGATTCCGAGGGCAATGGGACAGGCCCAGAGGGAGGGCCGAGACTTTGCAAAGAGGGGCAGAGACGGGGTGGGGTGGCGGGGGAGGACACGTCCTCAAAAGAGGGGAGAGAGACACCGGGACACAGACGGGGGCGGGGAGCGGGGTCGAGGGGGAGGTGCCGATACTAACCCGCCGCGCACCTGCAGAGGGAGGCGGCGGGCCAGGGAAGGTGCAGGGCCGGGACGCCCGCAGCCCTGACCCGCCCCCTTCGCTCCCACAGGCTCCGCCTCCTCCCGCCGCAGCCCGAGCCGCAGCCGCTGGCCCCGCCCCAGCCCCGCGCCTGCGCCCTGCGTCCCGGCGGCTAGCCCGGCCTCGGGGGCGGGGCCGGACCCGCTCCGGCCCTGTCCGCCAGGTTATGGCCCCGCCCCTTCGTTAGCCCCGCCCCAGCCAACTCTCCCCTCCCATTGGGCGTCCCTGAAACCCAATCCCGCCCCACTTCCCATTGGCCCCGCCTAGCTTCAGCCGGGCGGGCCCTCCCGCCTCCCTGCTCGCCCGTCCGCCCCTCCGCCGGGCCTCCGGCCTGCAGTTCCCCGTGATTTGGGCCCCGACCCCTGTCCCTCGCCTGTGGGAAGGGCTCGCGCTGCCCCCTAAGGCCCCGCCGGCCCTCCTGGCCCTCTCCCGGGTACTCTGGTCCCCAAGGGCTCCGCTCCAGGTCCACCCCCTCCTCGCGGCCCGCAGCACGGAACCCGGCGGGTGTCGCCTCTCCCGGTGGGCGCCTCCCTCGCTCCTCCAGCCTCTCCGCAGCCCGCCCCGCTGCCGCCCAGCTCGGCTGCTCTCAAGCCCGACCCTCCCTCAGTGTCGCCCCCCCCCCCGCCCAGTCAAGGTTTTCTGGAATTCGTGGCCCGCGCCCCCCCTCAGTCCCGGCCCCTCCAGCCTCACGCCCCGTCCCACGTCCCAGGCTCGTCCGCCAGGGCCTCGGCCCGGCTTCCCTCGCCTCCCCCGCGCCCTCCGCCCGTCTCCCGGGACTCGGTCTCTGTCCCCCTGACGCGTCCGCTTTCCGTCCGCCTAGTGCCGTTTCGCGCGAGTCCTCGAAGGTCCCCACTTCCAGTTCCCGCGCCTCGCCCGGCCCCGCCCCCCGCGCTCCCGGCCCAATCGGGGCCGCGCTCCTTTCCCGGGCCCGCCCCGTGTCAGGGCCGCCGCCTCGTGCGGGCTGCGCCGAGAGCGCGGCCCCGGCTCCTCCCGCCCCCCCGGGTCGGGCTCCGCTTGCCCGCGCCTTAGGGCCGGGCGGGGCTCGACTGTGTCGGATCAGGGCCAGCGCCCCTGCACTGTGGCCCCAGCCCTCCCCGCGCCCGTCACGGCCGGCCGGCGCGCCCTGGGGAGCGCAGACTCCACTCAGTGCCCGCGGAGCCTGTCCCGGCGCGGCCGCGCCCCCGGCCTCCTCGCGCGGCCGGGCCAGGCCAAGGGAGCGGCCCGCGCCGCCTCCTTTAACACCTAGCTCGGCCCCGCCCCTGTCTCGGAAAGAGCCAATCGGCGCGTTTCATCTGCGGCCCCGCCCCAGCCAGCCAGGCCCGTCCCAGCCCTTCTCCGCGCTTCCACCCCGCCCCAACTCCCCCGCGGCCAGTCGCGTCGGCTCGCCTCAGCGCGGCCCCGCCTCCTCCCTCCGTCGCCTCCTCCCGCCCAATCGCGCCCGGCGGTGCCCTGCGGCCCCGCCCCCTCCCGCCCCGCCCCTCCCGCCCCGCCCCCCGGCCAATGCTGAGCTCAGTCTGCGTCTCGTCCTTCCGCGGGCGCCAGGGGGCCGGCAAGCAGCAGCCGGCGCCGCCGCCGCAGCCGCCCGAGTCCCCGCCGCCGCCGCCCCCGCCGCCGCCGCCGCCTGCGCAGCCCGGCCCCGCCGCGTCCCCGGCGGGCCCCCCGGCACCTCGCGGGCCCGGGGGCCGGCGCGCCGAGCCATGCCCCGGGCTGCCGGCGGCGGCCATGGGGCGGCACGGCGGCGGCGGCGGCGACAGCGGCAAGATCGTGATCAACGTGGGCGGCGTGCGCCATGAGACGTACCGCTCGACGCTGCGCACCCTGCCGGGGACGCGGCTGGCCGGCCTGACGGAGCCCGAGGCGGCCGCGCGCTTCGACTACGACCCGGGCGCCGACGAGTTCTTCTTCGACCGGCACCCGGGCGTGTTCGCCTACGTGCTCAACTACTACCGCACGGGCAAGCTGCACTGCCCGGCCGACGTGTGCGGGCCGCTCTTCGAGGAGGAGCTGGGCTTCTGGGGCATCGACGAGACGGACGTGGAGGCCTGCTGCTGGATGACCTACCGCCAGCACCGCGACGCCGAGGAGGCGCTCGACTCCTTCGAGGCGCCCGACTCCTCGGGCGCCGCCGGCGCCGCCGCCGCCGCGGGCGCCCACGACGCGGGCCTGGACGACGAGGCGGGCGCGGGCGGCGGCGGCCTGGACGGCGCGGGCGGCGAGCTCAAGCGCCTCTGCTTCCAGGACGCGGGCGGCGCCGGGGGGCCGCCGGGGGGCGCGGGCGGCGCGGGCGGCACGTGGTGGCGCCGCTGGCAGCCCCGCGTGTGGGCGCTCTTCGAGGACCCCTACTCGTCGCGGGCCGCCAGGGTGAGCGCGCTCTCGGGGCCCCCATCCCCTCGCGTCCCCCAGCGCCCCCACCCGCGGGAGCCTCCTCATCCCGGCCCTCAGAGCCCCAGCCCGGCCGCGGCGCCTCTTCTCCGCCCCCGGCCCCTGCGCGGAGTCTCCCGTGCTCCTCCGAACACACCCCCCTGCCCGGCTGTCCCCAGATCCCCAGAAGATGTGTCTCCAGCCTTCAGAGCCCCCCAGATCCCTCCGAACCCCACTCTGCCTCTCTAGGCCCCCCTGGACGCGTAGAAGTTGCCTTCCCCACCTTGCCTGCTCCCCTCCCGAGCCCTTCCCCAGTGTAGTCTCGTGAGCCCTGCTCAAGCACGTTCTCCCGGCCGGCTGGCCAACCCTCAGAAGACCCCTCTCTAGCTCTCAGGGTCTGCACTGTCCCGGACACTCAGAACACACTCCCCTGTGCCCCAGCCCGGGGAACCTGCCGGTCCCCACACCCCTCCATCAGCCCCTCTCCTGGGCCAGCCTCTCCCAACCCAGACCAGAGTCTTCCTCTGGCCCCCTCCCCACCGCTGCCCTTTCTCCCAGTGTCCTGACTATTCTTGAGCACTTCTGTTTCTTCCAGCCTCAGAGTCTCAGAAGACACCCTCTCCCCCCCACCCCGCCCCACTCTGTGCCGCTTGGACCCTCTGATCCTCTAAGCCACTTGCTCTAGCTGCGACATTGCCCCCTCCCCTTCACTGCAACCCTGAGAGGCGTGGGTGCTCTTCCCTCCTGGGACCCTCCAGCACCCTCCGTGTTCCTGTCCCTGCTGCATCCTCCACACTAACTCCCAGCCCAGACTTTCCCGGAAAGCTCCAGACTTGTCCCAAGTCTTTTCCACTCCTCCTCAATGTCTCCAGCAGAGTCCTGAGCTCCCTCGATGTGCCTTTCCTCTGCCAGGCCTTCCACGGGTGCCCCAGAATTGCTTCTTCCTCACACAGCTTCTCCCTGCCATCCCTGGGGCTGCACAACCCACTCCCAGTCTCTCCAGAGCTTCCCAAGCCCCTTTCCTAATCAAACCACTTTCCCTCCTACTCCAGAATCCCACCTAGCCTCTACCCTTGGGACACCCCTCATGCTATCAGTTCCCCAGACTTCCTCCTTAAAATAGCTCCTAATTCTTTCTGTCCTGCCCTGGTATCTTTCCACACACCCCCCCCCCCCCCAACTTCCCCTTAACCCTCCAGTCCAGAGCCCAGGACAGGGCTCCTCTGCTCCCTGCCAAAGTGAGCCGAGAATCCCCCCCCTCCCTTGTCTCCCTCCAAATTACAGATTTCCCCCCAAAGCTTTCTTCACCTCACCTCAAAACTTTCCACAAACATTTGTAACTTCCCAAACCCAATAGGTACCCTCCCCTCTGATTCTGCCTTGAATCCCTTCCTCTTCCTAACTTCCTCCCAGAGTCAGAAGAGACAGTTCGAATAGGGGGAATTAGAAAGTTCGAAGTAGAAAGAGGAGCGATTGCAGGACCCCCCCCTGCCCCCCCAGCCTCCTGGGGACCCAAACACCCGGAGGAGCTGGTCGGCCCCCTCCCCCCACCGTGCCGCGTCCTGGGCCGGGAAGGACGCGGAGCCGCAGTGCCGCATTCGCGCCGGGGGAGGGAGCGAGGGGGGGGCCGGAGGCACCGCATAAAGTTTGGTCCCCGGGAAGCGCTGAGTTGGCGAGATTTGGGGTTGAGTGGGGGGGAGGTGGGAAGGAGGAGTTGCGGCAGGGACCTGATCCCAAATGCCCCCCGGGCCTTTGCGGTCCCCTTCTCCCATGACCCGGGGCGCCCTTCCCCCTCCTGACCCCCTTGAAGGGTGCTGGGGTGCAGCTTGGGGTCCGGGACAACTGTGGGGGGATTACTCATTTACTCCATAATTTATTTATTTATGTATTTATTTACTTATTTGTTTGTTTATTTGCGTGTCCATAGTATCCCAAGCGCTTTCTGGTCTCCGAGTGAGATGACTTGAGAGTCGGGCGCTGAGGCCAGAGAGAAGTGGAGGGTCCCCCCCTCGCCCCACCGCTCCCGGTGTCCTAACCTCTCCTCTCCTTCTTACAGGACTCCACGCTCTCACGCCCCTTCTACTTTTGCGCCATCTCAGAGCAAGGGGTTAAAGCAGCCCCCACGCTGTCCAGCCTCTGCAGCTGCAGCGGGCGCCCACCTTCCCGCTAGGCGCTGGGCGGCCGGGAGTTAACCGAGCTCCTGGCCCGCGGCCTTCCGCTGGGAGGCGGCAGCACTGCGGCTGCGCGCCGCCTGCTCGGCTCCGGCCGAGAAGGGGTTAAAACCGGTCCCAGCCACTGCGGCTGCGCGCTCCGGCGGGGGAGCTGTCCGCGGTGCTGGCCGGCCCGCGCCCCGCCCCCAGGCCCGGCCGGCCCGCCCCCACTGCGGTGCCGCAGCCTGAGCCTCGCGCCCGGCTCGGCGGGGCGGGGGAGCACCGGGCATGCGCTCTGCGGCGGCCCCTGGCCTCTTAAACCACTGCAGAGAAAGGAGGGGGGCAGGTCCGGAAGAGCCCGGGCTCACCCCGAGTTACTAGATCCTCTTTGCACCCTGGCCCTAGTCCCCGTCTCTTCTCAGTCCTAGACTTTTCCTCTGCTCACTGGAGTAAAGACTCCTCCTTGCCGGGACACCCATCCCCTGCTCTCCCGGGACCAACCCTCCGCTTCCCCGCTCACCACCACATGTTTGGTGAAGCCCGCTGTTGCCTGCAGGGGCCTGATCCCCACCCCCTCGAGGTTTCCACCAGAACCCGCACCACTTTGTGCAGTCCGCGGTCCTCTCCCATCCCGGAATCACCCAGGTGCCTCACCCCCGACTCCCTCCACCTCTGACTAACGCCCCTCATCTCTCTGTAGCCCTAGCCCTGCCCTGTCCTCATGTCCATACTCCTGAACCTCCCTTTCCTCATCTCTAGTTCCCCATTTTGAAATCTTGATCCTTTACTTTCCCCTTCCAGGTCCTAACACGTTCCCCATCTCCCCTCTTCCTGCCCCCTCCCCTCCTCCGCCCTCCCGTCCCCCTGGGTCCACTCTTGTGCCGTCCTCTGGGTGAGGGTCTTCCCCAGCCGTCTCCCTTTTCTGGGGCCTGGACATTGGCCTTGCATCCTTAAGCCCTGGCCCCTCCCTGAGGCCTTGCAAAAGAGCCCCACTAGCTGATGCCCCCACACCCTTTGGGTCCATCAAACCAGCCCTGACACTGTCCAGCCTCTAGAGCGCAGATCTCCTTGCTGAGTTCCAGACACCGAACCGAGCTCTTTGGCGATAGTTATCTGACTTAATACAACAATTCTGGAAAAAAGAAATCAAAACCCACAAAACCCCTGAGCTCTGGAAAGCTTCATCTCCTGACCCAAATTAGGGGAAAGTCGGGTCCAGACCCAGGCAGTCTTACTCTCAGCCACCTCGTGATTCTGCCTCGAGCCCATCTTCTCCCCAACTTCCCTCGGCTCCAAGCCTGGCCCCGACGCCTCCGAGGCACAGAGAGTGTATGTTCTTAGTCTTCCCTCCCTCCGTTAGCAGAACCCTTGGACCCTGCCAGTGAGCCGAGAGACAGGACACAGGAGCAGGAGGGTGCGTGAGGCGGTCTCCGAGGACAGGCCGCCGGAATGACTTTTCCTAGAAAAAGTTGCCTTTGCCCCATGTCCTGCTGCTGCTGGGGTCGGCTTCTAGTCAGGGGGGAGCTGCCTCTGGCCCGTTCCCTCTCTCTTTATGAGCTCTAGAGAGGAGAACAGGACGTGGGAAGTGATGAGGCCACTGGGTGGGGTCCCCTGGCTTCCCCCGGAGCTTGGGGCTGGGTAGGGAGGGGCTTGTGGAGGTGCCTCATCGACCAGATGTCTGGGTCACCTGTCGCCCCTCTCTTCCGCCCTGTCCTGCAGTATGTGGCCTTCGCCTCGCTCTTCTTCATCCTCATCTCCATCACCACCTTCTGCCTGGAGACCCATGAGGGCTTCATCCACATCAGCAACAAGACGGTGACCCAGGCCTCCCCGATCCCCGGGGCGCCGCCGGAGAACATCACCAACGTGGAGGTGGAGACGGAACCCTTCCTGACCTACGTGGAGGGCGTGTGCGTGGTCTGGTTCACCTTCGAGTTCCTCATGCGCATCACCTTCTGCCCGGACAAGGTGGAGTTCCTGAAGAGCAGCCTCAACATCATCGACTGCGTGGCCATCCTGCCCTTCTACCTGGAGGTGGGGCTCTCGGGCCTCAGCTCCAAGGCCGCCAAGGACGTGCTGGGCTTCCTGCGGGTCGTCCGCTTCGTCCGCATCCTGCGCATCTTCAAGCTCACGCGCCACTTCGTGGGGCTGCGGGTGCTGGGCCACACGCTCCGCGCCAGCACCAACGAGTTCCTGCTGCTCATCATCTTCCTGGCCCTGGGCGTGCTCATCTTCGCCACCATGATCTACTACGCCGAGCGCATCGGCGCCGACCCCGATGACATTCTGGGCTCCAACCACACCTACTTCAAGAACATCCCCATCGGCTTCTGGTGGGCCGTGGTCACCATGACGACGCTGGGCTACGGAGACATGTACCCCAAGACGTGGTCGGGGATGCTGGTCGGGGCGCTGTGTGCCCTGGCGGGGGTGCTCACCATCGCCATGCCCGTGCCCGTCATTGTCAACAACTTTGGCATGTACTACTCGCTGGCCATGGCCAAGCAGAAGCTGCCCAAGAAGAAGAACAAACACATCCCCCGGCCCCCCCAGCCCGGCTCGCCCAACTACTGCAAGCCCGAGCCACCCCCGCCGCCCCCACCGCCCCCTCACCATGGCAGCGGTGGCATCAGCCCCCCGCCGCCCATCACCCCGCCCTCCATGGGGGTGACTGTGGCCGGGGCCTACCCTCCGGGGCCGCACACGCACCCCGGGCTGCTCAGGGGCGGGGCGGGCGGGCTCGGGATCATGGGGCTGCCGCCTCTGCCGGCGCCCGGGGAGGCTTGCCCGCTGGCCCAGGAGGAGGTGATCGACATCAACCGGGCAGGTGAGGACGGTGAGCGGGGCGGGCAGGCGGGCGGCCTCGGAGGGGGGCGCCGCAGGATGTCGCCCGAGGGACAAGGTGGGCGGGCAGCGGGGAGGGCGAGGGAAGCCACAGGCGCACCGGAAGGGCCTGGCACCGAGAACCCGCGTTTGCTTGAAAGAGACAGTCTCGGGGAGACAGACTTGCCGCCGGGCTTTCGGGGGGACCAGGATGGCGGGGTCATCGGTTGGACGGTGAGCAGGCCCTAGAGACGGGGGAGAGAGGGGGCTTGCAGAGATGCGGGCGCAAAGGGGGTCTCCCCCGGGCTGGAGACCGAGGGCCGGTGGCGGCATCCGGCTCTCCCCGAGGCCATCCTGAGAAAGAGGTGGTCGCTGAGCGGAGAGGTGGGGGGCGCCCAGGGGACCGAAGCTCAGAGTCCAGGTTTTAGCAGACCCAGAAAGGGCTCGAAAGCTGCGAGCCAGGGCCAGCTGCCCCGGGAACAGCGGGGTCACTCGGGGCCCAGGGCCCCACGTGGTCTGGCAGCAGGACACGCGGCCAAGGGAGAGTTCGGGAAGCGAGGCGGGGAGGTGAGGAGGCTGGCGTGTGGCTGTCCGTGGGCCCCCCAGCCTGGGCCTCAGAGGCAGGGATTTGGGTGTCCAGGAGGAGGGAGAGGCTGGTGGGCCCCACCCCCATGCCGTAAGTAGGCCAAGAAAGGGAGCTGGCCCCCATCTTCTCCCTCAGCTGCTGACCCAGTTTCACACCAATTAAAAATAACTCGAGTCAGAGCCTGGGGGACCCCCACCTTCCCCCTCCCTCACCTGTCACCTTCCCAGCCCTTCCCCACCATGCCCTTTCCAGCGCTCGCGCCCCTCCCTGAACACCCAGCCCCAACCCCTGCGTCCCCTCCGGGCATCCCTCCGGACCCACCCCGGCCACCGCCACCCTGGCCCAGTTCTTCCTCCCCAGCACCCAGCTCCTGGCCCGACCGCCGCCCCGGGGCCTCCCCTGACGCACCTCTTCTCGTGGCCACCTTCCGGCCCCCGGCCCTGCCCTAGATGTCTCCCCGACACAGCCCGCCCCTGTGACCCCGGCCCCGGGCCCTGCAGCCACGTCCCCAGCACCTCGCCCCGAACTGTGCCCCTCTGCTGCCTCACCTGCTCCCAGCACCCTGCCCTCCGCGCCCAGGTGCCCCCGACACCCTCATCTCGCTGGTGGGGTCCCCACCGGGTGTTTGCCCACCTCACTCCCTCTTGTGTCTCTTTCTGGCCCCCTGGGGATGCAGATCCCCGCCCCAACGGGGACCCAGCAGCAGCTGCGCTTGCCCACGAGGATTGTCCGGCCATCGACCAGCCCGCCATCTCCCCCGAGGACAAGAGCCCCATCACCCCCGGGAGCCGGGGCCGCTACAGCCGGGACCGAGCCTGCTTCCTCCTCACCGACTACGCCCCTTCCCCTGACGGCTCCATTCGGAAAGGTGAGGAGCCTTCCGTAGGCCCCGGGGCCTTCCCCCCTGCCCCCCCTCTCCCGTGGGGAGGGGGGGGAGAGGGGAGTGGAGGGAGGCATCGGACTTCCCACCCCTCGGCCCCCAATTGCCTCTGTCCCAGAGCCCCCCCCCCAAAGTCTCCTCACCACTGACCCTTCACCTGTCTTTATTCCATCTCCATTCCCCCCCACCTGGACCCTCTGCCCTCTCCCCCCACCCCCAGCCACCGGTGCTCCCCCACTGCCCCCCCAGACTGGTGTAAGCCAGGTCCCCCAAGCTTCTTGCCCGACCTCAACGCCAACGCTGCAGCCTGGATATCCCCCTAGTGGACGAACCCCCTCCCCCCGGGGTAAGTAGCCCCCACCTCTGGTCCCCCATCCCTCCTGACTAACCCCTCTAAGAACATGCAGCCCCCACTGACCGAGACTCCCACCCCCTCACTATGAACAGCTCCATTCAGTTAACCCCCACTCCTGACACTGACCCCAGGACCTGCTGTGCCCCCCACTAACCCCCAGTACTAACCCCAGCCCTCCCCACTGTGTGCCGGACCTCCGTCCCCCACCCTCACGACTGACCCCCATCCTCATCCCCATGCACACCTCTCCCTGCCCCCCTCCCCTGCCTTGTGGATGAAATCCAAGCAAGAGAACTGGGTGGGCGCTTAGGACACTCATCAGGTGCAAGATGCGGGGAGAAAGCCTCAGCCCGATCCAGGCACGGGTGACGCGCCCACGCGTCGGGCATGGGCATTCAGCAAAGTCACACGCCCAGGAGCTCCCAGTTTGCTGGGAGACGCAGAGAGAGCCAGAAAGTCACTCCTGGAGGTGGTGCATGCTGGAAGGGAGGGAGCACAGGACATGCAGAAAGAGGGACATGCCGAGCTCCCCAGGGTGGCCTCCGCGAGGAACCCAGATCTGAGCTGTCCTGGCCATGAGCGAGGGAGTGATCTCATTAGACAGTGGCGCCGCAGGGGTCCCCCACCCCCAGCTAGGAGCAGGGGAGGGGCAGGAAGACTTTGTCCAGACCCCTGGCGGGACAGTCAGCTCTCTAGGCCCTGTGGGGACGGGCTGAGGCCCGGAGGACGGAGCAGGCGGGCAAGAGTCTCCATGAGCCTGGGTCGGGGCTGCAAGGATTGAAAGGAAGGAAGAGGCAGAGAGAGTCGGGGGTCAGGGGCCTAGAGGGGCGGGGCGTGGAGTGAAGAGGTAGTTGGCAGATGAGGACTTCCACAACCACGAGCGCGGAGATGGGCGCAGATTCCGCAGGCCTCGCGAAGGTCCGCTCACCCCTACTCGCGCTCGCGTGCGTTCACCCAGTCCTCAGTGAATCACCAAGGACTCGGCCCGGGCCCTGGAGGCCTGGCAGCGCGCAGAGCAGGAAGCAGCTCAGGCCTGACAGCCTCCAGCAGCGCGCAGCCCCGCGTCCATCTGCCCATCAGCTGCTGGTAACTCTTACCGGAACAGCCCCGGGGGAGAGTTGGCCCAGAGACGCGTGCTGCAGCCGTCCTGGTCGGAGACGGCGGAAGGCAGGCACATGTCGCTTCCTGCCAAGGGTTCTGAGAAATGCATCCTTGGGCACTTTGTCCTTGGGTGGACGCCAGGGAGTGTAATTGCACACACCTCGATGGTGCAGCCTGTCGGGGCCGTGGCTGGCCGGTCTAAGCGAAGCCTGACTGTAAACAAGTCGAAATAAATAAGTAAATAAAGAACAAGGTCGATACTATGGCCACTGCGGATAAGGGGGCCTGGGAAGGCCTTTTTGGAGAGGCAACATGAAATCTGAAAGGCCAATAGATCCAACCAGGTTGAAGGAACAGCGTGTGCTAAGGGCCTGGGGTCCTGAGGTAGGATGAGCTTGGTTAGTTAAAGGAATAGCAAGGAGGGAAGCCAGTGACCAAGAGGGGACGGGTGCCAGAAATCGGGGTGGGGAGGAAGGATCATACGGGATTTTTGGCCACAGTGACCACAGGCTGAGTTTTATCTTTAAGGTGAAGGGAAGCCAGCTGGAGGAATTTGAGCCATCACTTATTCATTCAACAAACCGGTAGATTTTTTTCCTTAGAAATACAGAGCTAGAATCTGAAGACCCCCTACCTACAGTCTTAAAAAATGGCATAGTAGAACTTAGGGTCCCTCAGGAGCCCCTCCCCATCTAAAACCCCCTTGTTTCACAGAAGTTGAGGGAAGGCCATGCCAACTCCAGGCCACAGAGCAGAGAGGGACTTGAACCCAGGCCTCTGGGCGCCTAGTGCAGAGGGGACTGTCTGTTTCTTCTCCTTCCATCCTACCCCCACCTCCTTGGTGACCCCCTACAGCACCCTCCATTCTCATCTCATTACCTCCCCTCCCTGCCCCCCTCTCTCCCTCCCCCTGCTTGCACCCAGCCCCATTCCCACCCTGTCCCCCCACCCCTATCTGGATGGGCCCCCATGGAACTGAGGGCTGTAGGTGTGGGGAGGATTTGGGAATGTGGGGGAGGGCGGGAGGGGGTCTCTGCTTCTCTTGCCTCAGATGCCAAAATCCATTCATTGAACTCAAATGATGGCCGGAGCTGATGGGGCTGACTGAGTTCTCTGCCCTGGAAGTCCCCGACCCTCCCTCCTCCTCCCTGCCCTCCGCCTCCAGGACCCACCCCTCCTCCCAAGGCCCTTCCCCCTGGCCTGTCCCCACCTTCCCTCACCTACCCCAGCCTTCTCCTTGCTTCCTTTGTCGCCCCCCCCCTCAGTCACCCCGGAAGCTCCTTCCATATTTGAAGTCTCTGGCCGCCCCCATTTCACTGCTCCCCTCCCCCGGAAAACACCAGAGAGGAGGAAGAGATCCCGGCGTTTCTCCGTCCCCCCAACAGTGAGGCTGTGTTGGGGGGTTCCCCCTGACCTCCCTTCCCCAGCCGTGACTCTGTGTATTTCTGTCCCCAGCTCTTGTCACCGCCTGAGACCTCGCGAGACCCTCGGTCCCCCCCTGCCCCTTCCCCCCAGGTTAGCAATCGGGAATGGCGGGGAGGGGGTGTCCCCAAGATACCGGCCTTCGGACTTCCCCAGGCCCTTTCTCCTCTGGTCCAGATGCCCTCGTCCACACAGGCCCCTTGGCACTGCCTAGAAGAGCCTAGAACTACCCCCCCCCCACCACCCAGGACAGGGGCTCAGGGAGCCTCAGACACGCATGCGCGCCCCAGCCCGCCCCGGCAGCTGTCAAGACGGATGACCTTCCCGGCCCCCTTCAGAGAGACCCCAGTAGAGCCTCCAGGGCGCGCCTGCCCCCTCACTTCTGGGAGCTCTCCTCCTGGCTCCCGGGGCACCCCTAACTTTTGCACCTCGCAGCCCTGCACCCCACCTTTCCTCTCCCTACATCTAGAGAGCCCTCGCCCTGCTCCCCTCCAAGCCCTCTCCCCGGCTGCTCCCCCACATGCATTCCACCTGAGCTCCCCCCATGCCCCTGCCGCCCACCATCCGCCTTGCTGCCCCCCACCTCTTGCCTCCGATGAGGGCGCCAGTGGGGGGAGGGGAGGGGGGCGGGCCGCGGTGGGGAGGGCTGGGGGGTGTGGTGGCGGCCACCTTCCTCCTAACCCCGAGTCTCTCCCCCTCCCCGTGTGTGCGCCCTTCTCCCGACGCCGACTGCCTGTCCGGTGGGTCCACTCTCTCCCCGCCCGGCCGCCGCTGCGCCCCCTCTGCCGCCGCCGGCCGCCTCGTCCGTGTTGGCGCCTGTCTCTCCCCCTGCCCCCCTCTGTCTCCGTCTCCTCCATCTGTCTCCCCCTTTCTCTCCCGCCTCCCTCTGTCTGGGGGCCTGTCTGTCGGCCCCCGCCCCCCGTTTCTATCTCCACGCTTCCCGCCCCCCCCCCCCAGGTTACGAGAAATCCCGCAGCCTGAGCAGCATCGCTGGCCTGAGCGGGGTGTCCCTGCGCCTCGCGCCCCTCGCCACGCCCCCCGGCTCTCCCAGGGCCGCCCGCCGCGCGCCCCCCACCCTGCCCTCCATCCTCTAGCGCTCCCCTCCCCCCTGTGGGGGGACTCGGGGGTGACAGGGAAGAAGGTCAAAGGAGCTGGGGGTGGGGGGTGGGGGAAAGGGTTTTTTAAAAAAAAACACAAAAAGTCATTAATAATATGCAACCGAGACGACGACGCCAGCAGACACCCCCGGGCCCCTCGCCCCCACCTGGGTCCCCAGGATGGAGGGGGAGGAGCCAAGCCCATCCCCGTCCCCCAACTGCACCCCGACAAAGACAAAGCCTTCTCAGGTCTCCACGAGCCATAGGACACGCCCCCCCGCCCCCTCGTGTAAATACGTCCCGATGATGCCAACCACATCTCGGGGCACCTCTCCTCCCTCTGCATGCGCCCCCCGACCCGGACCCCTCTAATTCCACCTCAGCAATAAGCCGCCGGGGCTGCATGCCAGGCGTCGGAGGGACCGGCGCTGGGGGGGCGGGGCCGCCGGGGGTCTCCGCGCCCCGCCCTTTGCCACCCCCGGAGGGCGACCCCGCGCGCCTTGATTAAAAAACAAAAATGAAGCGACCATGCGGGGGAAGGCGGAACAGCCGCCCCAGCCAGAAGCCAGAGCTGAGCTCAGATGGTGGAGCGGGAGGCAGGGGGGTGGGCTGCGGACAGCTGCTCCCCAGCCTCGGGGAGGCGCGCTCTGGTGAATTTCACTCTCCGCCCCCCGCCCCCTATCCCCCCCCCCCCCCCCCCCGGGATCTGCTGCCTCTCCTCTCGCTGCATGGACCCAGACCTCCCATCCTAGCCTTCCCGGGATGATCTGGCCCCAGCACCTATCAGCCCGCCCCCCGCACACTCCCAGGGCTTGAGACCTGCACCAGAACTCCCGACACCGACCCTGGCACCCCGCCCCCCCAGGGCCCCACACACTCCTAGGACTTAGCTCCACACTCAGATGCTGCCCGCCCAGGCCCACTCCCGCCCCTCTGGGCTGCATCCCAGCCCCTCTCACACCTCCAAGACTTGGCCCAAGCCCTCCAGCTCACTTTCAGCCTTTGGGATGCGCCAAATCCTCCCCACAACTCAGACATTTCCTGGACACCCCCCAGATCCTCAGGCCTGCGCCCCCCGCCCCCAGACATCCCCAAACCTCAGACATCCACCTCAGGTTCCCCTGACGCTAGACTTTCCAAGATGGGATCAACCTGTCTGCAATTCCAGGGAACCCGAACTTCCCAGGGCTCCCCATTTTCTTATGGCCAGCCCTGCCCCCGACCTCCGAGGGGTGCCCCAAAGGTGCCCTCTTCGTGGACACCAGTGTTTCCCGGAAGGTCTTATTTGTGCCCCTGGCGATGCGCTGGGTTTTAGGCCGCGCAAGTATAGACGCTTATTCTTAAGGTGTTGCCTTTCCTGGAATTTTTGCACATAAGCCGGTAAGTCCAGCTCCTGCTGCTGGGTCGGGACACACGTCTGCTTAGGGCGGACACGTTTCCCTTGGAAGCAGAGGCCGGGCGAGTGGAGGGACATGGATTCCGAGACGCTTGGGAAACTCCTCGGTGGCCCCCCGGGCTGGCACCTCAGCCTTCCCTCGCCTCGCCGCGCTCGCGGGCGGAAAATCAGCTCTCACGTCCCATCCTGATAGGATGCGCTACCTCCCCCAGGCCAGGGACCACACTGGTCCCAGAATCCTTGGAGGACTCCCTTTTGGAGCTGGGGGCCCTCGGAATTAGCCACCTCCCTCCCCCCGCGCTCCCGCGGCCTCAGGAACACCCCCACCCGAGGGCTGGGGTGTCACTGAGCACGATTCTTGATGCAACGATTCCTATGCAAGGGGCATTTTGAGCCCCCCCATCCTTCCCTGGACCCTAAACCCTGGCGAATCAGGGGTGAGGGGTGGGGTGGGTAACGGTGGGATTGGGGTGGGTCGGGGCAAAGGGCTAGGGGCTCCAGACACCAGGGTACGGGGGGTGGGGACCGATTATATTGCCAAAGGGTTTAACTACTTTAAAAAAAAAAAAAGCCCCCAGATTCCCCTGACCCTCACGGAAGCTGAACGGTTCAGGGAAAAAGGGGTGAGGGTCTTTTCCAAAGGGTACGGACCTCTTCCCAAGTCTCTCCCTGCTCGCCCACCTGCCATAAGTACCCAGCTTTTTAGTTAAGCTTTTAAAAATCACCACGATCATTATAAACCTCGACGACACGTGCTCCCCGGCCCCCCGCCCATCCCCCAAGTCATCAGCGTGGGATTCGGGGAGGGAGAGAGAGCCACAGGGGCTGCCCGTCCCGCGCCCCTTTTCCCCCCCCGGCCGCCAGGGTGCCCGCAACCGCACGCATGCGCTGCATGACGCGCCCCCCACACGCATGTCGCGCCCCGCCAGCGCTCCGGGAACGCACGGACACGGGGCGGGGGGCGGGGGGCGGGCGGTTGGGGAGGAAAGACAGGCGGGGGGGTCTTCCTGTGCTCAGCTCAGCGGCTCCTCCCCAACACACACAGCAATAAGTTTCACTCCAACGTGGGCGGGGCGGGCCCGGCCTGCCGTCGAGGGGGGCCGGGGGAGGGGCGTGGCGAGGGGGCGCTCTCAGGGATGGGGGCGGGGCCCGGAGTCAGTGTGGGGAGGGGAGGTCTGCAAATCGTCCAACTCTGGTGCTAACGGCGGGTCTTCTCAGCCCACCCCCAGGGCAGGGAGGGAGGGGTCGGCGCGGTCCCCCCCCCAGCCTCCCCCACGCCCACCCTGGGTGCATGAACCGCCCGATGCAGAAGCTGCCGCATGTCAACACCCCTCCCCAAAGAAAAAGTGTCATGTCCCCTCCCCACCCACCCCCACTCCCCCCCCAATAAAAGTTCCTTTTCATTTAAAAGTGGCTTCTCGTTTGTCCCCTGGGAAGGTCTGGGTCTCCCAGGGGTGTTTTGGGGGTTAACAGCAGGCTGCATCTTTAAGTATTCAAATGCCAAAGATGTGCACTTTGGGGGTTCAGGCAGATTGCCTTGATCGTGGCTCTCACCTGATGGGGGGCGAGTACCTGCCTCAGTCTCCAAGCTGTAAAGGCAGGGACCTCTGAGAGCACCTAGGTTCTGGGTTCCTAGTGAGGGTGACTAGTCGCAGGGGTGGGGTAAATGTAGCGGGGTCCCCAGTGTCCGCTCAGGGGCTAAGAACCCCACACCCCTCATTGATGATTCTGAAGCGAGGCTCGGCATGTCCAACTTCTCAGCACCTGTGTGTCCTTGGGCGGGTCTCTCGACCTCTCTGGACTCACTGCCACGGGGCTAAAAAGGGCGGATGGGGCGCTCGACCCCTTCTGCAACGATCTGAGCGCCAGCCAGGTGCGAGGCGCCAACTGCTCTGGAAAGCAACAGGCCCTTCCTCTCGGGCCGAGCAGCTGGACGCAGACACGTTTCCTGCAGCGCGGCACAAAGCCAGCAAGGGGCCGATCCTTTGCACTTTCACAAACACCTGCAGACTGGGCCCGAGGGCCGTGGCACCTCTCCGGGCGGCTGGGCGCAGGCTTGGCGCGGACACTGATGCTCCGAGCCTCGGTTTACTCACCTGTTTAATGGGGGGAATGCCTTGCCGGGAGGCTGGGGGGAGGGGAAGCGTCATTTCTCACGGAATGCATGGAACACAGGGGATCCCGCTACGGGTGCAGCCGGCATTGCAACCTGCAGGCTGAAGAGGCGGGTGTCCCTCCGGCCGCATCCCAGACGGCGCGCCCCGCCCCCGCCCCCCGCCTTGCAGAAATACACGTGGCCAGCAGGGGGAGCCCGTCGGGGTCCGACTTTATTCGGGCCTCCAGCTGGGAGTTGGGGGAACTCCTCCAACCGATTCTTCGGGAAACTCCAAATAAGCCGTGATCACACCAGTGCACCGAGAAGGTAGGGTGGCGCAGCGGGGGCGGGGGGAGCAGGGGCTGAGGTGGGTCCCCTCGCCCTGCCCCTCTGCAAGGTCAAAGGTGGCTGGAGCTTGGGCCTTAGGCTCCAAGTTGGCGGGTCAGGAGCTGAGTGGAGACACCAGGGCAAGGGGAAGCCATGGTGGGGGTGGGGAGGCGCGCTCCCTTCTTGATCAAGATCATCAACAACTGAAGGAAGGATGGGGAGCAGAGGGGACCACAGCTTGTGAACGACACCCCAATTTCCTCCCAAGCGACAGTCCCAGTCCGTGCCGCCCTACACCTGTTTAGGGGGTCACAGGGAAGTCTCCGGGTCCCCCTTGGGGCTGATAAGTGCCATAGTGCCAGAGGGTGGCACCGTCTCCAAAGTGCAAGCCAGAGGGCGGGTTTGTGGGGCGGGTGCCCTAGGGGCCAGGGAGGGCGGGGCTGGGCGGCGGGGGACAGGGTGGGGTCACTGAGGGGGCCCAGCGGCCGGCGGCCCCTCGGGGTCCAGGGACTGGGGCCCAGACCCCGGCTCCGCCTCCTCCGGCTCCTCGTCCGAGGCCACGCCCTCCTCCAGCCGGAACACCTGGCGCACCGTGCGGGTGGTGAAGGTGAGCGGGACGCGTCTGCGGAGACCCCGGGAGGCAGAGTAAGTGGAGGGAGCAGAGAGGGGTGAGGGAGACCGGACAGCAATGGGGCGACGGGCAGGTGCAGCCGCGGGAGCAGAGTGAGAGGGAGGCGGGGAGGCGGGGAGACGGGCCTGAAGGGCGCGGAGCTGGGGAGGGCGGGGCAAAATGGCGGTGCAGAGAGCACAGGGAAAGACACCTCGGGCCTGGCACACACAGCCCCCCCCACCCTCCCCGCATCCCTGCGGACCCCATTTTTTCCTTTTGCTGCTCGCGGCAACCCTGCCCTATTGCATCCCGGGGGGTGCTGGGGCGAAGCTGCACGTGGGCAGCGCGGTCATACCGGATCCGGTTCCTCAGCGTCGCCGCCTCCCGCTTCAAGGACTCATTGGACTCTGTGATATCATCCAGGTCCCGCTGCAGCCTCCTGCGGGCAGCGTTGGCCCGGGACGCTTCCTCCTCAGCCGCCTCCACCTGGCGCTTCAGCTGTTTCAGCCGGCTGGTCTCCTTCTCCAGCTTGAGGGAGCAGGGGGTGAGGTGTAAGGTCATCTCTGGGTTCCATCCTGGGCCCTCTTTACTCTGTCCCATGCCCCCTTCATGCTGTTCTCCTTTCCTGACACTCTCATACCAGCCACCAGCCCAGGGCCACCCCCACATGGACTCACAAAGGGCTTTGTAAGCTCATAGCTGACCCTGGCCTTCCCATCCTCAAAGCCTTCACAAGGCTCCCCAGTACCTACAGGGTGCTGCCCCAGAGCCTCACCAAGGTGTTCCAGGCCCTGCAGGGTCTCCCTCCCACAGACCCACTAGCAAGACTGTTTTCACCAAGACCCTTTCCAGACGCCGCCATCTCTTTTTTCAAGGAGGAGGCACACACATCATGCTTTCTGCAGCCCCTCTGACTTCATTTCCTGTCACTCACACCCCTACCTCATCCTTTTCTCTATCCATACATGCCTGCTTTTTGCTCCAAACTCACCAACTCTACTCCAGGGGAATTGCCATTCCCCATCTGCTTGATCTCACCCATCTGGTCTCAATTCAAATGTCACCTCCAGCCAGAGGCTTCCCCCAATCTAAAGACGATTCCCCAATCCTCAGGGTGCCCTTCCATCTTGGTTATCTTTTCTTCATAACCCTTGTCACAATCTGTAATTATGTTTGTTTGCATATAGGTTCATTGTCTTTGCCTGCACTGCAAATGTGAGGGCAAGGGTCTTTTCTACCTCCAATTCCTAGCACAATGCCTGGCAGACAGTAGCGGGGGTGTCAGTAAGTGTGTAATGAATGCAGAATAAAATGCAGTAGAGCTTTTAAGGGCACAGTAATTTGGTCCAGAGCTGATGACCTGGTATCTGATCCAGGCTCCTGACTCTATGACTTTGGTGCAAATTATATCCCCTTTTAAAATTTCCAGTTCCTCACCTGTAAAAGGGGGCTGGTGAGAGAATACAAGCACGTATTTTTTAAAGAGCACTAGTATAGAGCTTGGAACACAGTTAACTGCTCGATAAATATATAGGGCACTGACTGTGGCTGGAGTGCTAGTGTCTGAAACCAGTCTCAGTTTTCTCAGTTTCCCTTGAATAAGAGGGAAAATAATGGTACCTATCTCAGAGGGTTTTGATAAGAACTAACTATGCCACCCGTGTCTTTACTGCAGCACCTGGTGCACAGAAAGCACCCAAAAAACATCATCTGTGGTTATTTTAGACCTGGTCTAGCCTCTGACTAGGGTTTTACTTCTTCCCTCTCCTGGCTGTCTCAGTTTCCACCAGGGCTTTCCCAGATTCCAGAATTTATGGATCACAAAGTTACTGATTCTGCCTCTACACATGTGCCAAGGATACCCAGAATGGTATTTGCCCTCAGTTCCAGTCTAACCCCCAAGTGCCTCTTGTGATGGGAACTCGTTGCCTCACTACTCCTCCCCCCAGATGCCACGCGTTAGTCCTCAGCCAATGGTTCCCACGACACTAGCTGCTCACCTGGTCCCGGAGCTGGTCAGCCACTCTCCGCTCCTCTTCCACCTGCAGCACCAACTCCTTAAGCCGCTTTTCAGACTTGCGCATCAGCTTTCCAGAAAGGAGGCGCTCCCTGAAAAGAGACATCCAGAGGGGCGCTCACCCGAGGTGATGTCCCAGGACCTGGTCCAGTGGCCACTGACCTGTCCTTTGACTGACCTTTGCCCTCTTCTTACCTCATCTTATTCTTAGGTTCCTAGGGCCAGACACTGGACCCACCTATCCTTCCTGCCCTCCTCTGTGTCCTCATAGCCCTTAACCTCCAACTCAGGCCTTATCGTCCCCTCCTGGCCTGGAATTTTCCTTTTCTCTCTGTCCTTTCTTTCTCATCTTCCTTCTCTAGTGGTGTAGAGGTGTTTGGAACTCCCTGAAAGCCCAGAGCGCCATCCTCAATCATCTTTGTTGCTCTCTCTCCTTCTCACTCACCCTTCCTTGCGCAAGCTCATCTGTGCCCCAGGTTTCCATGACCAGGCTGGGATCTGCCACACCTGTCTCTTGAGCCCAGCCTGGCTCCACCTTCGTCCAGAAGACCCTGTGTGGCCCTGGACCCAGTCTCTCCTCCCAGGCCCAGTTCTCCCTTTGGATTCCCCATGATGCACCAGATCAGATGCTGGAGCCATCTTCTGTCTCCTGACAGTATCAGACACTAGCAGTAGCTCAGATCAGGCAGGGGCTCTCACTAGTCCATGACTTCCATGGGGCTAGGGGAGGGCAAGCAGTACACTCTTCATATATGCTTGCTAAGAACTGGAGGCAAAGGGAACTTTATACAACTTTGGATACAAGACAACACTTCACCAGATGACGGTATAGACACTGGTAAAGAGTCAGGCATCCTGGGTTTAAAGCCCATCTTTGCCTTCGTTTTCCTACATATAAAATAGGGGTGACAATGGTCCTCTCCGAAGGATGATGTGATATCAAATGTGTACAAGCAGTCGACATCCGACATATAGGAAGTCTCCAATACATGGGAACTGTTATTATTGTGACAAAATAGTATCGAGCAGAAGGAAAATCTGTTGTTAAGCTTGGTAGTATATATTTTTACAAGCACAGTGGTTCTTAACTGGGACTGTTGGGCAGAGTGTCCCTGGTTGTTTAAGACACTGGAGATGGAAACAGTTTCAGCCCTACAGTGCTGCTGCTTCCTGCTGATGAATAGGGATATAGGGTGTGATTTTGGGCAAAAGTGCAGTGATTTGTGTGACCACTAGGCAAGCGCAATGGAACAACGCCTAGGTTGACCCAGACTCCTGCCATCATTCAGCTGCCCAGCTCTGGGTTTCTCACATAAGAAAAATTTCTTGTGACAGAGCGATGCCTTGATTCTCACCCCTTCTGTATCTGGAACCTTGGCAATGTGACATTGCAGCTGCTCCCATCAAGACGTAAAAACTATCCATTCCCTTAAATCAGAGCTTCTACTTGCTCTACTTTTTTTTTTTTTTTTTAAGATCCATCTATTTATTTATTTATTTATTTATTTATTTATTTATACAAGACTGGGTAGAGCCAGAAGCGTGGAAGGGTGAGAGAATTCACCAGAGCCAGAGTTGGAGCAGAGCAGGCAGAAGGACCGAAGTACACTGCTGAGGGGAGCAGTGGGCGGCAGGAGAGGTCTGCGCGCCATGTGGGACCCTCGCCCAGGGGCCAGGGATCGAACCGGTGCTGCAGAGGCTGCAGGCAGGCTCACAACCCAGCGCTCAACCGCTGCGCCACCCGGGAGGCCCTACTTGCTCTAGTTAACAGAATGTAGCAGAAGTGACAATGGACCACTTCCAAGACGCATTCAACACCTTTCCTCACTTTTGGAGCCTTGATTCAATGATCCTGGGCCAGCCTGAAGCAGACCAGTTAGCCCGGTTGTCTTAGCTCAGGCCTTCAAAGTGAGAGCCAGACAACACCAACAGAGCCATCTGGCGGCCCACTGCTGAGCGAAGATGTCTGGGTGGGGCCTTCAAGCTTGGATCAGCAGAACCTACTTGCTGCCCAAAGCATCTTAAATGGGACAAGAAATCCTCAAGCATTAATACCACGGGGTCTTTTGGATGGTCCTCAGCTTGATGTTGAACTCAGATCCCCTTCATCTCACTGACCAAGGTGGGGGTGCCCCCCTACCCTGCTTTCCTTTTCTACCTACCTGGTCTCATGCTCCAGCTGCTCCTCAGCCTGGGCCAGCTTAGACTCAAGGCCAGCGATGGTCATCTTCTGCCGGGCCCGGGACCCTGCATCCTCCTCACCCAGCCGCCCCTGGAGCTCCTGGATCTGCCGCTCCAGCTGCTGCCGCCCGCTCTCCGCCTTAGCCGAGAAGCTGCGCTCTGCTGACAGCTCTGTGGTCAGTGTTTCCACCTGCAGCAAGTGGGGAAGGTGTCATGGTGGAGGCGCCAGGTAGAGCCACGTACCTCTCGCGATGAGGTGAGTTGATGATTACAAAATGCATCCCACAAAGCATGATCTACAGTGAATTTTCAACAGAGGTCCCCTTGGATTTTTTCTATGGGGCTCATCAGCCGACAGCAATGGCAGCTCAGGGTTTTAACCTTTTGGACAGGTTTTTGCTATTTTCGTACGTCCGCAAGACGGTCACAGACTCGGCTATAAATGCCACCTCTGCCTGTGAATGAGTCTATTCCGAGGGTTATCACACGCTCATCTGCACCAGGATCACCTGGGAGCTTATGAAAAAATTTGGACGGTGGGGCCTCACGCTCCCGAGGTTCAGAGTCAGCATTTCTAGAGCGGGGCCTAGGAATCTGCATCCTTAGCCAGCCTCTCCAGTGGTTCCGATCTGAGTGACATGCAGGTAGATTTGGAGAAAGGTTGGCTTAATAAACAGTAGCTACTACGGGAGCATGTGTAAACACAGCGCTAATAATAGCCCCTGTTTATCTATTCGCCTCCTGCTCTGGACTTGGCCCTGTGTCGGGGACACGGAAATGACTCAGTTCGGTCTGATTCATACTGTGCTTCATTTCGTCCTCACAGGAACACCTCGATGGTGTGGTGACTAGCATATGCTCTTAAATATTTTTGGAGGGGGGGTTAAAATAAAACGGTGACACAGAAAGTCAAAAGCTGATCCAATGTCTGGCTGAAGAAAAGGTCGACTCCACCATCACCCCCATCTAGGTCAAGAAACGGCTTTGAGCCGGCAGAAGTTCCTTCGAGCACCCACCTAATAACCCTACCCACAGTCTCTTCTGCCCACCACCCAAATGGCACATCACCCTGACATTCAGGGTAGTGAATTCGTTGCTCCTGCTTGGAGTTTTATTACTCAAGACTGCATCTCAAGGGCCTATTGTCGAATCCCAAGTGTTAAAAGTGTGTGTGTGTGTGTGTGTGTGTGCGCGCGTGTGCACGTCTCTTAAGTCTCTTTTAACCCATAGCTCCCCGCCTCCGCCCTTGTGTTTATTTTCTGGCAACATAGGCGTTGTCTGACCTGACTTTCTCCTCTTAGGGAACTCGTGGGCTATGCAGCAGGTTGCTCTGGGTTCTGTTTCCCTCCGACTGGCAGATGGGCCAGGCCCATCCTTTTTGTCCTTTACTTACAGATTTTCAGGGTTCCCTATCATCTTATGAAGGGGGCAGGCCTGGTGGAATAGTGTCCCTCCAAAAACTCACGTCTGGAAGCTCAGAACATGATGCCTGGGAAAGCGGGCATTTGTGGCTAGTGAGCTCGGTGAGAAAGGGGTCACGGGGGATCGGGGTGGCCCAGGGCTCCTGCAGCTGGCAACAGGCACACAGAGAGGACATAGCGGGGAGAAGCCACGAAGACAGCCTTGATCTGACAACATGTGCACACCAGGCAAGGTCAAGGACGGCACCCCCAGAAATGGGGAGAAGCTGGGGGCTGGTCTCCCTCAAAACGAACCAACTCTGCACCTTCCTTGATTCTGGACAACCGCCTTCCAGAAAAGAGAAAAACCGACACCGTTGTTTAAGCCACCCGGTGTGAAGTCATTTGTCTTGGCCATACTCGGAAACTAATACAGTGCCTGTCTCATATTTTTTTCTTTTTAAAGATTTATTTATTTATACAAGCACTGGGTACAGTCAGAAGCGCGGGAGGGTGAGAGAATTCACCAGAGCCAGAGCAGGGAACAGAACAGGCAGACTGACGGAGGACACTGCTGAGGGGAGCAACAGACACAACAGGAGAGGTCTGCGCGCCATGTGGGACCCTCGCCCGGCGGCCGGGGATCGAACCAGCGCTGCAGAGGCTGCGGGCAGCTTTGCAGCCCAGCGCTCAATCGCTGTGCCACCGGTTTAAAAAGATCATGGTGAGCTTGTGCACTCACACAGATTGGATGGATTTGAAGCAACTGCAGTGATTGTCCTGGCTGAAGCTTACATGGCTCCGTTTGTCCCCTAAAACACCAGCGGTATTGTAAACCAAGTGCCCTCAGTCGAAGTAGGCAGTTTAAAATAGGAAGAGCCAGGTGCTTGGCAAAAGTGAGCTTATCACTTCTATGTGTAAATAAATTGCTATTATTTGTCATCTCTCTCACTTTTCCTGTCTTGCTATGAGATGTCCGTATTAGCAAGGCCTCTCTTCTTTAAAAGAATCTTGATCAGGGCCTCCCTGGTGGCGCAGCTGGTTGAGCTCAGTGCTAGGAAACTATCTGCGGCCTTGGCAGCACTGGTTCAATTCCCGGCCGGCCAGGGAGATTCCCACATGGCACAGCAGACCTCTCCTGCCGCCTGCTGCTCCCCTGAGCAGTGTAATTCGGTCCTTCTGCCTGTTCTGTTCCCGGCTCTGACTCTGGTGAATCCTCTCACCCTTCCGCACCTCTGGCCTGTACCCCAGTGCTCGTATAAATAAATAAATCTTTAAAAAAAAAAAAGAATCACGATCACTGCTGATTCATTTTTCTCCCCCTATCTTTCAAGTGGCTCAAGTAACTTTAAAGACCCAGTCACCCATGGAACAAGAATTCTTACTTTTCGAATAGAGAATAAAATGAAAAGGAGAATGAATCTTAAGAAGAACCCAATAGAAGGCCTCCCTGGTGGCACAGGGGGTAAGCACAGCGCTGTGAAGCTATCTGCAGCCACTGCAGCACGAGATTGATCCCCGGCCAGGGAGCTACCCACAGGGCACAGCAGGCCTCTCCTGTCTCCCGGTGCTCCCCTCAGCAGTGGATTTCAGTAGATCTGGCAGCTTCCCATTGTCTCTGGTGAATCCTCTCTCTCTCACACACACCCACCCACCCACACCTCTGGCCGGCACCCCAGCTCTTGTATGCAAAGATCTAAAACAAAAAGGACCCAATAGAAACAAGTTGAAAAAATTGCTCCATTGAGCGTCTCCATGTCAAGTGCTCTTGACACCCACCCAGCTCCCTCTGGCATCGGGCCGCCCTCACCTGCAGGATCAGCTTGTTGTGGCGGTCGGTAAGCAGCTCCGTGTTGCTCTGCTCCTCCTCCAGCTCCTCCTCCATCTGTCCCAGGCGCCCCTCCAGCTGCCGCTTCTCCTCCAGAAGGGCCGTCCTGGGGAGACCGAGCGGGAGGTGAGGGGGAGCGGGAGGTGAGGCGGCTGGGGCCAAGGGTGCTAAGCACAGGGCGGGGCCCCTCACCGGCTCAGGTTGCCGCTGGCCAGCTCGTCGGCCATCTCGTCCCGCTCCTGCAGGGCCTGCCGGCGGGCGCGGTCCGCAGCCTCCAGCTCCTGCGAGGACAGACACGACGCGCGGGGTGAGGGCCAGGGCCTGGGCCGGCTCCCTGCCGCTCACACCTGGAGGCTTGGCCCTGCCACTGCGCCGGGCTGGCTGTCCCTGGGTCACCCTGGGCGGACAGCCCCGCATCCGTCTCCTGAGCCCGGAGCTGCGTCCGCCTTGCAGCCGCCCCTGCGGCCCAGGCCCCTCGCCCTCACCGCCTTCTCACTGAGCTCGGTGTCTCCGAATCTGGCCCTGCTCCGGGTCCCCCAGTCACTCGCCACACCCCCAGGTGTCTCCCGCCCCTCCGGCCCTCCCCACCCACACCCCTACCCTCCTGCCCCTTGACTCCGCCTTGCGCTCTCCTGAGTCCCCCCAGTCCGGCGCAGGCTCAGGCCTCATCCTTTCTCCCCAGCCTCCCCGCCTCCAGGCTCGCCCTCCAGCCCATGCTCAGGGCCCCAAAGCTGACCCCCAGCCTCCCCCGCTTAGAATCCTCCCGCAGGTCCCCAAAGCGCCCCAGGCCTCGAGGGTTCGCCCCGCCCACCTTCATCACCCATCCCCAGGGCCCCGCCCACCCGTCTCCCACCTCCAGGCCCCGCCCACCAGTCGCCTTTCCTCATGGCCCCGCCCACCGTCTCCCATTCCCCAGGGCCCCGCCCACCCAGCCTTCCACCTCCAGGCCCCGCCCACCCACCCTTCCATTCCCAAGACCCCGCCCACCCGCCGCCCTTCCTCATGGCCCCGCCCACCCCAGTCTCCCATTCCCCAGGGCCCCGCCCACCCATCTCCCACCCCTCCGAGGCCCCACCCACCCTGTCCTCCATTCCCCAGGGCCCCGCCCACCCGTCCCCCTTCCCCGGGGCCCCGCCCACTCTGGCCACGCCCACCCGCCTCCCCTCCCGGCCTCTGGACTCACTTCCTGCAGCCGCAGCAGCTCCGCCTCCAGCCACTTGAGGCGCTTCTCGCTTTCTTTGTTCTGGGATTTGGACTCCTCCCCCGAGGTGCGCACCTCCTCCACCTCCCGCCACACCTCCTTCAGCTGGGCCTGCGGAGCGGAGCATCCAGGTAGGCCCTGCCGCCCCTCCTGCCCCAGCCGCCGGCCTCCGCGCCTCCTCCCAACCCCCGGAGATGACAGGAGCCCAAGCGGGCGTCATGTCCGCGCCGCGCGGTGATGGCACTGAGGGCACCTGCAGGCTGCCGGCCGGGTCGGGAGGGCCCTTTCCCCTGCAGCTCACGTGGAGAAACTGAGGCACAGCCAGGACCAGCGGCATGTCCAGGTGGCCAGTGGCCTCGTGGGAACTTTATTTATCCAGCCACTTGGCCCCGCTGGCCTCTGGGGGATGGCAGTGTGCTCTCCAGGTGCTGAGACACGGGAAAACCCCGAAATCCCCACCATTAACCCCCCACTCGTGTCTTTACGGGGGAGTGGGGGGGCGGGGTTGCAGTTAAAAACATGAGGCTACAGCAAGCTTGGCTGTGAGAACACGCGCATCACTCTTACTCCTTATTATCATTTTATTAGCATTATTTTCTTGAGCTTTTTAGTGTAGGATTTTCTCTCTATGAAGACTGACAGTTTTTACTTTTCGGGGCGCCTCTTTGCCCACCCGTGCCCCCAAACAGTGTGTGGCTTGACATTTTCTAGGAGCCACGCGGAAAGGGGAAAAGGTGGGATTAGTTTGAACATAGATTTCACTTAGCCTAATGGATCCTAAATGCTATGACTTACTCCCGCCTGGAATCAATATTAAAATGATTAATGAGATATTTACTTTTCCTTTTTTTGACCCAGTTTCCAAATCCAGTATGCTGGTAGTCGCCCTAGTGGACAGTGCCGGCCTATACTTTTATTATTTTTTGATAGCCTTCATTTATTTTAATAGTTTTAGGTTCACAGAAATAGTGGGCAGAGGATACAGAGATTTACTGTACGCCCCCCATCAATGATCAACACCCCGATCGCAGCGGGGTATTTGTTACAACTGATGCACCTAACCTGAAACTTCATTATTATACAAAAAAAAAATAATGTTTAACAACTTTAATAGTGGGGGGCGGGCCCACTATTGTGTTTCCATTTCAAAAGATAAATGAAGGAACTGAACTTTAAAAAAGCATTTTAAAGAAAAAAATTTAAAGATACAAGAAACAAGTGAGCTCTAGGGCTTTAAAGGTGTGTGTAGGTCCCGAGGCTGTAGGCCCCGCGTCTCACCTGCAGCTTGCGCACGTGCTTGGCCGCCTCCTCCTTGCCCTGCCCTGCCGTCTCCACCTGGATCTTCAGCTCCTCCAGCTCCGCCTCCAGCTTCTTGCGCGCGGCCACCGCCAGGGCGCGCTGCTTGCGCTCCTCGTCCCGCTCCACCTCTGCATCCCTCAGCTGGGCGGTGGGGAAGACAGGAGGGTGGGCTCAGGGGACCCCCAAGACACAGCTGCGCACCGCCCTGCTCTCCAGCCCCTTGCCTCGCTCCACGCTAGTCCTCCTCCGATGCTCACAGCTCGGTCCTCATCTCCCTGCCACCCCCGGCCCCTGCCCCGCCTCCTCTCTCCGGTCTCCTTCCAGCCCAGTCCCCTTCCCTGCTGCTCTCTCTCTCCACTCAGGGCTGACCCTGCTCCTCTCCTGCTCAAGGGCCTCCTGTGGCTCCCCAGTGCCAGGGACAAAGTCTTGACACACACTTATGAGCGGATCAACAGGGATAGGGGAGATAAAACTAAAAACAGCCGGAGGACCGACCCCCACCCTTGGGTAACCTCATGTCTCTTGCAGGTCCCTCCGGCCAGCTTCCCTGTCTGGTCTGTTGCCGACAGGATCCAGAGGGGACGCTGACACTGAGTCAGACCCTGCCTGAGCCAATCCCCAGTGAGGCCCTGCCAGCTGCAGACCTTGGGGAGCACCTCCATAGAGGGAGTCCAGAGTGAAGGTGCACGAGGGGGTGAATGAGTAAAAGAGGGAGCAAGGCTGCGGATGAGGGGGTGCAGAGGCAGTCAGTGAGCTGCAGGTAGGTTGGGGGGTTGGAGGGTGGGGCTTGGGTCAATGGGGGAGTGGCTGGGTAGGGAGGGCAGGTTGCTTGGAAGGGGGGCTGGGTGGGAGAAAGGAGTCCATCAGGTGGTAGAGACGCCGTGTCTGGGAGGCTGGGGCAGATGGGTGGGCGAATGGTTTGGGTGTGGTGGTTGGTGTCGAGTCAGCACTGTGGGTTCAGGGTCTGTGGCTGGTGAGTTGGGGAGCAGGAGGGCTTTGTGGGAGGAGGTGGTTGGCTGGCAGGAGAGACCCTGGTAGAAATGCCGGGCAGCCGGCGGGTGGGTGAGACTGGCAGCCTCGCTGTATGTGTGCTGTATGTGTCCCACCCAGCTGGATGCGCCCCCATGGCACCCCCAGGCCTGCCCTACCTGCTTGGCCAGCTGCCGCCGCCTCTCCTCCCCAGCTTCGTCATGGCCCTGCAGGTCGCGCTCATGCTGGGCCTTGAGGGCCTGCACCGTCACCTCCAGGCGCAGCTTGGCATCCTCAGCGGCCGTGAGCTCATCCTCCAGCTCCGTCACCTGCGTCCGCAGGTCACTGGCTGTCTGTTCGGCCACCCGGCGGGCTCGTTCCAGCTCGTGCACCTGTGGGAGAAAAGTGAGTGCCTGGTTGCCGAGGCAGGAGGGTGGGCATTGGCCCAAGGACTCACAGGCACGTGGATACTCTGAGACTCAGCCAGGGCGGGCCTGTCCCAGCCGGTGCTCCCAAGATGTATGTATTGGGTGAATAAGGAAGTGGGGTGCAGTGGAGTGTGCAGAAGGCTGGGGCACTGACTGGGTGAGCAGGACCCCAGAACAGGCCTGAGGGACCCCTCGCAGGCCCTGTAGAGATGTGTGAGCCAGGGAAGACGGTGGCCTGGCAGGGGGCCTCTTGTAGTTCAAGGGCAGGGGTGACGAGGTGGAGTGGCAAGTGTGTGTGTGTGTGTGTGTGTGTGTGTCCATGTGGAGTCTGTGGTGTGTGTGACGTGTGCATGCTTGTGGTTTTGATATGCATGTGGCATGTCTGTGTGTCTATCTCTGTTGGGAAGTGTTTCTCAGGCTGTGTGCTGTGCTAAACTCCCTCTGTGTTCACTCCAGGTGCGTGCGAGGAGGTCCTGATGCTCTGTGCACACACACAAACACGTGTGAAGATGAAAGTGCCTTCTCACAGTCGTGTGTGCATGCGAACACTTATGTTCCATGAGCATATGTGTTCAATGGAAGCGTCTGTATGAATCCATGAATGTGCATTTTTCTGACTGCCTCTGCTTACGTTGTGTGCCTGCGTGTGTGCACATGCGTGCTGGCTGGAGGAGTCTCCTGCCACATTTGGGGAGAACTGCCCTGTCCTGTGCCTGTGCGTGAACTTGCTGTTCTGGTAGCCAGTTCCCTTCAAGCTGTGTGTGCACATGTGTGCATGTCTCCCGACACCACGCACCCATGCCGCTGCCCATGAGGGGCTTGAGGGGCTGGGAGCCCAACTCACACTCTTGCCCACATCATCCTTGCTGCTTAGCAGTTCCTCCAGCTCAGCCCGCAGGGCCCGGTTCTGTCGCTCCAGCTCCTCGCGCGCCTCCTTCTCCTCCTCCAGGGCCCGAGTCAGTGACAGGGTCCGAGCCTCGCGCTCCCGGCCCTCCGCCTCGGCCCGCTCACGTTCCTCCACGGCCCGCAGCACAGCGGCCTTCTCCTCTGCCAGGAGCTGCGGGTGGAGGGAGACGGGGTGGGGGGAAATAGATTAGCTAAGGGGTGTGTACAAGGGGGTGGGGAAAAAGGAGCAGCCAGGGAGACAGAGAGAGACAGAGGTAGGGATGCAAGAGGAGTGTAGAGGAATTGAAGTTGCAACCATTTGCCCAAACCGTTCAACTCTTCAGTCTACCAAACCAATCAGTCCCTCATTTGAGAGATACAACAAAGGAAAGGTTGTTTCTTCTTTGTGGGGTAATGGTTGGGAAAAAGGTATTTAAAATATACGTTGACATTTTTTTAAAAGACACAGTTACCGACAAGCAATAACACTTACAAGGAAAATGGAAGAAACCCAGAGTCATAGTCAAGAAAAAGATCAGTCTGTAAAGTAGACCCACAGATGACTGAGACGTTGGAGTCTCACTTAGAGGCTTGAGGTATGACACTTGCAGGACACAGTGGATACAACAGGTGAAGAGACAAAGTTATTCACAAGGAATTTGAAACTCTAAAGCTGAACCAAATAGAAATGCTGAAACTCAAAAATACATCATCTGAAATCAAAAGGTCACTGGATGACATTGATAGCAGAGCAGACACATTAGAAAAAGCAGGAATCCTGAAAATAGGTCAAGAGGGAATGATCTGAACAGAACAAAGAAAGAAAAGACTAGAAATATTGACCTTTAACAACCTGTGAGAACGTCAAGCAGGCTGACATCGCTGTATTTGCAGTCCCAGAGAAACGGTAAAAAGAAAGGAAAGGAAGAAGTCAAATTGTCTTTTATCACATGATGATAGTGGGAATCTACAAAACATCTCCTGGCACCAATAAGTGAGTTTAACTAGACTGTAGAATATAAGATCAGAATACAAAAATCTAATGTATACCTTTATATACTTGGTGTGAACATTTGGGTTCACTTATGTGTGAATTTTTGTCTTTCTGATGTCTAAGGTTGGTTGACTTCATGAATGTGGAACCTGGGGACACAGATGGTTGGTAGTAAGGGATTGGAGCATCCGTGAATTTTGATATGGGGGCTGTGTGTGGGTTCTGAAACCAAAGGATGACTGTGTTTAAGTTTTGGGGGTGTCAAAAGTTATATGCTGGGCCTCCCAGGTGGCTCAGCGGTTGAGCGCTGGGTTGCGAAGCTGCCCGCAGCCTCTGCAGCGCCGGTTCTAACCCAGGCTGCTCCCCGGCCACCGGAGGAAGGTCCCGCATGGCGCGCAGACCTCTCCTGCTGCCTGCTGCTCCCCTCAGCAGTGTACCCCGGTCCTTCTGCCTGCTCTGCTCCCCGCTCTGGCTCTGGTGGGTTCTCTCACCCTCCCACGCTTCTGACTGTACCCAGTGCTTGTATAAATAAATGAATGTTTAAAAAATAAAATAAAATAAAATAAATGGGCCTTCTTTAAAAAAAAAAAAAAGTTATATGCTGATGTTAGACTGCCCTGATCCTCTGTTCAAAGGTCAACTGTACCAGCAATCCAAAACTGGAATAAAAACAACATAATTAAAAATGGATCAAAACCATGAAATATTTAGAAAAGCTCATGAACAGGTGAATGTGATTTATCAATATAGGAGTAATACTCAGCAGTGAAAAGGGGAATGGATTAGTCAGACGTGCAAAATCATGGCTGAATCTCAAAAGAATTATTCTAAATGAAGAAGTAACTGAAACAAATTTACATAAAATTCTAGAAGAAACAAAAAAATTAATAGTGCCTTGGTGATCCATGGGACAGGATTAAGCAAACAAATACATATTTGGAGTCTGTTAAGGGGAAAGAGAAAATGGGGCAGAAAAATACTTGAAGAAATATGGCTGACATTTTCCACACTTGATCCTCATCAACCCAGAACTGCAGGAATCTTAGCAAACAAAAGCAAGTGCTATCCAGAACCCACAGCTGGCTAGGTCATAGCCAAACAGCTAATAATCAAAGACAAAAGAGAGAAAAATAGCTAGAAAACCACATCACATCATAAAATGGAACATTTGCAGACTACTGACTTTTCCTCTAAAGCTATGGCAGCAAGAGATCACGAAAGATCTCTTCAGAGTGCTGGGAAATGACACTGTTAACTTTGAATTCTGTATCCAGTGAAAGTAGCTTTGAAAAATGAATGTGAAATTTAAAAAAAAAAAAAAAGATTGTGAAATAACTGCTTCCCCACTTTCTAGATGAAGAGAACAAGGCTCAGAGGGGCTGATCCATCTGCCGGTGCCACACAGCCAGAGAGGAGCCGAGCTGGGACTCGAACCTCAGGGTTGCCTGATCTTAGTGCTCTGGGGTAAGTAGTTTTTATTTATCCTCAGATTGCTTGTTGCTTAATATTATTCCTGTTTCCTGGGTGGGTAAACCGAGCCTGAAATGGAAAAGGCAGCTTGCCTGAGGCGCAGTGAGTCAGGAGGAGAAGCAAGTAGTGATTTTTCATTCACTCCTGGTAAGCACCCTTTGACCCCTGGATCACTTTTGGGAGTCAAAGGGGGTGCTGTAGATAATAATTTGGGGACAAGAGACATAAGCCAGAGTGGATGCATGTCCTATGTCACAGAGGCTTAGAGGCAAGAAACATTTCGCCCCAGGACTCCCCCAAGTTCATATCTGAGCGGTGACCTCCCGCGTGACTGATTCCGCGCAGCTGGGCACCCCCAAGCACCCCACCTGGTCGAACTTGCGCTGCTTCTTCTCCAGCGTGCTCACGAGCTGCCGCTGCTGCTCCAGGTCCATGGTGGCGTCATCCAGCTCTTGCTGCAGCCGTCGGCGGCCCTGCTCCAGCCGCTCCACCACCTCAGTCTTCTCCACCAGGCGCTGGGTCAGGGCCTCGGCCTCGCGGGCTGCTCGGCGCCGAGCCTCCTCGCTGGCCTCCAGGGCCCCAGCCTCATCTTCCTGGCGTCGGCGCCACTCTGAGAGCTGGACAGAGGAGAGAGGGTGGGTGGTGGGCACACCTGTGGCCAAGGTGTGGGTCGGTGATGCACCTTGCCCAGAGAGGGAGACTGAGGCCCAAAGAGTGCATGGAAGGGCTCCCTCCACCATGCCTTTGTGTCTTAGAGTAGGCCTGAGGCTATGAGTTTTCTGAGTCCCAGGAGATCAAAATGATTCCTGCCCGGACAAAGAGATGAATCTGTACCCCCTTCTGAAGGGGAAGAACGGATATCACAGCCCAGGTGATGGAGACTAAGACAGAGGAAGGGTGGGAGTTGTGGGAATCTACAGGAGGGGCTTAGAAACTGCTTAGTACACTCAGGAGGGACTTCCTGGAGGAGGAGTATTTGAGATGGATCTTGATGTAGGCACAGGAGTTTGCCAGTTGAAAGAGGATATTTGCAAGATGCATTCATCACTCGTTCACTCAATAGGCATTGGTCAAGGCCTCCCATATGTCAGGGTCTTTGCTGGGCCTTGCTGGAGGCCCAGATCTAGCTCTCTGATGGGGAGCTTGCTTGCTCCCATGGTGGGGAGTCCCATGGTGAGATACTTCCAACCCAGGGTGACTAGTGGGACGAGGAAGGAAAAGAGTAACAGAAGCTCAGAGGTGGGCGTGCAGGAACTTCCCCAAGCAGGGCGGCTGATGCCAAGTCCTGAAGAAGGAGAAGGATTTTCTTATGTGAAGGGGGCAGGAGAGCTGAGTGACCGGTGTAGTTAACACAAAGGAAGAAGCAGATTGCAGGGCCTCTACGCCCAGCTGGGAGCTTGGGCTTTCATCTGGGGGAAGCTGGGGAGGCCAGGGAGGGGCAGAGTCAGCTCTGGACGGAGAAAGACCTTGTGGAGGATGAGCTGGAAGAGAGGCTGAAGGCTGGGAGGCTGGAAGGGGATGAAGCCTGAACAGGGCTGGGGCATGCGGATCAAGAGTCGGGGGGCGAGACAGAGGGCCCGGGCAGGAGGGGTACCCAGGGGTCTGCCCTATGACTGGATGGGTGGGGGGCTGCCCTACCTGAAGAGCCAGGAGCACGGGGCACCCCCTGAGGTCTCACTCCAGGGTTGCTCACCTGAGCCTGAGCCGTCAGCAGCTCGCGGCCAGCCCGCTCACGCGCGGCGGCCTCCTCCTCCAGCTGCTCGCGAAGCCCCGCGGCCTCAGCCTCCAGGTTTCGTGCCCGGGTCCCCAAAGCCAACTTCGCCCTGGTCTCCTCTTGCAGCAGCTCCTGTGCAGGGAGGGAGAATGGACGTCAGGTGTGGTCAGAGGGTGGGGAGATGTAGGGGGCTGGAGGTCCAGGGGTGCGCTAGGTCACCTGGGAGTCGTGTAGCTGGGCCTCTGCACTGCTCAGCTCCTTGCTCAGCCTGATGGCTCTGGACTCGGCCTCGCTCAGCGCCCCTGACACGTTGTCCAGCTCCGCCTGTGGGGAAGGGGCTCCTTCCACTAGATGCTTCCACCCAGCAACCCCTCTGCTCCTGCACCTCAAATCTCCACCACACGTGGATGGTGGGAATGTCAACTTGTGCGGCCTGGCTGTGCCTCAAATGGGCCAATGTGCAGTCGCCATGTCCCCCAGCAATTCCACTCCTGTGTGTGTGCCCGAGAGCACGGAACACAGACATTTAGGCAGAAGGGTGTCCAGAAATGGTCGCCACTGCCTCTTTCACGGCAAGTGGAAACAACCCACATGTCCATCAACCAAGGGAAGCTGAATGTGGCCTATCTGGACCACAAACCAGTGACAAGGGCTCAAGTCCTGCTCGGACGCACGGGGACAGCATCAGGCTACATGCACAACTGACGTGAAAGGGCCAATGATGTGGTTCCCCTCCCGTGGACGGTCTGGACGGGGGATGAAGGTAACAGATCTTTGGCTTTTTGCCAGGGAGAAGGGGCATGAGGCGGAACGATAGCTAGAGTATAGGATTTCTATTTGGGGTGATGAAAACGTCCTAAAAATAGATTATGTCAGGGTTGTACAAGTCTGTGAATGTACAGAAAACCACTGGATTGTACATTGTAAGTGGGAGAACTACATAGTCCGAGTTACGCCTCAATGCAGCTGGTCTCCCTCAGAGGAGTCGGGAGGATTGAGTACAACACACAGGCTGTTGGGTTGGTAGGAATTGCTCACCAAATACTAGCTACCTGTGCGTGAATATGTCAGAAAAGTCAGAAGGGGCAGAGGATTGATGCGGATCAAACAGAAACCCAGAGAGGGCAGGCGTCACACCCAAGGTCACACAGCAGAACCCAACTGGGCCCTGTTGCCCACTCACCTGGGTTCGCTGCAGCTTCTCAGTGGCCTCTACTCGAGCCCGTTCCCCATCACCAGCCCGGCCCTGCACCTCCTGCAACTGTAACTCCAGGCGGCGCCTCCGCTGCTCACCCTCCTGGCGTGCAGTCTGCAGGGTGCTTAGCTCTGCCCGGAGCTCGGAGACCTCAGCTTCCAGGGCCAGCCGTGTCTTTTCCCACACACCTTTTCCCTGGGGGACGGGGAAGGCAAAGATTTATGATCCCTTCCCTGCCCCCACCCCCACACATACTGCTCCATTCCAGGCTGGATACATTGCTGCCTTAGGGCCTTTGCATTGACTGTTCTCTCTGCCTGGAACACCCATCTCTCTGGTGTCCAAATGGCTCACCCCTCATACGTCCCTTAGTTTTTTACTCAGATATCATCTACTCACAGAGGCATTGCCTCTCTCCTGAAACCCCCCCACTCAGCACCCTGATACCCCTTCCCTGGTCATTATTTCCTTGCAGCACTTACTCTCCTGATACCCATTATAAAAGTGGTCATATTGTTTACTCTCCCACTAAACCATGAGAAATACAAGGGAAGGGACTGGAAGGAGATGTTGGCCAAATGTTCATAGCAGGGTCCCCAGGACCTTCCCTGGAACATAGTAGGTACTTAATAATGCTTGCTGGAGAGAAGATGGATGGAGGACATAAATACAGGAGCACAGAACCCCAGAGATAGGGGCCAGCGTAGAACCAGCCAGATGTTTCCTCCAGCCTAGCATCCTGCTCTCCCCTCCCCATGATCTCTGAGGCCTCTGGCTCCTACTCCAGCTCACCCTGCGGGCCTGCTCCAGCTGCTCTGTCAGTTCTCCCAGGGCCTGGCCATGGCGCTGCCTCAGCTCCTGCACAGCCACCTCATGAACACGCGTCTCCTCTTCCAGAGCCTTCTTCAACTCTGTTACCTCTTGTTCCCTCTTGGACCTTTTATGGGGGGAGGCAGGAAGAGAAAAGAATTAGAGAATAGAGGAAGGCAGGGACCTCGAGGGAGCCCTCTGAGAGCTGGTGTGCCTCCTATCACACCAGCTTCCCAAAGAAGAGGCTCACTCTAGATTACCCAGGGGATCTGGGCAGTGATGATGTAGTGAACTCCTACACATCCCTCAAAACCCTATTTAAAAAGCCTTTTCTCATGTAAGTCTTCCTGGACTGCTTCTGATAGACGTGGTTTAGGGACCTTCTCTTGTCATCCACAATGCCCAGTGCTACTCCATTAAAACATGCTTCCTGGATTCCCGATTCTGCTTCTCCCAGACCAGGAAGATGTTCCTGAGGATAATGCCTGCGTCTGACTCTTCTCTGCCTGCAGCTTGGCCTAAAGCTGGTGCTCCTTAAACTGGAGCGACAAAACCTCTGCATAGACTGAGGGTTCACCCCCAAGTCCACCTCCTCGCCCTCTCGCCACCCTGCACATGCCCGGGCCTCACCGGAGCTCCTGCTGAGCATTGGTGGAGTCTAGCGTATCCTCCAGCTCGCCCCGCAGAGCCTCCAGCTCCTCACTCAGGTCCCGGCGCTGCTTTTCCACTTTGGCTCTGGCCATGCGCTCAGCCTCCAGGTCCTCCTGGGCCTCGGCCAGTCCTGCTTGTGTCTCCCGCAGGGATTTGAGCAGTAGGGCCCTGGCCCCGCCTTCCTCCTCTGCCCTGGGGGTGGACAAGGACCCTGGGTTGATATGGAGGAGGCCCAGGCAGGGGTGATTTCTGGGGTCTGAAGTTCCCACCACCCTTAAGCACATGACTAGATGTACTGCCAAATGAGGACACAGGCCCAGAGTGGGTCACGCCGCCGGTGGGGTCAGGGCTGAGCCCAAGCTGGAGCCCAGCTCATAGAGCCCACGGGACGCAGCTCTGCCAGACCAAGCTGATCCAGGGCAGTGGGGCTGAGCATCTTCACGGGGGTTTGCAGCCTGAGCTCAGTCACCTGCCCTGGCCAGGGGCAGCCTCTCTGGGCTGTGGCCCTGGGTCTGTGAGACCCTCTGCCCCCCACAGGGCTTCTGTGATGGCGTCAATAACAAGAATGGGAGAACAAAAGGCTATGTGTGTGATGCTCATAGGTGAAAAGTCCAGAAAAGGCCAGTCCTATGTGGACAGAAAGTGGACTGCTGCTTGCTAGGGGCCGGGGAGGAGCAGGAGGGAGGGGAAATGGGGGAGAGGTGTCCAGGGGTACCCTGCTTCCTTTTGGGTGATAAGTGTTCCAGAACTAGACAGAAGTGATGATTAGTGCCGTGTGAATGGGCTAAGGGCCCCTGAATCGTGCACATTAAAAAGTGATTGATTTTATTAAGTGAATTCCAGCTCAGTCCAAAGAAAAAGAAAAACTGTGTCAGATCCCTCGCCCCCACCCCAGCACTGCTGGGGAGCCCAGGGCTGCAAGCGGGTCCGGAGCACATTCTATGTGATCCCACACGGAGCCCAGGAGGGGCTGTATAATCACTCCGGCTGAAGAAACAGGCTAGAAAGGGTCAGGTGACGGGGCACACCCAGGATTGGATGCCAGCCCTTAGACCCAAGGGGCGTGTTCTTACTGACCCCCCACCACACACTCCACCTACACGGACTGAATTGTGCACATTTGTTCACATTTTCACCTCTCTGCACCCTGTCCAGTTCGCTGTGGGGTATGGGGTAGAAATCATTTGCAATATCCCACATCGGGCACACAGTAGGTGCTCAGTCACTATGCATGACTGTCCTTGTCACCGTTATGATGCCGGAGGCGACCAGGCAGCTTAGACCGTTCGGGCTGTTTGTGTTTGGAGGGGCGGGAGGTGCCCCCCACTCAGGAAGCACCAAGCTGTGCAAGTCGCGACACACGCAGGACCCAGTTTCCCTTAACCAGATGGGCTTGGAACACCCCCTCCGTCCATTTTACAGAGCGGGGCACTGAGGCCCAGTGAGGCGCCCGAGGCTGGTCGGGGCTCAGCTCGAGCTGGACTCCTTCCTCTGCCAGCCTCAGGCCCTGCGCCCAAGCTGTGCCCTCCATGCCCCGCCCCCGCGCCTGGCCCCGCCCCGCTCCTGGCCCCGCCTCCACACCTGGCCCCGCCCGCACACCTGGCCCCGCCCGCACACCTGGCCAGGGCTGCCTGCAGCTCCTCCTCCTTGCGGCCCAGCTGGGCCCGCAGGTCCTCCGCCCGCTGCTGATGCTCCACCACCTGCTCCTGCAGCTCCGAGCTCTCGCCGTCCAGACGCCGCTTCATCTTCTCCAGCTCCTGGCGGCCCTTTTCCTCTTTCCTCAGGCGGTCTGGAGGCGGGAGTGGAGGCTGCCTGAGGGTCCCGGACCCACACCCCCCAGCGGCGCCCACAGAGCCCCGCGGCCGACGACGCGCGAGGGGTGAGTGACTGAGCTCCGCGCGTCCACTGCTGGCCGGCTTCCTCGCCTCAGGGCCACCGGCTGCCCCCAGGCCCTGGGTCACACCCCCGCCACCCCACCCCCTGCTGTCTCTGCTCCCAGCCCTCCTGTCAGCCCTGCCCGGTCCCCCCACCCCCATCTCCCGCCTCCTCCAGCGCTCTCGTCCCTCTGTTGCTGACACCAGTCAACAGCAAGGGATGGAGAGACGTGCGTCTGCAGCCGCAGGCCGGACAGGCACTGAGCACAGAGTGAGAGCACCGGTTGCAGGGACAGAAGCAGCACAGGCGAGCTGGGGGCCCACATGCCTGGTCGGCCATTCCTGGCCCCATTTAGCAGATTTGACGGAAGCCCTAGGGATGCCCTGTGTGTGTGTCGGGGGGGCTGCCTTCCCCACATGCTCACCCTCCATGTCTGCGATTGTGGCCTCATATTTGAGCCGCAGTTTATTGAGGCTCTTGATCTTCTCCTCCTCTTCAGCCGCCTGGGATGAAAACTCCGACAGACGCTCCTCCAGCAGCTTCCGCTCCTGCAGGGGGGACGTGGGGGGTCAGGAGTCAGGCCAGGGGTCATTCTACCTGTGTCTGCCGGTCTCCACCCTCCTGCTCTCAGCCCCTTTCCTCCCTTCTCCCACTCTCTGGGGGGGTCTGTAGCTGCCCCCACTGTGCTGAGAATCCCGTTACTTGAAGCAGCACCAGCCGTGTGTCCCTCACCTGACTGCTGCACGCTGCGGTTCATTAAGCCATTGGCTGCTATAAACTAAAAGCAACAAAGGAAAGGGTACCCCTCTCTCTGGGCTCATGAAGGGGTGCAAACCAGCACGCCCAGACACACTGGACTGGGTGGGTGGAGAAACTGCGTGAACAACAACAAAGTCGTTTCTGGGCAAGTGAAACTCCCAGTGCTGAGAAGATAAGGCTGCACACACATAGGCCTAATGTCAGCCCCCTCCTTGTCTCCCTCAAGGCACAGACATCAGACAGCTACAGTGACCCGTCCCCAGATTTTGTCTGTAAGATTCCTTGAAAATGTACAATGAGGGTCTCCCTGGTGGCGCAAGGGGTTAAGTGTCAGCACCAAGAAGCAATCACCAGCCACTGCAGCACAAGTTCGATCCCCGGCCAGGGCACTGACCCACATGACGCAGCAGACCTCTCCGGTCTCACCCGCTGCTCCTTTCAGCAGTGTATTTCAGTATATCTGCCTGCTCTGCCCCCACCGTCTGTGATGAATCCTCTCACCCACTGCACCTCTGGCCTGTTCCCAAGCTCTTGTATGCATAAATAAATCTTTTAAAAAATGTATAAAAAATTAAAAAGAAAATGTACAATGTTTTCCTTGCCATGTATAAAATTTTCCTGCAGAAGCTCAGGATTCAGACAGCTCTCCCAGAGCTCTCTGGACACTGTTCCCTGGCTCGAGCCCCCAGTCTGGAGACCTGTGTACACTCACTTATCTCTCAGCTGCCTCAGTGTATTGAAAGTGACAGTGTAAACCACACCACACCAAACATCCTCATCATGGGGGAGGTCTGGATTCCTGCTCAAAACCTGGTCTGCGGGCCCACAGCACCAGCATCCAGACCTCAGGCTGTACCCTACACCTGCTGGATTAGACTCTGCATCCTCAGAGCTTCCACCCACGGTTCGTGTGCACGCCAGCGTTTCAGAAACTCTGGCCCCCACCAGGGCTTCTCAGAAGCCACTGAGGCAGTGGGTGGGGACAGGCAGCACTCTGGACCCCCCCACCCTCACCCCTGGGCATCCCAGCTTTCTTTCCAAACCCTCCAACACCCCTGCTCTCTCTCTTCCTGGCCACTGCGCCAAGGAATATTCCAGAAAACCCCTCTGCATCCTTGTTCTCTCAACTCAGGCGTCGATCCTCACGGAAATCTTCCCCCAAACACCTCCAGAACAGATCAGGCCATCTCCCTTTCTGGTTCTGTTCTTTTCTGACAGTTGATAACTAAGTGACAGTGCGTGGTAATGTTTTTTTGGGGGCACCTCATCTAGTGTCCCTTTCCACCACTCCCTGGAAGTGGCATAAGTGGCTTTCTAGTTAGTTCTGTGTCATATCCTGAGCCTAGTCCGGTCCTATCTGCAGCAAACTAAAGAGGGCACCAGCTTTTCCACCATGTCCATGCATGTCCTCTTGACTCTGGGCTAACTGTGACCACTGTCAGCTCAGGGGGCTGCAAACCACGGCCTGCAGACCAAATGTGGTCCCCAGTTGTTCTTGTAAATAAAGTTTCATTGGATCACAGGCTGGATGCATGGCCCCCAAGCCTCAAATATTTCCCACCTGGCCTTTTAGAGAAACTCCCCACAGCTGATTGCCAGCATTCAGGGGAAGTGACGCAGCGTCATTTCCGGGTTTAAGCCATCCAGGGGCCAGTTTACTCCCGCTTCCCCTTCTCAGAGCCCGAGCTCCCAGGTGGGGACTGAAGCCCCACAGAGGTGGCAGAGATGGCAGCCCCCAGCCACCAGACCTGGGAGAACCACCGGGCAGCCAGAGGTGCAACCTAGCCTGGGACCATGGCTGTTTCCAGCCACTCCCCTCTGGGGTGTCTGGTGAGGCAGACACACAGGAGTTGCCCAATAAGTACCTGCTTGATTGTAGGTGTAGCCGAGGGAGGCAGGGAGAGAGAAAGTTTAAAGGGAGGCCCCAGGGGCCTAGCAGGCTGGGAGCAGACGCAGAGAGCCCCACGCTCCCGCATCCCCGCCCTGGCACCCACCTTGCTCAGCTTGGCGTTCTGATCTTCCAAGAGGACCAGGTCTTCCTGGTATTTCTTCATCTTGGCCTCCGTGGTCACCTTCTCCAGCTGCAGCTTCTGCCGAGCACCCTCTTCAGCCTCCAGGTGGGTTTCCAGCTCCTGGGGGGGGGGGAGAGGGAGGACTCAGGGGCTGGGGAGGAGGGTGGGGTTGGGGAGGATCTTCAGGGACCCCCAAGGCTGCGGCTCAGGCAGCTCCATACTGGCTGGGAAGGCTCAAGCCCTCGCTGGCCTTTCCTGTTTCGTTCATTTGCTCAGCAAGCATTTATTGAGTGCCATGTGTATGCCAGGTAGCAGGGAGGCACACAAAACTGTCCTGGCAGAAACTGTGTTGATGTATGTGAAGATTATAAACAGGAAACATATTGTTAATAACATAATAAATACATACAGGCTATAGGCGGGCACTGTCCATTCTGGGAGTGACCAGGCTCAAGTAAGACCGGACATTCAGGTGGAATAATACCTGCTGCGTTGACTCCTGGGAACACTGGGGGGGCCTCCAACGGCCAACCACAGCCCCCCAAGCCCATCACATTTCATTATAATGTTGATTAAAAATATTAATTCACAGCTGGGGCCGCTGTGCCTGAAGGCTGCCTGTTCTTCCCAGGCCTGCGTGGGTTTTTTCTGAAAACTCTGGTTTCCTCCCTCACCTCAGAGATGTGCATGTTGAGGGTGGGAATGGGCTTGATACGACCTTCCGTGGAAAGTTGTCCAGTCCACAGTCCGCTCCTTCCTTGTGACCTGGGCTGCCAGCATAAGCCTCGGCCTCCCGCCCCCACTTAACTGGAATAAGTTGGAAAATGAATGAATGGCTCTATGATGATAGTTTTATATTGGACGTGTTTGGGATCTTTATTTAGAAGTTGGGTGATGTTTTGTGACCAAAAGTCTGCTGTAGGCATGTTTATAGCCGTTCGTTTATAACTAGACCGGAAAATCGGTCTAGTTATGTGTTACTTTGCTTAAAGTCATAGTTTCCAAGAAAGTGACTGTCTGTCCCATCAAAATTTAACATCTGATGGAGAAGTTTCATAGGACACACACTGGATGTTGAGGGGCCCACGAATGTGGCGGCATAGCAGCAAATGGTGCCAGGAGACTCAGAGGCTGGGGCTATCGCTTCAGCACCTGGATCCAGCCATACCTGACGGTTGATTTCTGGAGCTTAGGCATGATTGCAACCAAAGAAAAATACCCGTTGGCTTCAGCCACTTGGAGCTGAGTTTTCTGCACACTCTTTGCCCAAATGGGCGTTATTTACAGGAGCAAAGCAGGATGGGGGAGAGAGAAGTGGGGGGCAGTGGCTGCAGGCATGTGGGGGCCAGACCTGTATATGCTGCTGCAGTCGCCTCTTCTCAGTTTGCAGCTGGCGGCTGCACTCTTCCTCCTCCCCCATGCGGGCCTCCAGCTCCGCCACCACCACTTCCAGCTCCTGCTTTCGGGCCGCCAACCGCCCCCGGGTCTCCTCGGCCTCCGCGCACAGCTCTGCTTCTGCTCGCAGTTGGTCTGTCAGGCGGGCGCGCTCCTCCTCTAGCTGGGGTTCGGTGGGGGGGGGGAGGTCAGAGGTGAGCAGGCAGTGCTCCGAGGAGGGCCCTGGGGAGCACCAGGTCCCTCCTGCCCCCTCATTTGTCTTGCCCTTTGAGGTCTGGGGGACAGGAGACATGGTGCCCCCAGACCTCACCTCCTCACCTTCCACAGCCCATTTGGCCCCAAAGTTCGCCCTCCACCCGGATTCCATCCGGACCTCAACAGGCCCTGGCTTCCTCCTCTCCCAGTGGACTCTGTCCAGCTTCCTCCCAGCTCCAGTGTCTCCTACAAAGTAGCTGGACCCCTGCCGGGTCCTGGAGCCCAGACCCCTGAGCATCTTACTCAGCAGACCCCAGCTGCACCCCCAAACCCTGGCTATAGCCCCAGCGTCCCTCTACCTGCACAGCATGGCTCAACCACATCACATAGTTTCAGCCCTTACTGAACCCCAGTGCACCCCAACTCTACACTTTCACCCCCACAGTCCTGCCTAGGGCACATCCAGGTCAGCCAAACCCCACTCCGCCCAATGGCTCCACCCTGTTCGGTGCAGCCAGGCCCCGCCCACACCAGACCCTGCCCCGCACCTGTGTCAAGCGCATCTGGAGCTCGCTCACTTCCCGGGCGCTCTGCTGCTGCAGCTCCTGCACTTTCTGCAGCTCCTGAGCCCGCGCCTGTAGCACCTCGTCCTGCCGGGTCACCTGCAGCAGTGGCTTCACCTGGAGCGAGGGGAAGGATGGTGGAAGACGCCCGTGGTGGAAGGTCCCCTGACCAGGAGCGTAGAGCTCACACTGCCGGCTCCAACGCCAGGGGTCCTGCCCGACTCCTCCAGTGACCTGGGGCGGGCACACCGGTGCCCTCGTCTATAAAATGGACACAATAGCCCCGACCTCGCTGCGTTTTCGGAATGAACGAATGAGCCTAGAATGATCAGAGATTAGCACCGTGCTCCTTTGCTAAGTGAACCTGCTTGGAAGAGACCCACTGAATGGGGGAAGGGGTCTTCTGGACCTGCAGCTCTGTCCTGGATCCAGCTGTACCTGAAGCTGGGGTTTAAGGCAGACTTTCAGCCACTTGTTCCCTGAAGAGTCCTGGCTAACAAAGGTTGGGTCGAGCAGTCCCGTTTTGCAGATGCAGAAAAACAAGGTTCACACAGAGGGAAACACCGACCCAAGCAGACCTGGCCCTGAAGGCCTGTCACCTCCCCAGGTGCCCTCACCTTGGTGAACAGGCGCCACCACTGCCAGTTTCTCAGCTTGAGGTAAGCTGCACAGTTCCGCTGCATCACCCTCAGCGCGCTCTGCTGTTGCTGCCGCCTCTGGAAGGCTCTGGGTGGGGAGACAGGCACGTGGGAGAGGGGAGACCCCTGCAGGCCTGTCCCCTTAGCAACAAGTGCAGCACCCAGCAGTCCTGCCCTCCACTCTGTCCCCACAGCCCCTCAGTTCAGATCTCCTTTCCGCACCCCCATCCCCAGACCCTCACCCCAGCCTCCCAGCCTCCACTCTCTCCCCTCCAGTCCACTCCTGACAGGTGACCAGACGGCTCATTTGACACCCAGAGCTGACCCTTCCCCCCAGGCCCCGCTCAAAGCCCTCCTGTGGCCCCCCAGTGTTCATGGACAAGGTCCTCGCCCTCAGCCTGATATTTGGGGAGCCCTCGCCTCTCAGATCTTTCCTCTGGGCCAGTTCCTAGGAGGAAGGGCACTTTCTGACAGAGCTCCTGCATTCCTGCAATGTTTCCAGCTCTCACATCCATCCCCGGGCCTCTGCACAGGGAGAACTTTCCATCCTCCTACATCTACATGGTCATCGAGTGAGACCTGGAGGGTGGCCTGGGGGGCATCCTGGTCTGCAGCAGGACTCCCACTGGATTTCCACCACCCCCATCAAAGGACAGTTAGTGTCCAGGTGTGTCCCTTCCTAGAGAGGAGTCCCGGAGGGCCTGGCACCCTCATCAGTTTGCCCAAAACTTTTTGGGCAAAGCTGTTTTATCACTGCCAGTCATGCATCCTGGTAACCTCTGATCCAGACAACCAGGACGGCCGTCAAATGACTGACTGAAGCTCTTCACTGAGACCCTGGACATGGCCTGCCTGGCATAGGGTGGCCGCAGGGCTGGAGAACCAACAAGCTAAGGCGTCAGGGAGCTCCATCTCATGTCTGACGTCTTTTACCATCTTGGAGGCCTGACGGCTGGGACATCTCTCGTCTAGCATCCTGGGCCATCTGGTCTGCCCTCTCTGCCCCAGCCTCGGTCAGCAGGACCCTAGAGAGCCAGTCCGGGGGCCCACCTGCGAGCCAGGTACCCCCGAGCAGCTGCCTGGAAGGACACGATGATGTCTGTGACCTTCAGGTCTCGCTCCTCTTCCAACTGGGCCAGCACCCCCGCCCGGAAAAAGATTTTGCTCTGTCCCACGCGGTAGAGGTTGGGATCCAGTTCCAGGGCCTGGATCTGTGAGGATTCGGGGATGGATGATAAGGGGTGCAATGAGGCAGAGGTCTCTCCTCCCCTCCTGGGACATACATACGCACATGCACACAACCCTGGCCCGCACCCCGCCTCTGCCCGGCCCCGCCTCACACTCACCATCTTCTCGCAGGCCTGCTTCCCGTCCATGAAGCCCTTGGGAATGGCATTGGGCGTCAGGATCTCATATCTGCAGTGGCAGGAGGGATGGGGAATCAGAGCAAGCCATCACCGGGCCCCTGCCACAGCCAGGCCACAGCCAGGCCAGGGCTCAGAGCCACGAGTACCAATAAGACGGTGACAGTATCCAAAAGAAGAAAAAGGAGGGCTCCCTGGTGGCACAAGGGGTTAAATCTCAGTACTATGAAGCTGTCCACAGCCTCTGCAGCGTGGGTTCGATTCACGGCCGGCCGGGGAGATTCCCACATGGCGCAGCAGACCTCTCCTGCCTCCCCACTGCTCCCCTCAGCAGTGGATTTCAGTCAATCTGCCTGTTCTGCTCCCCGCTCTGTCTGGTGAATCCTCTCACCCTCCCGTGCCTCTGGCCTGTACCCGGGTTCTTGTATAAAAATAAATAAATCTTAAAAAAGAATCCATATATTCCCGTCAGTACACATGCGTCCTCAGGGTCTGTCGCTTGCCCCTTCCCTGGACCTCAGCCCGGCATAGCACATCTCGGCGGACTCGCTCCTAAATGCAACTTACGCGAAGCATAATTTTTGTTAAAACATTTACCATACTTGCTGCTTACGCTCGACAGTTCCTGTTCTATCCTCTTCTACACTTACCCTTGAACACCTGGGCGGGGTCCAGGGGACCCTCACCATCCCCATGTGACTTGCAGCAGGCTCTGTACCTGCCACTCAGCCGATCAAGATGCGCGCTTGCTGGAATCCGTGGACGCGAACCCACAGGGCGTCAGTTCGAGCCGCGCTATCGGGCTGATGGCAGCCAAGCGCTCTTCGCCCTCTCGGCCGAGCACAGCGCTGCCCCACCCTGCTCCCACAGCTCAGAGAAGTCGTGACTCCGCAATCCTAAGGGACTTGCCCGGTGTGCCCGCCAGGCTGGCACCCAGGCCAAACCTGAGCCCCTCCCCATGGCGCCACTCACCGCTGCCTGAACTCCTGGAAGAGGATGCGGTTGGGGAAGCCCTGGCGACAGATGCGGATGCCCTCCAGCACCCCGTTGCAGCGCAGCTGGTCCAGCACCAGCTTCGGCTCCAGCTTCCCAGCCTGCAAGGGTGGGGGGGGGACTGGAGTCAGCGGCGGCCACATGGAGGGGCAGAGAGGACGAGGTAACATGCCTTATGCTAGCGGGCCAGGTGCCTGACTCGCCATGGCAAACAAGTTATACATTTGTTTACTGGGAGAAGCTAGGATGAACTCCGTGATGATGGACTGGGCTTGACATGCGGCGAACTCATGGTCTTCAATATATAAAGATTCCAATAGAAATAAATATGGAGGTCAACGCATGCGCACTTGTGCACATGTGTGTGTGCACGGGTGTGGTGACTGCGCCAGCTCTGTTGACTGAGGTCCTGGAGAGACAGCTGATGCCATCGAGCGCCCCCGCAGCCAGACCTCACACGCTAGGCCCCACGCTCCACGGAGGAGCGGCTGAGGCTAATACGGCGTCCCAGCTGGGCAACATCATGTTCTTGCACACCACCCACTAAACTCAATTTGCAGATGTAGGAAAGCAGACACACGCGTGCACACACACACACGCGGAGCCACCAGCCCAGCAACCACAGCCCCTCCTGCTGAGGACAGTGTACGTCTCCTTCCAGCACCTAACTTTGTGGCTTCCTTTTCTGCCCGCATTGACCCCACTCTATGGGGTCCATTCTCTGATTTTCTCAACTAGAAAAACTTTCGGTGGCCTGGGAAGCCAGGCTGGGTCTTCCCGCACTAGGTAACATGCCCAGGCCCGTGGCCGCCTTTCCATCCCAGTACCTGCCATGCTCTCAGCTACCACCGGGCCTTTGCACAAGCTGTCTGCAGCCTAGAATACCATACACCCTGCAGCGTTCTCTGGGGAGACTTCTGGGACTTCACTGACCCGATCCAACCTTATGTGATACAAAACCACCTACAAATTCAACTGGATGCTCACGTGGGGTGGCTAGTTAATGTTTGTGCTCCCTCGGAAGCTGTGAGGTCCTTGAGAATAGGGGTTGACTTTGCTTTTCTCCCTAGAGTAGTCCGAGGAGCTGCACTTAGTAGGTGCTCAATCAGTGCAAGTCCTGTAAATGAAGGAATTCTCCTAAAAGGGCACCGAATCTGGGAAGGGAAGCTGCTCTCTCAAGTCCCGTGACCCAGTCTGGACCGGCTACCAGGGCTGCCCCGCGCCCGCGCGGACACTCACCCTCTTCTCGTGGTTGGGGACGATACAGCGCACGAAGCTGGGGTTGGTGTTGCTGAGCGTGGCCATGAGGCGGCTCAGGGACTCCTTGTAGAGCTGCCCCACTGTGCGGAACATGCCCCGGCGGGGGCGGCCTCCGGGAGGGCCATCCCCCAGGCTGCTCACCTGCTCCAGCCCCACGATGCCCTCCACTGTGGGAAGAAGAAACAGGTGTAGAGAGAGGCAGAGGTCAGGGGTCAGGTGGAGGGGCTGGGCGGGCCAGTGAGCGGGCCTGGCTCTTCACGCAGGGAAACCTTGTGTAACCATCACACAGACGGGCACACTGAGGCGCGGGAAGGTGGAAGACCGGCCAGGCGCCCAGCGGAGAAACGCAAGACCCAGGGCGCGACCCGGGCAGTGTGCCCCCATCTCGAGCCCCCATCTCGGGCCCCTCCTGCTCATTCCCCCCCATAAATGATACGCCCTTTCTCTTCCAACTGGACTCTCGTCTAAAACGGACATTTGTTGTCAAGACGGCCACCTGATGAATCGTGAGACAGAAAGCTGGAATTTTTTCCCCCCATGGGCTCCCACTAATCAAGAGTGAATGAGACAAGAACTGAGATTCAGTGAAAAGGTGTGGGGTTCTCCTGCTGCACGAATCCTCTCCCGGCTCCCGCTGCAAGCACCAGCACCCAACTATGGGGGATTCCACCGGCTCTTCCCGAACCTCCCTTGTTCTGCACGTCTTCGTGGACCTGCAGCCGCAGCTTGAAAAAGTAACTTTCAGAGATTCTCTCTTCATCCCCCCGGCCCCTCCCCTGGTCCCTGGTCCCTTCCTCCCTCGGACTCGTCGACCCTGGTGACTTGTCCCCTTGAGATCTGTGAAGGGGGTAACACTGTTCCTTGCAGCTTCCACTTTCTTGGGGCCCTCCGAGCCCCCGCTCACTTTTCTGTTCCCCTAATGGGCAGTGGAGGAGGCCGCAGCCAACGCCCGCCCCGCGCCTGCTCGGCCTGGCTCCAGGCGATGCACCCTCCTGGCACACCGAGGGGCCGGTGAGAACGCCCCGCTTTGCAGGCGAGGAAACCAGCCCAGAGAGGGAAAGACGGTCCTGACCACGCAGCGGCTGTGTCTGGGGGAGCCCGAATCAGCGGCACGTTCAAAATATGAGCAAGCCTGGCTTCCAGGCGCAGTATTTGAAGTCAGGGCCACAGCCAGCATCTCCCAGGAAGCCCTGATTTCCGGGTAGCCCTGCCTTTTCTGTTGGCATCTGAGGCACCACTTCAGTGCTCCAGAACTACCCACGCCTGGGTCTTGGGGTCTATCCACCAAATCGTACCAAATCGCAGGTTTCTCAGGTACCCACAGCTGGGAGGGGTGGGGGGGTGGATCTGCTGCTCTGCAGTCCCCAACCACAGGTTGTCGGGGCTCAACCAGATAATCCACCAGGGGAGGACCTGGAGGTTGGGGGGCTGATATGTGGGGGGCCTCACATTCCCCGCCCCAAGTTCAACTCTCCCCCCAGCCACACCCCACTATCATCAAAGTGAGAAAGATCATTGATCCAATTCTTAGAGGCTCTGGGAGCCAATGTCTTGGGTTCAAGTCCCAGCTCTGCCATTCTCACCCCTGCCGGCTGTGTGATCTCAGGCAAGTGACCTCACCTCTCTGTGCTTCGGTTTCCTCCTCTGTATAATGCGGGTGCTAGTCCTAACACCTGCTTCACTAGGGTTCGCTCAGGGGAGCCTATGCACTAATAATCGTAAAAGGGCTTCCCACGGCCCGCGGCGTACAGTAGGTGCTCAATAAGTGCCAGTTGGGGTATCCCATTGTACGTACTCTCACCTACAGTTCAGTTAGAAGGAAACAGTCTGGAGGCCGACAACGAGGAGGAAGAAGCGCAGGAGATCTCCACGTGGAGCAGGGGACGTGGGTCAAAGCCAGGGTCCCGTCACTGGGACCCAAGCCCACCCTCCTCGCCCAGCAAAGCTCACCCGTTGACGCACAGCAACACCCACCCCCTGACGGAGCAATGGCAGAGCTGCGCCTCCCTGAAGATCCTGGGGGTGATGGTGGGAAGGAGCCAAGGAAAGGGAACTGCTGGAAGCCCCCATGTTCTGGGGGGATGAGGACAGATGGGGGAGGTGGCAAATGGCAGGAGGAATGCAAAGGAGCAGCATGAGAAGCGAGGAGGGGGAGAAGGTGGCAGGAAGAAAAAAAGAGGAGACAGGGTGTTAGTCAACAGCACAGGGCAAAGCAGGAGGGAAAAACCCACTGTTGACTACGAACTTTGAAAGCCAGGGAGACCATCTGGTTCACCCAAATGTCCTCAGTGAGGATTAGTGTCAGGGGAAAACAGATCTCTCTCCAAAGAGCTTGAATTTGTATCTGTTTTATTAGATATCCCTTTTTGCTTTGGCTACCAGGAAGCTCAAGGACTCACTTGATGCTCTTAGGCAGCTTGTTGTGTTGGCCACAAGGGCAGATAATGGATGTTGAAATGGCCCTTGCTACTCTCACCTCCCTGGGACCTATGTCCCCTTGAGTCTGGGCCAGCCTTGGAACTTGTTTTATTCAGAATTATGAAGGAAGGAACACTATTCCAGGCAGCTTCCACTTTCTCTCCTGGAACTCTTTGAGAAGCAGGCACATATTAGGGGGGTATGTGAGGGATTAGTAGAGGGCATCATGTGTCCACAAATGGGGCACAGGTTTTAAAGAAGTTGGGGGAGTGGAGATTTTGAAGGAGATGATTCTCAAAGCAGAATCTGGTTCTGTCAAACTTCAAACGCTGCTTTTCAATCCACCTCCTGCAAGCAATAGGAGGCACAAACATCCGATTCCTCTTTCTAAAATCGGGTCACAACATCGAGGCCTTTTTGTTCTGAGTTCCTTTTGGGAACTCACCTGGCTTATCTTGTTCTCTTGTCTGATTGCATGGGCTGGTGATCCTGCAAGCACGCTCCTCACTTCAGAAACAGACTAAGGCAAACCAAGTTCCAGAGCCTTGGAGTTGGGGGCGGGGGGCGGGGAAGAAGATGTAGATTCTGCCAGTTTTATCAAATCAGCTCTCAAACCAGCCTTCTCTGAAGACAGCGGGCAGCAGACAAGGCTGCAGAAAAGCCCCACCAAAGAGGCCTTTCTGCCCACACCTCCTACAGTGTTAATTTGATACAATGAATGGCCTTGTGGGAGCAGGAAAATTGAACAACTGGCCTTATGCTCCTTCCTTCGTCCCCAGGGCCTCAAAGCACACTATGTAAGAAGGCTAAGCCTGAAAGGTGATGAACGTGCAAAAACCCACCCTTTCCAGACCTTCTGATCTCATTAATTTGTTTTCAGCTGAAGCTCAGCTTCCATGAGGAAGCTCCATCATCTGCAATAACACCCTCATCTCTTGGACTCATAAACTCAGCACTTTTTCTGGCCAGATGGTGGAGGCTGGTATCTCCAAGCCAGTGCACAGCGGCCGTCTGTGTCTTGTTGCTGAGTAAGGGATGTTTTATCACACAAAAGCATGCTGCTGGCTTCAGAGAGCAATCAAGTGATCAATGGATCAATGGATCAATCGCAAATCAGGAGCACTATTTTAAAAGTGTGGGCTGCCACGCCAGCTCTGCATCTGCGCAGACGACGCAGGTTCAGAACTCAGCCTTCTAAATGAGGTGCTCCACGGTGGGCTGGGAGGGGACCCCGGAGCTCCCCGGCAGGCCTGAGGCTCACCATCCTTCCAGATCTCTGCAGTGAGTCTGTCAGTGCTCTGGTGAAGCAGGGTGGCGACGCTGTCATTCAGAGGGTCCATGTTTTTCATCAGCCACTCATTGGCCTTGTAGTCAACCTGAGTGAAACCAGACAGGAGGATGGGGAACTTGCGGGTTCACCAGGTCCCCCAGGTTATCCACGGAGTCTCCCAGAAGCTCCAGGGCACTTAGGATGAGAGCGCGTTGGTGCCACCTTGTGTCCACGTCCTGAACTGCACCCTCCGCCATCCTAGGCCCAGTGGGTTTTTCCACTTACCTGCCCGCCCCCAACCCCCCCACCGCCTCCAGGACCTACTATTCACTCAAGTTCAGCCACACTGGCCTCCTCACTGTGTCTCAAACACGCAAGCTTATTTCCCCTGCCGTTCCTGATGCAGGGGATGCCCTCATCGTGCAATGTCACATGGCCGCCTCCTTCCAAGTCCTCAAATCCTGCTTGAATCATGTCTTGCCCAGCACAATTCTCTACACATGGTCCCCTCTGGATGGAGGCTCCCTGGAGCCGGAGTTGGGTCTGACTAGTAGCCCAGCACAGGGCTGGGTGCAGGGGGGTGTTTGAAAATGTATGGGAAGTGAAAACTAGGTGCTGGCACAGAATATGAGGGACTACTGCCCCCTAGCCTTCATGTATGCTGTTCCCTCTGCCTGGAGAGCCCTTCCCAGCGCTCACCCGATCCTGGCTACCTGTCACCCACCAGTGAAACCAGGCATTGGCAAACTGCCACTCACAGGCCAAATCTACCTGCCACCTCTTTTTGTATATAATATTTTATTGGAATAGTCTTCATTTATTTTTTTATTCAAATATAACTCAATCTAGTCTCAAACTATTTGCAGAGATGGTGAGCTAGTCACAGGCTGTTGTTTCATATTTGCAAAAACTTCATTAAATGGTCAACTGGGGCATTTAGAGAGGAGCCTTAGCCCATTTCTGCAGTGCGACAGCCGTCATTTATATATTCACCGTGGAGTCAGTGCTGGGTGCTTTGGTGCCTCAGTGGCCAAACTGAGTATTTGTGAGGCATGTGACTTAGCCAACAAAGCTGACATTATTTACCATCTGGCATTTTACAGAAAATGTTTCCTGACCCTCGATTGAGGTATCAGATGAAGCATTCCCCTCTGGGGATTCCTCCTTTGGGTTTGACACGGCCCTTAGTTGCCCCTGTTAAAGCACCAATCTTATATCCTAACGGTCTGTTTTTGTCTCTTTCCCAGATAACAACTTGGTGAGGAAAGAAACCACGTCTGACTCTGTCCCCAGCTGTGCTCAGCACAGGGAAAAGCACACAAGAGGTATGAGTTAGCTGAATGAGTGAATAAAAGGTACATTGTGCTACTGATGAACTCTTATCCATCCTTCAAAACCCACTGCCAATGTTCCCACCTTGAAACAGCCTTTACTGACTTCATCAAACAATATCCTCACTCCTCCTTCTGCTTTCCTGGACCCTGCCTGGCTGCTTTGTTCCTTGCAGGGGAATCCCTGTTTTCCCTGCCATGTGTAGCCACCTGGTCCCCACTTCCCCCAAGGCTGGCCCAAGTCCCCTACCTTGCCTGCATAGTGCAGGACGCTGAAGTCGGCCTGATCCCGCAGCTGCCTGGGCCGCTGGAACTTGGGGTGACCGCCCTGCTCCTGGGCCACCTTCTCCACGAAGGACTTGTCTGTGGCCTTTGGGAACCAGCATTCCTCGTCCAGCAGGGCCAGAAGTCCTGGGGGGTTGGCCTGATTACCCACAGCAGGGAGAGACAAAGTCAGACCTCAAATATCAAACAGAGGTTCCTGCTAATTTGAGTTTTGTTTTGTTTTTTTTTTTAAGATTTATTTATTTTATGCATAGAAGAACTGGGGTGTAAGCCAGAGGTGTGGGGGAGTAAAAGGATGCACCAGAGACAGAGTGGGGAGCAGAACAGGCAGATCTACTGAAATACACTGCTGAGGGGAGCAGCGGGGAGACAGGAGAGTCTGCTGCACCATGTGGGTAGCTCCCTGGCCGGGGATTGAACTCATGCTGCAGTGGCTGGCAGACAGCTTGATAGCACTGAGTCTTTAACCCCTGCGCCTCCAGGGAGGCCCCTAATTTGAGTTCTTCTAAAGTGACACATGGACATACAACTGAGCGTGAGAACTGCCCACTGGCCCTGTGAATTGAGCAGCCCTGTGGCCAGCACAGTCAGCTCGTTATCAGGTCGGTGAGGCAGGTGGTGACGGTGCCCACTGACTGGACAAGGAGGCCGGAGCCAGGAGTGAGAAGTGGGACCCTGGTCATGGACCCGGGCGGGGTTGAGGGGAGGGGGCTCAGGGCTCACCGGCCGCTCGATGAGGTCGATGCAGGGCTGCAGGTCGAGGCCGAAGTCGAGGAAGGTCCAGGGGATGCCCTCACGCTGGTATTCCTCCTGTTCCAGCACGAACATGGTGTGGTTGAAGAGTTGCTGCAGCTTCTCGTTGGTGTAGTTGATGCACAGCTGCTCGAAGGAGTTCAGCTGCGGGGCGAAGGGACACGTGAGCGTGGGGACTGGTCCCAGGGAAGACAGGGCCCCAGAGAGAGGACAGGCCCAGGGAAAGGAGCCCTTTCAGGCCCCGGGCCCAGCCCAGAGCACAGACCTGGAAGATCTCGAAGCCAGCGATGTCCAGGATGCCCAGGAAGGAGGCCCCTTGGCGGGGGCTGCGGTCCAGAGCACGGTTGAGGCGCAGGACCAGCCAGCGGAAGAGGCGCTCGTAGGTGGCCTTGGCCAGAGCCTCCAGCGCAAAGTCAGCCTGCAGGGCAGGGCACACAGTGGGGATGTTCTTTTGGTTCCTCGATAACAGTCAACCATTACTGTAGCCTGACTGTACGCCAGGCTTCCTGTGAAGTGCTCAGGACACATCACTTCATTAATTCTTTCACCCCGGTCTGAGCCATCATTGTCTTTTGCCTGGAAGCAGCTTCCCCAGCCTTCCCTGTTCTGACTGTCCCCCCACCCCCCGAATTCTCCATACAGTAGACAACAGGATCTTTATAAAGGAAACTGAACCAAGTCCTTCCCTAGTTTAAAAAAGAAAAAAGAGTGCCTCACTGGCTTCCCGCTGCACTCTAAATAAAACTCACCTCCTTGCTGTGATACCTAAGACCCTGTATTATCTATCCCTTTCCCACGTCTTCTGATTATAGCTTCTGCCATCCTCTAGCTTCACCGGCCTCCTGAATGTTCCTAACTCTCCAAGCTTGTTTCAGTCACAGGGTCTTTACACGTGCTGTTCCCTCTGCGTTGAAATCTAGGTCTCAGCTCAAAATATCACCTCCTCAGAGAGGACTTTCCTGCTCCTCCTGACCCCTTCCTTCATGGTTCTTCCTCCTTTTCTTTCTGTATTTTAAAAAAATGTTTCCCTGCTAGCGCCTGAGCTCCATGAGGGCATGGTCTTCGTTTCCAAGACAGCTTTAGGGCCTCCTTGGTGGCGCAGGAGCTAAGCACTGCACTATGAAGCAATCCTCAGCCCTTGCAGCACGAGTTTGATGCCCGGCCGGCCAGGGAGCTGACCCACATGGCACAGCAGACCTCTCCTGACTCGCCTGCTGCTCCCCTCAGCAGTGTATTTCAGTCAATCTGCCTGTTTTGTCCCACACTCTGTCTCTGGTGAATCCTCTCACCCCCCACATCTGTGGCCTGTACCCCAGCTCTTGTATGCATAAATAAATAAATCTTTAAAAAAAAAGACTGCTTTTATACGCAGCAAGCACCTAGACCAGAACTGGAAGCAGGCAGGGTCAGCAAAGGTTTGTTGAGTGAATATGGGATGGGAAGGAGGCTGGGGAGTTGGGAGTGGGATTAGGGCATGAGGTGGGTACCAGCTTCAGCTCTTTAAGGTCCCAGGACCGTGGCGCCCACCCCTTCTCTTGGCCACCCACCCCCAGCCTGGCCCACCTGCTCCTTGGTCTGCGCTTTCTGCACGTAGTCTCGGCCGACTTTGATGCGAGGGGTGAGCAGGGCCCGGGAGAAATCCGTCACCCCCAGTCCCAGGAGGCGGCAGAGCTTCTGCGCGGCTGAGGGCAAGAGCAGGAGACCCCATGAGCACCGGGAAGGGGCGAGGGCCACGCCCCCCGCAGGTGGAACAGACGCCCCGCGGCCTTCCCCAAGAGCCCATTACAGGTTCCCAAAGCGTGATTCCCGGCCCGGCAGCTCTGCTGAGAACCCGAGCTGGCATAAAGACTTGGGGTCCAGGCTGTGGGACCCTTTATGTGCTAAATTTCAAGTGTGTGCATCTCACGGTAGTAGGCTTCACTCCAAATGTGAAAGAACTGCCAGCAAAGACGGGACGCCAGTGTGTGAGAAGCTGCCTCAGTGCCTGCAACTTTGAAACGTGTGACTGTATGGCGGGGGAAGCTAGGGAGATACCCCAAAAAGCAAGTGTAGTGAGACGTTCATGGTCAAATCTAGGTGTTGGTAGTTGATTATTTACTGTAAAATTCTTTCTATTTTCTTCTTGCCTTTTTTTTTTCTTGTAGGTTTTAAATGTTTGCATGTTAAAAGCGGTGTAATAAAATATTGGAAGGGGGGAGCTATTGGAATTAGGTTTCATTGTGGTGGCCAAGCTCAAAAGAAATATTTAAAAATGCATTGCTCCTCTGCATTGCAGAAAAGAGGAAAAAGCAAGCAAACAACTTGCTGTGCAACTACAGCAAAAGTACAAAGTCTAGAATGGAACCGCCATCAGGCAATGGAACCATTCAGCAAATGTGGAAACATGACGTGTTTCCAAAGAAATCCTCGGCTTTTCTACAAGTTGGGAAATGTTTATAAGAAAAAGCAGGGGGGGGTGGGGAGGGCTATGTTTGGAAATATCAAATAAAATAGAACAAAGCTTGCAGTCCACCGAAAGGAAAAAAACCCTCAGGCATAGGAAGCACACATCTTATCTGTGTAGGCAAAAAAAAAAATCTGCATAGAAAAAAAATGCCCTGATGCCAAAATGTTAACAGATGTTTTTGCTGGAGAGTGAGGGGTGGAGCCGTGGCAGGTGTGTTTCTCTTTCCACTCTGAATTAAAATGAAAATTCAGAAATGTTTCCAAGCATCTAACACTTCAGTAATGGAAAACAGTTACTCCAAACACTCTGCTCCAGCAGAAAAGGAAAACATGGAGGCGGAAACACACCAGCTTGTCAACAGAGGTCATTTCTGCAAGGGGAGGTGATGAGGATTTCAATTTTCCCTTTTTTGTGTGTGGGGAAGACCCCTGCAATCGCAGTCTCTAATCCTTCCGCAGTGCTCTTGCCATCTGTGGGGAGGGTTGGAGAACTAAAAACAATAGTGACTTGGGCCTCCTGGTGGCTCAGGGGTTTTAGACAGTGCTATCAAGCTATGGCCAGCCACTGCAGCATGAGTTCAATCCCTGGCTGGCCAGGGAGCAACCCACATGGAGCAGCAGACCTCTCCTGTCTCCCTGCTGCTTCCCTCAGCAGTGGATTTCAGTAGATCTGCCTGCTCTGCTCCCCGCTCACTCTGGTGAATCCTCTCACCCCCCACACCTCTGGTTCACACCCCAGTTCTTGTATGCATAAACAAATAAATCCTTAAAAAACAAACAGTGACTTGAAGAAACAGCTACCCACTAGCCATGGGGTGGTTTTATGGGATGTCGCACTTTGGCCCCCCCCCCAACTGCTTTTCTGATTCATTTTTGCAAATGCAGACAATGAAATAGCCAAGATTCCCTAGGCCAGTGATACTGACATCAGGGCTCTCCCCACAGAGCCCAGATGCCAAAACCTGGTAGAGTTCTAGTTCATGACCTTGAAAAGGTATCCCCGGTGCATTAAGGGACAAGAGCAGGTATCAAAGCCTTTGGTAAGGTCTGATCCCAATTTTGCAAATCAAGTGAACAAATCAGTGTGCACAGCCCACCCACTGGGTGTGTGAATGGCGCCCCCACTTGTACAGGTGATGCTTCTGATCAACAGCATCACAGGTGTGGGGGTGCTTCTTTCCTTCCTATTTTCTGTACCTCCTGCAAAATGAGTCCACAGGATTTAGTAATCAGGACAGGAGGGAAGGCGGTGGGAAGTAGGCTGCCATTCCTGTGCCAATGCTCCCCACACCAGTACAGATGCAGAACAAAGCCAGAGACAAATACCCCCCAATGTTCGAGGTAATTACCCCTCAGGAGTATGATTACGGGTAATTTCCCCTGCCTTTATGCTTTTCTGTCTTGCCAGATTTTTCGCCATCCAGCTTGTATGATTTTACAATAAGAAAGAGACAGAGTCACTTAGTTACATTTTGATAAAAAGGGATGAAACCTGCTCTGGGAAGGCAAGCCATGCAGAGAACCCAGGGCAGGGGGCGGGCTGCTCTCCCCAGGGAGCTGGGATGAAGCTGGGGGCATTCAAATATTCAGCAGGGCTCAGATGGTTTTACAATGAGGAAGAGAGTGGAAGGTGACAGAAGACCCAGCAAGGCAAGGACAGGCAATCAGGATGGCCCGGGAGTGGGAGGAAGTCTGGGCGGGGTGGATGTAGTGGGGTGCTGTATGTGGAGCAAGGAATTCAGGGGGCGCAGGGGCAGGCCAGGGAGCAGTACCTGTGTTGTCAGGCATGGAGGCCTGGTCGGTGTTCCTTTCACTCTTGATGCCGATGTTGCCAAACTGGAGCACAGCAGAGATCATCCGCAGCATGGCTAGGGAGGAGGGAGAGTCACGTGGCACCCCAGCCCCCCAGGCGGCCCAAACCCACCCCTCCGAGCTTTAAATGAGTGGTCAAAAAGGTGAGGTATAACTATGCGATGGAATACCATTCAGTCATAAGCAAAGAGGAGGTCTTGTCATTTGTGACAATGTAGATAGAACAGGAAGGGATGGTGCTCAGTGAATTAAGTCAGGAGATGATTTCACTCAGTTGTGGAATAGAAAGCAAAATCAGGGCCTCGCTGGTGGCGTGGGGGTTAGAGTCTCAGTACTATCAAGCTGTTGGCAGCCACTGTGGCACAAGTTCGATCCCCCGCCAGGGAGATGACCCACAGGGCACAGCAGACCTCTCCTGTCTCCCCGCTGCTCCCCTCAGCAGTGTATTTCAGTGCAGCCGCCTGTTCTGCTCCCCACGCTGTCTTAGGTGAATCCTCTCACCCCCCCCCCACCTCTGGCCTACACCCCAGTGCTTGTATGCATAAATAAATAAAACTAAATCTGAAAAAATTTTTTAAAAAAGAAAGCAAAATCAAACCAAGCAAATGAACAAATAAAACCAACACAGACTCTTGGAAATTGGCAACAGAATGGGAGGGTGCCAGAGAGGAAGGAAGGGGGAGAGAAGTAGAGGGGCCACTGATGTTGTAAACTAATGTTATCTCAACAAAACCTCACCCCTCTGCCTCGTCAGCACTCGAGCCCTGGGGCGAGGCAGAAGCCCAGGGCCGGTAAGTCACTTGTTGTGTTTGTCTCTGAGGTTCACCTCACCGCCATGTAGCTCTGCTCACGGGGTTCACTTATAGGGGGTGCATATAAGATTCCAAAGGACTCAGGGAAGCGAGGAAAGTCTACAGTGATGAGGACAGATCTCTGAAATCTCAGGTGAAAAGCGTGAGGTGCAGAATAGTGTCTGGCGATCCACTGTGTATTTAGAAAAGGCAGAAAACACAAAGGATGGAGGGTTCTTGTTATCATGGTCCTGTGCTCCTGAGTCGTCTCCAACCAGAATTAGTGAATATGAATTACTGCTCCTGGGAAGCTACCGGGTCTGATTCCTTCAAGCTCCGGGGCTCAATATTTTCATCAACTGATCAACACGGTCCCTTGTTCTCATTAAAGACGCTTTATCTACGGCACATGTATTTAAGACACTCTGAGCTCACTTTGCCCGGGGCTGGAACCCGCACCTGCGTGAGCTTGACCCGGCCTCTCTGCACTTAGGAACACCGGCGGATGCTTCAGCAACTCAACTCCAAAATTTCCCCCCTCTATGTATGATTTCAATGACCAGGAAAGCCCAGCAGTGCTGATTTGGGGGTTACGTATAAATTTGCAAATGCAGAAATTTCCAATAAGAAGGGGACTGTTAAAAACCTGTCATGTGGGGCCTCCCCGGTGGCGCAGCGGTTGAGCGCTGGGTTGCGAAGCTGCCTGCAGCCTCTGCGGCGCCGGTTCGATCCCCGGCTGCTCCCCGGCCACCGGAGGAGGGTCCCGCATGGCGCGCAGACCTCTCCTGCCGCCCGCTGCTCCCCTCAGCAGTGTCCTTCGGTCCTTCTGCCTGCTCTGCTCCCCGCTCTGGCTCTGGTGAATTCTCTCACCCTCCCGCGCTTCCGACTGTACCCAGTGCTTGTATAAATAAATAAAAAATAAATAAATCTTTAAAAAAAAAAACAAAACAAACCTGTCATGTGTGGACAAGGCTGCCCCCTAGCGGACATCTCAGGAACTCCTAGTCTGTTCCTAGAACTGCAGGCATAATAGCGGGGACACCCTCCAAAGCGGGGTGCTGCTGGTGTCACCAAGACTGGGAGGTGGGGAAGGGGGGCAGACACCCTTCTGCTCCACAATGAACGGCCATCTCCTGCATGACTCCCACGCGACCCTCAGCTCACCTCACACCAGCCTTCATCAGCCTGGGTTTGCATCTCCCGCTTTCTTGGGGTGCTGTGGGGCAGTGCAGTCGCCTAATAACCTCATCAACTGTTGGTTCCAGGAAAGTTTTCACCATTTTTGGATTGAAATGGATACTGATTTGTTTTCACTAGAGAGAGAGGTGAACTATCTGTGCCAGATCCTGTTCCAGAAGCTATGATATGTCTTAACCTTTTGTAACAACCCGATGGGGCAGTCCTGCAGTAACCTTTTACAGCTGGGCAAGGGAGAAAATGCCCACTTAACAGATGGGGAAACCGAGGCACCTCTGAATCACCAACAGGCCCAAGATCACTGAGTTTATCATAATTGGCATAATTCACGCTCATCCAGCTCGACAATTTTTTTACAAAGTGAACACGGGGGTGGGGCCAGCCCCTCAGAAGCCTCCTCCTGGCCCCCCACTGACCCTGCGCAATTTCACAATCACGGGACTCGGGGGAGGAAGCCAGACACGAAAGGGAACCAAAGTCCGTTGGGCTTGGCTCAGATGCCAGCTCAGGCTACATTCCTGCGTTGCTAGTGGGGTGAGGTGGGGTGGGGTGCTGGTGACAGGAGGGGGGTCCCTCGGCTGGGCTTCTTGGTGCTGCTGATACCAGATGGGGCCCCCAGCAGAGCCCCCGCCCCCCAGCTAAGCTGGGGCTTAGCGCCTGCACACACTACAGCACTTACACCCCATCTCACTCCACACACAAGTTACTTAGAAAAAGGGGGCTCGGGGAGGTACCCGTGTGGCACATCTCTGACCAAAATGCCTAACCTGAATGGGACCGCCAGGAAATACACCCAAGTTTAAGAGGAAACAACTGATCTGTCATCTCCGAAGTGCCAAGGTCACGGGCAATAAAGCCTGAGGAACAAAATGTTCCAGGGGAGGAAAGACATGAGAGGATCTGAATGCACAGGGGTGTGGACCTGGGAGAGTGCTGTGTGAGTGCGTGTGTGTTTGTGTGTGTGTGTGTATGTGTGAGTGTGTGTGTGAGACACAGGTTGGGAGCCTGTCCAGTGGCTCCCAACAAATAATCAGAGAGACAGGCCAGGAAGAAAGCAAGGGTGGCCAATTATTAGCAGTGGGGAGCCTTGTGGGGAGGAGCTTTTCCGTCAATCAAATCATGCAAAATAAAAGTTTAATACCAAATAAAAGCCAAAACCCACAACAAGGTGAAAACAGCGTCAGGAGGCCCTGCTCTGAAGGCCGCAAGGGTCCCGAGAGCAGAGGTGGCTCCAGGGACCTGGGCTGCAGGCGCGATTGTGGGGAAGGAGCCAGGGTTAGGAAGGCGGCGGCTTCCAGGGATGCGCTGCACAGAGTGGACACACTAGGGGCCAGGAGCCCGGCTGTGCCACAGCGAGGTGTGCGGACCTGTATCCTCACCCAAGAACAGCACATCAGAAAGGGTTGGGGACAGTCCCCAAAGACAGAATTTTCCTCCCCCACTCGGATCCCAGCCTTTGCGGAAAGTGCGCGTCTCTTACTCGTCGGCACGCATGCTGCATACAGTAAGCGCTCTATAAATGCTTTCAGAAAAGAACTTTGGATGGCCTGACCAGGGAAGAATTCCTCCCACCATCTTCACTACTTCTGGGATCTGATGCCGCTGAAGCTCCACCCACCCCCTCCAGTCCCTGGTCCCCCAAACTCCAACTGGCTGCAGTATGCCACCTGGAAGCTGTTCCCCCACCATCCTCTCCTGCCAGACCGCCCCCATGGGCCAAGCCATGCCTCCTCCAAGTTTGTCCCCCTTCAACCCCCAGCCCCTGCAAGGCACCAGGACTCCGAGGCACACCTGCACCCCCCCACTTTCCCCCAGTGCCTGCAGCGTTCTGGGTTGACGGAATGACTGTATGAAGCAGCGCAAAACTAAAGCGGATTAGTGGTGGCACAGGGTGACTTTGGGGAGCCCGGAGGGTACTGGGAGGGGCCAGGAAGACAGCTCTGGAAATACCGGGAGGTGAGGGACAGGGCAGCAGGACGCCCCCTCAAAGATGGATCAATGAGGTTCCTCCCCCCAAGCCATAGTCGTTGTCGTCCTTGACAAAACAGGGAGGGTTCATTCCCCAAGTCAGCCTTGAGGTTTCCCGCTAGCCTTTAAAATGGCCTTTGTCAGTTAGGGGCCCGCCTCCGTTCCAAGCTCCAGGGGCAGTCTGAGCCCGCGGAGCTGGCAGGTAGCTGGGCGGGTGACTTCAGATCTGGGATGGCAAGCGCCGCCTGCGGAGGTGGAGCCCGCCCTGGGGCAAGAGAATGTCTCCTTTTATAGGAAAATAACGTGTCTCACCCGACCAGTCTGAAATATTTCTAGATGGGGCGCTCAGGGGTGGGACCCCAGGGCTGGGGGCGGTGGGGAGACCTGGTTTCCCTAGTATGATCTTTTCTGGATTCAGATTACGTCACCGAAGCATCTGTCCCTTCAAACTTTTTGTTTTTGGAATTGCAAAAGTTGGGCCTGCAGCAGGGGCCGTTGGGAGGGTGACCTGAGGTGACACGTGTCAGGAGGCCAGGCGGGACCTGAGGGTGCAGGCGGGAGCCTCAGAGCGTCTCCAGCGTCCCCAGCGGCCAGGGAGCACAGCCCGTGGGAGGCCGCAGCCCGAGGTTGCGCAAACGCGATTGGGCAACCTCGAGGGTGGGGGTGGGGTGAGGAGGCTGGAGACCCTGTGTCAATATGACCTGTTTGCAGAGGCCTCGGCGGCCAAACTGGCACCCGGCTCTGCCCTCCGGATCCTGCTGCCTGGCCAACAATAGCTCGGGCCTCCCGCGGCGCCAGAGATCAGAGGGGAATGACACCCTGTCCTCCCGGTCCCTGCTGTTTCCAGGCCTTTCTCCAACAGCTGGTGGGTCCACTTTAGGTCCCTACAGGTTGTGTCCCCCCAATCCCAACACTACCCCCCAAAAAATACGTTGAAGTCCTAACTACCAGGAGTTCTTAGATTGTGACCTTATTTGGTGGCGGTACAAGGCAGATGTAATTATTTCAGTTAAGATGAGGTCATACTGGGGTGGGGTGACCTCTCATCCAAGATGCCCCGCAACCTTATATAAGATTAATTAATTAATTTATTTATATAAGCACTGGGTACAGTCAGAAGCGCGGGAGGGTGAGAGAATTCACCAGAGCCAGAGCGGGGAGCAGAACAGGCAGAAGGACCGAAGTACACTGCTGAGGGGAGCAGCGGGCGGCAGGAGAGGTCTGCGCGCCATGTGGGAGCCTCCTCCGGTGGCCGGGGAGCAGCCGGGGATCGAACTGGCGCTGCAGAGGCTGCGGGCAGCCTCGCAATCCAGCGCTCAACCGCTGTGCCACTGGGGAGGCCCACCCGCAACCTTATATAAAGGGGAATTTGTACAGAGACACCACGTGGAGGTGGGGTGCGCAGAGCGCCCTGTGAGCGCAAAAGCAGCCCACCCGAGGTGCCAGGAGCGCCAGGATCTCCTGGAAAGCGCCAGAAAGCCAGCGAGAGCTGGGGAGTGGACACACAGCCCTGCCCACACCTGCTCTCAGCTTTCCAAGCTCCTCAAGCGCCAGACCACCCATTTCTGCTGTTTTAAGGCTCTGGATGGCGCGCTGGGCGGCTCTTACCTAAGGAACATAAGGGCGCAGCCCAGTTCCTGTCCCAACATACTCTGTGTCCTTGGAGACGCGAGGCAGAAGTTCTCCCTAAGGCTGTGCATATCTCAAAGGCTGTACCTTATCATGTGAGAAGCCAATGTCATGTCAGTCCCCAAAGAAATAAGATAAATAGTCGTCTGAGAAAGGCTAATTGTTTTAACTAGTTCAGCTCACAGGATGATTTGAAAAGACAACTGTTCCAGGTAACAACCGCATCATAATTCAAGTCACACAGCACTAGATGGTCCCTAAAAATTCACTTAAAAGGGTCCTGGTTGCGCAAGGGGTTAAGCACAGCACTATAAAGCTATTTGCAGCCTCTGCAGCATGAGCTTGACCCCCAGCCAGCCAGGGAGCTACCCACATGGCGCAGCAGACCTCTCCTGTCTCCCCACTGCTCCCCTCAGCAGTGTATTTCAGTAGATCCCCCTGTTCTGCTCCCCACTCTGTCTCTGGTGAATCATCTCCCCCCTGCATCTCTGGTCTGTACCCCAGCTCTTGGATGCATAAATAAATGTCTTTTTTTTTTAAATTCACTTAAAAAAGTGGGAAGGCGGGATGGTGCTGTGGTCAACTGAGTTTATGAAACTGCATATTCTAATGTAAATAAATGAATAACTAAATAGTGTACGACCAGGTTTGGCTGGGTGGCTCTCCCTAGGGAAACAAAATATATCTTTCTCCAGCTATGTACAAATCAGTTCTAGGCAGATTGCAACTCTCACATACTGTCTAGTGCAAAACATGAGGGGAGCAAAGCAGGATAAATGTGGTGATGAGCTGAGTGTTTCACACTGAGGGCTTGAGAGGGCGAGAGGAGTTAGAATTTCAACAAATCTTAATTTTTTTGGAAGGGGGGGCACTCATCTTGAGGTCCAGCCCCAATCAACCTGAGCAGACCCAGACCCAGGGTTGGGGTCTCCCTGTCCCCCAGACTCGTCCCTAGTCCCCAGCCTGTTCTGCTCTAGTCTGTGGCCCCACGCAGCCCCAGAGGGGTCTCTCTCTGCTCCCAAAGCTAACCCAGGCCCCTGGTTTATTGCTGTCTCCTGGCCCCCCAACACTCCCAAATATAGCCCCATCTTCAGAGCCCCCACCTGCCTTTGCAGAGCTCCCTGCTGACTCCCCTCTGCCACCCACTACGCTGAGCCCACCACTGGAGACGTCTCAGTTTCTCAACATGCTTTTCCAGCCACAGGGCCTTTGCACAGGCTGTGAGAGCGCTACTCCCTCCCACCCCAGCACCAGTGCTCAGGCACCCTGACCTCCAGGCCCTGGCTCACACATCACCATCATGGTGTGCCCACCCTGGTCCCCATTCCGCGCTGTGCTCTCCTGCTCACCCCATCACCTCTTGCATTTGCAAATGGAGACACGGGTGGCTGCGTCGCCTGCATGCCCAGCGGTGGCACCCGCCCCCTACCCTTCAAAGGGAGGCTGGGGGCTCACTCACAGATGATTTCCTCTTGGGTGAATCCCAGGACCCGCAGGGACTCCAGGGTCTCCTGAAAGAGCTCACGCTCCTGGCCGGGAGAGGAAGACGCCCCGTTGGTGAGGAAGCGGTACCGGGAGCAGGGCTCCAGGAGCAGGTCAGCTGCAGAGGAAGGAGCAGGAGGCCAAGGTCAAGGGTGAGCTGTGGAGTCAGACTCACATCCAGGCTTCCTCGGTGGCCACCAGGGACACCAGGGCCACGTCCTCACTGGGGCCCTCAGGCTCCTCCGGCGCAGGTTGGGTGGGAAGATCCCGAGCCGGGCGGGAAGGCAGTGGGTGCTGAGCGCGCCCTAGTCTTTCCTCTTGCGTCGCGGCAGAGACTGACAGTCTGGCATTGCCAAGAGCGGGCAGGGGTGGCTGGCGAGAGGGCATGAGGGTTCGCATGGCCCAGTGAGCGGGAGCCCGGGCGAGGAGAGTCCAGGAGGCAGCCCAAGCTACCCGAGCAAGGAGCCAGGAGAGGGGCGCCAGGCCACGGGGCCACCCCCTGGCCTTAGACAGCAGGACTCGGGCAGGAGCGTGGCCGCGGGGGCCGCAGGCGCCACGAAGCTGCACAAACGAGGACCGCAGGGCCGGGGCGCCGCGGCTGCAGTGCGGGCGCAGGAAGCAGAGGCCGGAGTTGCCGGAGAGGAGAGAGCGTGAGGCCGGTGGGAGCGAGAGCCGGAGCCAGCGGAGCCAGACAGGACAGAGGAGCGAGCCGCGCGGCCGGGGTGCAGGAGGCTCTGCTTGGCGAAAGTGAGAGCAGAAAGTGGGGGCAGCAGGATCCAGGGGACGAAAGAATCCCCTCCCGCCCAGGAGCCACCTGGGACTTGACATGTGGCTCCCACCCCCACCCTGAGCTGACCAGGACACCCCAATACTGACCCTTGAGCTGCTCGCTGGCGCCCCCCAGCAGCTGGTAGAAGATGTGGAAGCTGCACTCGTCCTTGGCCTGGCGGATGGCCCGAGACTTCTCCAGCAGGTCTGGGAGGGGCCAGTCAAGGTGCCCCAGGGAGAAGAGGGGTCCCTACCAGCCCCTCCACCGGAGCTGCCCCCACCCCCGCCCTCCATGTAGCGCGGCGTACTCTGAGTCCACACCCGCCACTTCACCACCAACTACACAAACAGATGCAGCCTGAGGCACCTCACTTCTGTGCTGTGCCTCCGTCTCCTCCTCCGACTAGGGGTTTGAAAATCCCCTCCCCCCTGAGATGCTGCGAGGGTAAGTTATTGCTCTCTGTACCCCCAGAAACAGTGGGGCTTACGGCTCGCTAAAGGTAAGCATAGCAGCCGCCATGGTTTCTCTCTCAGCCTCAGTTTCCCCGGGTGGACACGGGGGCTGTCGGCCACTCCCCTTCTAGGAAAGTCCCAGGGCGGTCCACACCCCGACAGCTCACTGGTAAACTCGCTGTAACTCCGAGACCGGGCTCACGGCCCCAGCACCTGTTAGGCCTGAAGGTAGCAACCCGGGCCTGTGCTGGAGCTTTGCCCACGAAGGGCTGCAAACCGAGGCCCATGGCCTTGGGTGCTCACTTGCTCAGGTGAGATGGGGGAGCCCTCGGGGGAACCCCACAAGGCAGAGTGGGCAGAGGAGGCACACATAAACTAGACCATCCTGGGGGCCACAGCCCTACGCCTGGGGCTCCTCTCCTGTTAAATGAGACAGTGACTGCAGCTGCCTGGCCAGGGTGGCAGGGAAGGGAGGTGACAGGGAGAGGTCGGAGGGTGATGCCTGGCACATAGTAAATACTCCAGAGGTGCCGCTCGGGCTGTGTTGCTGAGGGGTCCGGCCGAGCAGGAGGCCCACCTCACTGGCTGGGGCATTGGCACCGGGACTGCCCAGCGGGCTGTGGCCCCAGCCCTGAGTTTTGAGAACCCCTATAAGCTGAAGCCTGGGGACCAGGACTAACAGGCCCCAAGATGCAGAAAAGCAATGGCCCCGAGGCCAGAGGGTGGTGACCAGGAAGCGCTCCCTACACACACAGACGCAGATTTCCTGTCTGTGGTGAGACCCTGGGGTGGCCTCCCCGACCCTGCCCATCTTCCCAGGCGCCCCTCGGGCTGTGGGAGGATACAGGTCTCGATGTTCGCACCCACGATGTACCCGGCAACATCGAAGTTGATCCGGATGAACTTGCCCTGGAGGGGGGAGCACAGAGGCTTCAACTGAGGGTCCTTGGCTGCACTCGGGCCTGAGGAGCACCCCAGCCGTCGCCCACCCCACCCAGAGCCAGGACTGTCTCTCCACTTTCTCCTCCAACCCCACTCTTGAGATCCCGAGTGGGGGGTTCCTTGGGGAACTCAAAGTCCATGCCCCTTTGACTTCTCTCCTCAGGACCCAGGCTCCAGCTCCTTCTCCCTCAGACCCTCACATCCTGCCTCCCCCCATCACCCTCCAACACGTTCCCACGCACACAGCCAGCCACTGCCCCCATCACTCACGAAGCGGGAGGAGTTGTCGTTCTTCACAGTCTTGGCGTTGCCGAAGGCCTCCAGGATGGGGTTGGCCTGAAGGAGCTGCCTCTCCAGCTCACCCTGCCAGGTGTGGGAGAGAATGGGGGAAGCTGACTCAACTGGGGGGAGGGGGGTGGATGTTAGCAGCTGGTGGGGTGTCCATGTGGGAGGGGCCTTTGTGTGTATCTAGGTGTGCACCCACCACCCTGCATGCAGGTCTCGCCTGTCCTACTGTGGAGGAGACACCTCAAAAGACATTACTGGGTGTGCAGAAAACAAAACAAGATGCAGAACATTATCTATAAGGTGATCCCATGCATAAACAATGAATTAAGAAAAAAAACACCACAAAACAAGACTGTCATTTCTACATGTTTGTTTTACAAACATTTCTAAATGTTTGTAAACATTTGGAGAAAGGTCTGCAAGGGGCCACACCAATCTGTCAACATTGTAAGCCACTCCAAGGGGAGTGAGAGGAGGAGGAAAGAATTTCACTTCATCTGATTTTGTTGTTACAGTGCACATAGTAGGTCTGTAATAACTGGACATGTGGGTGTCTGGGTGATGTGGCTTCACAGTGCCTGTTGGTCCTTTCTATACACACTCAGAAGTGTGGCAACAAGTGATAGTTTCAGTCTCTGGGTTTTTTCATGTGGTTATCTGGGGTCAGTATGTACAGACTCATGAACACAGTAGGGCTAATAGAAAGGGCAGTGGGGCAGCACTCACACAGTCGGACCATGGCGGCATGACCCAGGTGTGTACACAGAGTAGGGCTAACATAAACAACAGGGGTGGGGGGATTGTGTTTACAGAGTGGGGTTGCACTGAATAACAGTGGGGGTTGTTGTGTGCATAGTAGGACCACCCTGAGTGGCAGCATGGCTCTCTGGCAGGTGTGACCAACGGCTGCCTTGAGCTCTGTTAGTTGGGAACAGCAGGGGTTGGGGTGACCAGACTGGAGATGATGCCCTGCTACTCACATAAGACATGGTGCCGGCGGAGCCCTGAGGAAGTCACGAGACACGAGACACGGACCAGGACAGGGACCAGGACACAGCACATGGAACATGGACAGACACAGGTGAGCCAGAGTTTCACAAGTGGACGGGGCGGGAGGGGAGCCGAGGGGCTGGAGAAACCCTCGGGTTTGGATCTGCTCTTGCCTTTCCTGGGTGTGTGACCTCCATCAACCAGCTCACCCAACCGAGCCAAGGGGTTCTCCTCTTTAACATGGGGAAATCACATAGTATTGAGTTCATGTGAGTTAAGAAATTGACACTCTGTAAGTGTCAGCACGGGCATTGCAGGTACCTAAATCCCACCAAGCACACAGTAGGTGTGCAGGAATGGAAGCACCTACTATGTGCCAGGCAGGAGAATTGGCCCCTGTGCTTCTGTGTTCACCCTGCCTCTACCCCTTGCCCTATATTGGACACACAGTGGGTGCACAGCTGCCCTGGGCAGTCAGGAGAAGGCCCAGTGCCCATGGCCCTCCCCGTGGGGAGGGGAGGAGAGGGAGGAAGGGGAGTCTGAGGGGGTGTGGCAGGGCCCAGAGTACATCCTGGCGCTGGTCACTTACAGGGACACCCGGCTCCTTCCTGCCCTTGGGTGACGATGCCACGTGGGCGAGGTACTGGATGACCTTCTTGGTGTTCTCTGTCTTCCCGGCCCCAGACTCCCCACTTGGGGGGACAAGGGGAAGCAAAAAGGGTCAGCAATGAAGATGCCAGGTAAGCCCCACCCGTTCCGAGCCCAGCCATACCCAGCCTCCTCCAGGAAGTTCCTCCAAATTACTCACGTGCAGAGAATGGACTGATCCTCACGATCTGTAGGGACAGAGTGGGGTCTTGTCACCCAAGGGGTCTCTCGAGCAGGACCCCAGTCCCTTACACTGGCCACCTCTTTTTCAAAATCACTCCCGAGGGGTAAGGAACAGCTTAAGTTGGGTGTGTGACTCTCCTAGACTCTAAAACCACACTCTGATTAAGCCTCTGGCTGGCCATGTGGCCCTGGGAAAGCAGCTCTCCCACTCTGAGCCTCCACTTCCCACCCATCAAGGGGACAAGAAACCTCAACTCAACAGAATGTAATTCACTCACTTACCTTTTCGTGAGCCCCCGCTTGTGCAGGGTGTGCGAGAACCAGACATGAGAGCGAGACCCTGGATGACAGGACTCAGCCTCTGATATAAAAACAGGTCCCCAAATGGCTGTGGGGGTGATCAGTGCCCACTAGGGGTTTCCTCTGCCCAACAAGGGCAGAGAGCACAGCTCAGCTCCTGATGTCTTCCCTGGCGTCCCCTTGAGCCTGACACACCTTCAACAAATGCACTGCCTAAGGGCAGTGAGAATGGGCCAAGGCCCCTGCCCTCACGGAGCTTCCACTTGGGAGCTTCCCCTTGGGAGGGGGGCAAAAGTCATGTGCTCGAAAACCAAAGTTGGACACACAGTCCACCAGTTGGCAGTTGGCAGTGTCTGGACCATCCCTACAGGCATCTGGTGGGCGCGGCCCAGGGATGCTGCTTAACATCCCTCAGTCTCTGAAGACTGAGCCCAGAGGCCAGTAGAGCCAGGACCGAGAAACCCTGGTCTAGAGTAATAAGGACCAGGCCTCCCCAGTGGCCTAGGGGTCAAGTCTCAGCGCAATCAACGCTATGGCTTGAGTTCAATCCCCGGCCACGGAGCTGACCTACATGGCTCAGCAGACCTCTCCTATCTCACCCACTGCTCCCCTCAGCAGTGGATTTCAGTGGATCCACCCATTCTGCTCCCCACTCTGTCTCTGGGGAGTCCTCTCTCTCTCTCTCTCTCTCTCTCTCTCTCTCTCTCTCTCTCTTTCTTCCCCTTCCCCCATCACCAAAGAGGCAGAGCACCCAGTCAGTGCATAATGCCCTGCGGTAGAGCCAAGTGGGAGATGTTTGAGAGGCAGAAAGGACACCAGTGAGCCTGGGGGGAGGGCAGGGCTGTAGATGGTGGAGATGTGCTTGGAGGCCATAATTAAGAGGCCTGGATAGTTTTTAAGCAGGCGGCTGGAGGCCTCTGAGTAGTTTTAAGCCAGAGAGCCGCATTCAGTAGAACTTTTGAGCAAGCGGACTGATGTGGGGGCCGCGTGGCCATGGGTTCAAGGTCCTGTTGCCTGTCAGCCTCGCTGTATAACTCTGGGTGAGTTTGCTCCGTGCCTCAGTTTCCCCATCTGAAAAGAGGAATTCAAAACAGCCCCTCCCTCTCCAGGCTGCAGTCAGAATTCAGTGAGAATGTTCACAGAGGCTTCATAACCAACTAGTACAGAACTAACCTCTGTGGCCGGGTTTGTCACACACTCCGCACTAGTGGCACCTAGGAGGGGCTCACATTGACTGTTGTTCAGTTGGAGCTACTTGTCCCCATTTTACAGGCGAAGAATTGGAGACTCAGAGTGGGACAACCACTTCCCCCAGGTCACACAGCCAGCCAGAGCTTGAGAGCCGGGGCAAGAATGTCACATATCAAAACTCATAGCCCCTGGCCCTGGATGAGGGCCTGCCACACAGTGACAGGCACTGGCCGGGGGCCCTGGGTCTAGGTGCCACCCGGGCCACCCAGCGACATTGTGCCGTGCCTCAGTTTCCCCATATGGAAACCCTCTACCTCAGGGGATGGCTGTGAGGTTGCATGTGCTAATTCACAGAAAGTGTTTGGCACTCACCCCTACTTACTGTACTTTTATTTGTATGCTATAATAACTAGTTTATAATAAGAGCTGAAAAGCATTCTAAAAATAAGCATACAACAAATCAGACTCAGTAGCTCAAGTCAAACAAGCGTTACCTATGATTAGTGTGACTGTAAAACCATTCCACCTATGTATGTTGGACCCTGCCTCTCAGCGTGAGCCTGGACCTGAATCCCTGGAGCCTGGGGACCTCGTGAAAACATGTGTACAGAGCCTCCACCAGTGCCCTGACTCAGCAAGTCTGGGTGGGGCCCCAATCTGTATTTCTGACAAGTTCCCAGGTGACGCTGAAGCTGCTGACGAGGGGACCACACTCTGCGATTAATCAAATCTCAAATTCATTAAATCGCTCCTTCCTCAGATAATGGGAAGTGAGGGTTTAATTGAAACTCCAGCAATTATGGGCTCCTCCCCTGAGAATCTCTGCATTACACGGTATATATATAATTACAAATACAATGTAAACGCAGCATGTATTAAATAAGGCGAGTATTTAAGTACTATAATACACAGCTGCTATGTTATGCCATAGGATAGAAAGAGATATACATTTAAAAACATTCGATGTGTATTTTAACATGCACAATATTTATTAAAGATGATATAAAAAAGTATATCATCACACTTGTGTAATTACATGTGAATTACATTATTGTGCCAGGACCGATCCACATTGTCAGGAGTGAACGTCCGCTGCTTAGCCCCATGCCCTTGTTCAGTGTGCAACCTGCCCAACCGTACATAGCGACCCGATGCTGCCATCTTCTAAGGGGCTGCCATTCACTTGATCACAATGTGGATCAAGTCGGCAACAGATATGTAAAATGAATGAACAGGGTAGGAATCACAGTGTCAAGAGAAGTTTTTGCAGAAGCCTGGCACCAGCTGACTCCCAAATGACACTTATTGAGAGAAGAGACAAACACAGAGACAGGCAAGAAAGTCCTGTGTGGCAGAGCCAGCACCTTGCCCATTCAGTCCTTCTTTGGTGTTCTTCCCTGCCCCACAGAGTGGCTTCCCATTATGAAGTCCTTGACCTGTTATCTGATCCTGAACCCCCGAGCAGGAGCCATGTCCACTCACCCTGCAGCATACTCCGGTAGGCTCCCTCGGTCACTGCATACACGTGGGGTGGCACTTCGTGGCGCTTCTTGCCCCGGTACATCTCCACAATGGCCTCCGTGTAGATGGGAAGCTGCTTGTATGGGTTGATGACCACACAGAAAAGGCCAGAGTACGTCTGCATTGGGCAAGAGAAGAAGGGCCTCAGCTGCCTGCTTGCTGCTGAGCACAACTGGGCAGGTTGTGCACTGCCCAAGGATGTCCATCAAAGGGGCGGCCATTTACACCGGGACCATGTCGATTTGAACATTCGCTATAAGCATTTTCAGGCTGATGGTATCAGAGACTCAGTCCAAATTGCACAAAGGTGCTATATGGGTGAGAATTGGCCCTGAGAGAGAGAGTATGTAGCTGTGACAGTCTGCCACAGCCTGGATCCACATGGGTATCAAATGAGCATGTGCAAGTTCATCTGTTGCAGAGAGGACTGGAAAGCTTGTTCGCAGGGTGGATTCTTGGGTGTACAGAGGTGGAACTATTGCCAAAACATTATAACCGAGAGGAAGTGGAGTGAGCACTGTTTGCTCAGGAAAGGGTGGAAGAGGGATAATATTAGATATTGTTGTATATTGTTAGGACATTGTCAGAGATTCCCCCGACTGTGCAGACAATATGTGCAGCACATGCAGCCACTGGCCCCCGATAAAGGTACCTGCGGCCCTGCACGCTGACTTTGTGCCCCGCGCTTACTGGAGAAAAGGCTAAATTTCACATTCCAGCTTCATGAAAGACGATCTTTTTTTCCTTTTGCAGTCAAGTTCAAGGGCCCCCTGAATTTATCCATGTCCCCCAGTACGCCTGGTTTCAGGACCCTGAAATAAGAACTGTGAAGAACTGTTCCATTCGGGCCACGCAGGGGCAGTTAGACAGATAGAGACTCGCTGGTCACCTGGCTAAACCAACCCAGAGAGCTAACTGGATGAGCCGGTTGGAGTTAGTAAACTAAGCGAGCCAGAGTTGGCTGCTTCGTGGCCTAGCTAGCAAACGATCAAACGAGTTAGCTACACAGGCAGCTGCCTGGCTAGTTAGCTGGCGAGGAGGTCACGCAGCTGGTTAGTAACAGGCCTGTTGTAAGCACTCAGCCGGCTCAAGCTCCCCCAGTAGGGTGTGGCCTGCACCAGCTGCCCAGCTCTGGTGCCAGCCTTTTAACGGTGGGAGGGTGGGTGGCCAGCCTGGAGCAGAACAACCGGTTTGCTGGGTGTCTGCCCTCCCAGCCTGGAAGACTGCTCCCCCTCTCAGGGGTGGGGCAGGCGGGCCACATTCCCTGCGAGGGTATCTCATGGCGGCTGGCGCCCTGGCCTCCACTCCTGGCAGGAGGAGAAACCCACTCCTCGCGCCACCCTCCCACCCCAGGTTCCTCCCTCCAGCCACACCTTGTCCCAAGGGAGATGAGCTGGCTGTCAAGGCCAGAGAGCAAAGGGCAAAGGCTGGTACCCCCAGAGACTGCTGGGGACGCTCGGGTTGCTTGGGCACAGCTGAGGAAGCAGCGACAGACCCTCCCCCTTCAACATCTCTTTCCCTTCCCCCCCCTCCAGTTCCAATGCCCTCCTCCACCTCTCCTCAACCCATCCAAGCTCCCCAGACTCACAGCTTCCTCCTTGAGAAACCAGGGGCACACCCCACTTCATTATGGGAGCCTGGGGATTAAGGCAGTTAATGAATAAAAACTACAAGCAAGGTGCGGCCTCAAAGGCACTCCAAATATGGGTCCTGGGAGTCTCAGGTTACCCGGCTCATCCGGGAGCTGAGAGCCTGCTCAGACTTCAAAGCCAAGCCATGCCAGTTCAGATTCTAACAAGGCATCTTCTAGCTGCTCACAGGGTGACACCCCTCTGGACCCCAGCCTCCACCCCAGGAAAATGGGCCTGTCAAGCCCGGATCCCTAACAGGACCAGGAGAGAAAAAGGCACTGCATGGAGCATCATGGGTGTTGGACAAACGGCCCCCTTTGGGCTCTTGCACCTCAGAAGAGAGCCCCAGACCCTGAGCCACTCAAGGTCAAAGAACCTATGAATGGCAGAAACTGGGTTTCTGGAGCCAGGGACACCCCACTTTCCACTTCCCCTCTACTAGTCGGTCAGTCCACCTGTCTTTGTAAATCCTGGGTAGGAGACAAGCAGAACGGGGCACACCGCTAGCATCTAGCTGGATGGCTACTTTTGGGGTTTCTCATCCTCATCAGAGGGGACAGAACAGCCATCCAAGAGCCCATGTTCTTTCCATGTCACTTCCACCGGTCATGTCTCAAGTTGCTGGCTAACTGGCAACAGATTTAGCTCGTTTTTCCCTGACAGTCCTACCTGGTAGCCTTCCTAGTCTAGTGGTGAGCAGGTGGGGTCTGGAGTGGCGAGGAGAGGACCTGAGTTCGAATCCCGACTTTCGTGCTTCATGAGTTAAAGTTGTTTTTGTATTTTTTTTTAATGTAAAACCTGAACTATTCCTTTTAAGGCTTTAGCTAAGTATTTCATGGTTTTGTGGCCAATTTAAATGAGCCGCAAGACCTCTGAGCTGTGTTTGGAGCGAGTCTCTGGGGCTCAATGCCCCCATAACTTCTTCATGGCTGTGACCTGGGCTCAAGTCTCTTCACATTCCTGAATGTCAGGTGATAACAGTCCCTGGCCCAGGGGTGAGCTGATAACCCACCCTCAGCATTCAGAACAGTCCTTGGCACATCACGAGTGCTCAGTAAATATTTGCTAACCACCCATTATTATTATTTTTCGTTATTGTTGTTGACATTCTTTGTCAATCTCTCTAATCCTGTTTTCTCTGAATAATCCTCTGACTGCCCATTAGAGCCACCCTAGAAGCGTATTAAAAATACCAATGCCATCACCCCAACCCTCCAGAACCTGATTTAAATGGGTCCGGGGTGGGGCTTGGGTGCTGGTATTTTTTAAAAATTCCCCAGGTGATTCTGACAAGAAAGGAGGTTTCAGAACTGCCCTGCTCTGTGCATTAGTTGTAAAGACTAAATAACTGCCATCAAATGCTGGAACAGAAACTAGACCACCATAGTCAACCTCACTATCATCAACCCCATTTTAATCCCAGAAGCCTGCGCAGCAAAGTGGGGGGCAGGGCCGTGAGCCAGACCACCCAGGTCTGCCCAGTCCAACTGGATGACCTTGGCCAAGGCACTTGACCTTCCTGTGCCTCAGTTTCTTTATGTGTGGAATGGGGACAAAATGCTGTATGATGTGAAAAGGTACTGAGATGATAAATTTTAGGGTGCCTACTACAAGCTTCGCGGATAGTTTTTCTTCTTATTAAATCTCTCTGAGCCTCAGTTTCCTTTCAGATAAAATGGGGATAATAATAGACTCCACCCCGCCTAAGGTGAAATGAGATAAGTTCTTCTTTGAAAGGCATGTAGCACAGAGCCCGCAGGTTTTCATGGTTCTCATCGATTTTTACTACAGACACAGAGCCCCTTCTTGAAAGCTTGTGGAGGGTTATAGCTGAGAATCCAGAATTTTTATACTTTCGGAAATGGTAAAGTGCCCCCACGGTTAGGTGCCACCCCCTCGGGCCTGAGGCAGTCCTGGTAATGGGCTCACTTGTAGTTTGACAACCAAGTGTGGAAACAGTCCACCCTGCGGGATAAACTACAAATAGTCTCCAGTCGATTGAATGGGGTGCTGGCACCAGCCCCCCCACCCGCAATGCCCTGGCGGGGCAGGAGGCCACTCACGTAGATGAGGCCGGAGTAGTATCTCTCTCGGAGGTTGTGCAGCACCGAGGCCTCGTTGAGACAGGTCAGCTCGGCCATGTCCTCGGCCTTGCTGAACTTGGGCGGGTTCATGCGCTGGATCTGGTCCCTCGGCAGACGCACACGCCGCCCGCTCTCGGCCAGTTCCACCTCGGCCTCTTCCCCACTCTCATCCCGGAGCGCCGCCGCCTCGAACCCGTGCACCTCCGAGGGGACCCACACCAGGCGCCGCGCCGTCCACTCCACCTGCGGGGACATGGCCGAGCCCGCGGGCCCGCCACCCACGCCAGGCCCGGGGGGAGTGAAGAGGAAAGGCTGGGCGGCCTCCGGCACTGGACCCGGCCTGAGAGGCCCCTTCCTCCCGGGCACGCTCACGGTCACTGCTGCCATGGTCTGCAGGGGAGAGAAGAGGGTGGAGGTCAGGAGTGGTTCCCTCCAGCCTTTCTGCACCAGACCTTTCTACGCTTCTGCAAAAATGGGTGGAGGAGTCTCCCTTACTTGTTCCATTCATTTACTTCTCTAGCCAGCCATTCATTCACTAAGTATTTAATAAAGCGAGGCGGGGAGCCAGGCACAGCAAAGAACACTCCAGAGAGAGATGCAGGCCTTCCTAAGGTGTTTACATTCTAGCCCGTGCTTGGACATACCGGAGCCTCCCCCTCTTGTCTCAGCCGCCAGCTCCCCACCCACCAGACCCAGCCTGCGCGTTCCCCACCCCACACGGGGGTTACTGGGTGCTTGAAGTGGAAACCCCAACCTGAGATGCAGTTCTGAGTTGCGATACACACCCAATTTCAAAGACTTAGTGCAACAAAAGGCTGGTTCGTATTTTTATATCTGGTGACATGCAGCGATCTACCGAGTTAAGTAAAATCTGTCCCCTCCATGAATGTCACCTGTTCCTTTTTGCTTTTTGAATTTTTGGTGTGGCTACTGGAAAATTTTAAATTACACACTTGGGCCCGTGTTACATTTCTATCGGACAGCACGGTTCTAGCCCTGGGAGACAGATAAAAAGATAAAAGAGCAAATTACACAGTGAGTTAAATGGTGAGAAATACCAAGGAGAAAAATAAAGCCGGGGATAGGGAATGTTAGGGTTGAGTCCAGGTTTTAATTGGGGTGGCTGAGGAAACTCTCTGATGTGGCATTTGAACAAAGACCAGAGGGAGATGAAGGGAGAGAGTCATGGGAAAGTAGACAGGAAAAGCTCTCCAGGCTGGGAAAACAGCCAGTGCAAAGGCCCTGGGGCAGGAGTGTGCCCGTGACTGTGGCACTGCGAGGGGCCAGAGTGGCTGCAGCCAAATGATGGAGGCAGGTAAGGGGTCAGACTGGGTCCTGGTGGGGACTTTGACCTGTTAGATATGAGCCCTCAGAGGCTAGCCCTCAGGCTCCCTGGCCACTTGAGTCTACCCGCTTGAATGTTGTCCCTCAGTTAATAGATCATCCTCTCCCTTCCCTGAGACCTGGCTTCTTTCTATTATATCGGGGAGACGGGTCCATTGATTCACCCCTCCGTTCAGTCAATACTCCCTGAAGGCATTCAAGTACAAGGCTCATCATCATGAGGTGAGTCTGCGGCCCAAATGTGGGGGCAAGCCTGCTTTGATGGGTCCGGTACGGGGTGATCCGCTTCTCGGCTCAGACTCTCACAAGCCAAAGTGGGTTAGGGGCTTTCACGGAGGCGCTGGGTGAGCCAGAACAGTATCAGATGCCTCCCAGCCCTCCAAGGAGCCACAGACAGCAACGCCAGAGCCACCGAAGCATCGCAGTCTAGAAAAAATAGGCTCCCGGCCCCTCACTGCTTGGCTGCCGAAGGAGTCAGCCTCCAAGCCCCCCACTGCCTCATGTCCCCACCATTGATGACCACCCCCGCCACACCTGTCTCCCCCACTGCATGGTTGCTCCTGGAGGCACCCCTGGCTGGAGCAGTCCCTCCAAACACCCAGCTCTCCTGGAGACACCCCAGATCAGGTTCCAGCAGGCTCCTCTCTTCCCCTTAGATCTCTCACTCCAGAAACGAGCCACTGCCACTGGGACCCTCTCCTCACAGGCCCCAGCATGCAGGCTTGGGCCCCAGGGATGCAGATGCGCTGAGAGTTCAAACCCTGGGCCCCCAAACTCTCAAAGTGTAGGGCTCTACCACCATGGGATGGCATTTCTCCACCTTCCAGGCCCCAAATTACCAAGGCTCACCCCAGGCTGCCAGTGTGGCCTTGATCCACCCACAGCCAAGCTCTATACCCAGGACTTTACCCCCACCTCACCCCACCCCACCCCACCCACTTCCTCTGCAGCTCAGCCTTTGACCAGGAAGGGTTTGGTACTTTTTGCAATCACCCAGCCCCAGGCTTCCCCTCTCCCAGTCGGACTCTGGTCCTGTAGCACCCCCCCCCACCCGGCCCCCAAACGCAGGAGTCTAGGCCACCAGCACCCTAAAATTCCAGGACCAGGGAATCTGAACCCCCAGGCCCTCCCTTGGACCCACAAGTCAAGGGGTGGGTCACCTCACTGTGACCAGCTAGTAGGAGGATACCCAGGATATCCCAGACTCCGGGCCACACAGCCCAGCAGGAGGCCGAGCCCTTCCGCAGCCCCACCCGCCCGCGCGCACAGGGCGCCTCTGCCAGTCTCCGGCTGCCATGGGCAGGCACTTTCACCTTTCCTGGGGGAGGCAGAGGCTGCCGGGCTGGAAAGGAAAAAGGGCCAGGGACCCGCCCCACGCCAGGAGTTGGAGCCCTTGGCATCCAGCCCTCTGCCCTCAGCCTCGCGCTAGGATTCAGGAGTTCCCTGCCCCCCCCCCCATCTGAAATCGAGGGGACCCGGGAGTCTGGATCCCCACTCCCTCCCGCCTCGGACGCGGGAGTTCAGACCCAGCCCTCCTCCCCGGGCCCCTGGAGTCTCGCCTCCCAGCCCTGCCTCCCTGCAGACCCAGGAGCCGCACCCCCACGCGGTGCTGGCCCCAGAGCTGTCCTCCCTCGAGGCGGAGAGTCTCCGTTCGGACCCGGGATCCGGCCCCCGGTCCCCAACTCCCCTTCTCGAGTTCAGGCACCCGAGCGTCCACGCCCATCCCCAGAGACCCACACGGCGCCGACCCGGCCCCCTCCACCGGCGATCCAGCTACCTGGGGCCCGGCCCGTGCGGGGAGCGGGGAGCGGGGAGATGGGGCGGGGGCGCGGGATTCCCGGGTCCGCAGGCGAGCTCTCAGGTGTGGCTGCCTCCTCCTCGGTCCAGGCGGGGCGGGGCCACGGCGCGTCCCCGGACAGAGCCGGCTCTGATGTCACCCACACCTGCCCGGCTCGCGGAGGGGGCGGGTCGAGGCGCTCCCGGGCACCAGACGAGGGGCGGGGGCAGCGGCAGCGGGTGAGCCCCGGGCCAGGTGGGCGGCGGGCGGCGACAGCGCCAGGGGCGCCTCCTCCCCCTGCAGGACCCGCCAGCCCTGAGGGCTGAGGGACTGTGGGTTCGACTCCTGCTCAAGGTTTCCTGGCCTCAATTTTCCTCTCAGCGAATCAAATTCTGCGGGAGAAAGTCTAGCCCAGCGCTTGAACAAGCAAAGCCTCCCGACATCACTTAATCTCTCTGGGCCTCAGTTTCCCCAGTCTGCAAATGAAACAATACAAGGCACAGAGGGTGCTTGGGAGGACCAGGGAGGTGACACTTCGGTCCCTAAAGGGTGATGAGCGCACCTACTGTGCTCCGAGGGTTCTCTCTGCTCTTGGACCAGTTTTAACTCATGGAATACCCCACAACCAAGGAGAGAGGAGAAAGGAATGATCAGCGTCTACCTTTCTCCGATGGGGAAAGTGAGACATGGAGAGCCGAGGTACTGCCCCAAGGTCACATGATCGGTAGGAAGGGGAGCTGGGATTTAGCCGAGACCTTAGCTGCCATTCTAAAAAAGGGAGTTGGAAGGAACGTAGTAGGTCCTCAGAGATGTCTTTTCCTCCTCCCAGTTGGCAACTCTCGGACCTTGCTGCCCAGTTTATGCCAAGGGACCATGGCCTTCTTTAGGGCCTCTGTCGGGTCACACAGGTTAAAGGACATAGCACGTCACTCGTCTCCTAAGTGTTATTCGCAGCCCAGTCTCCCTGCTACGCTCCCTCTGTCCAGTCTGTTTTCCCTTCTCTGTAAAATGGGTACAATATAATTCACCTCTTGCAAATCGAATTAAATTATTTAGCTACGAAAATAAAAGCGCCCAATCAGGAGCTCAAATATGTGTTTCCCCCTCCCGGCCACCCCCTCCGTGCCTCCGCCAGTCGCGACCCCTCTCTCTCCTCCGCAATTTTTGCAAGTGAAAAGAGACACCTTCCTCCAGGGGGCGGGGGGTGGAAGACGATGACTCAGGTATTAAGGCGTGCTGGGTCCCAAAGCGAACCTCAGCTACCGCATCTACGGAACAGGGCTGAGGCCTCGAGCGCGGACCCGGACCCCGGCTCGCACACAGTAGGCTCTGCTTGCACACAGTAGGAGGAGTGTGGCGAGGGGTCGGGCGCCCCGCCGCCGTCGGCTGCGCGCCCAAGGTGAGCGGTCGAGTCGTCGGCCCTCCCCCGCCGCCCGCGCCGGCCCCCGGGGCCCGGGCCGCAGCCCCCGGACTCCAGCCTTCCCCGGTCCAGTCCCGCTCGGCCGACCCCGGCGGGCGGCGGGCCGCGATCACTCACCGGCTTCCAGGGCCGTCCGGAGGCTGAGGCCTGGGGAGAACGAGGGGCGGGCCGGCCGGCACAGCCCCGCCCACACGAGCACAGCAGGGGCCTATCGGCGGCCTCTGCGGCAAGTGACGGCCCCGCCCATGGGGGGACGCGGCCGCCAATCAAGGAGAGCGGCTTTAGGGTGGAGCCAATCAGAAGTTGCCGGAGCGTGCCAGCCGTGGGAAAAGAATGGAGCCGCGCGCAGGGCCCGGCAGCGCGGTCGTGGGCGGACCGATCCCGGGGCTGACGGGCAGGGGGTGCCACCACTGGCGAGGCGCGGGGGGCGGCCGGCGGCGGGAGGCCCAAGGGGCCGGGGTGAATGGGCCGCTTTGTGCGAGGGGCATGAATGGGGGCCTTTGTGAGGACCGGCATGGGGTGGGGGGGCGATGGGAGGCCGGAATGCCTGGGTCCCTCGGGAGCCGGCGGACAGAAGAGTCGGAAGAGAGAATTCACTTTTGTGGAACGGCGACCGCGTACCAGGCTCTCACCCTCCGGGAGGTGTGGGCAATGCCATTGTAACAGGGTGGTCCCCAGGAAAGGTTCCAGGTCTCCTCTGCAGCTTCTTCTCTCCCTGCTCAGCTCCACCCTACTCTTGGGTGGGGTAGGAGGCCTGGAACCTCCCCCCTCTCCTGGGGACCACCCTGTTATATTATCAGCAATAATAATGGTCATTATGGAGTGCCTGGTATAAGCCAGCAGCTGTTCTAAAGGCGGTACCTGCACAAACTCATTTAATCCTTGCCACTATCCCTTGGAATTGATGCCCTTAAGATCGTCATCCTCCAGGGCCTCCCCGGTGGCGCAGCGGTTGAGCGCTGGGTTGCGAAGCTGCCCCGCAGCCTCTGCAGCGCTGGTTCGATCCCCGGCTGGCGCGCAGACCTCTCCTGCCGCCCGCTGCTCCCCTCAGCAGTGTACTTCGGTCCTTCTGCCTGCTCTGCTCCCCGCTCTGGCTCTGGTGAATTCTCTCGCCCTCCCGCGCTTCTGACTGTACCCAGTGCTTGTATAAATAAATAAATAAATAAATAAATAAATAAATGTTTAAAAAAAAAAAATCGTCATCCTCCAGATGAAGTAAACCCAAGTTGAGAAAGACCAAGTTAATTACTTCGAAGTCCTAGCACTGGCTAGCGGCAGAGAAGAGACCAGGGTCCAACCCAATCTGACTCCAGAACTCGTGCTCCTAAGCGCCATGCCAGACCCAAAGGTAGGTTAAGGCTTCCCAGTTTACTGGTGGGAAAACTGAAGCCCTAGAGAGGCAGGAGACTTCCCAAGGCGACACTGATGGAGGCTGAGAGTAGAAAATTTAGGATGGAGGTGTCGCAAGACCAGGAGCTGCAGGCGGGATAGACGTGGGGAACAGAGATGTTAAACAAATGAGAAGTCTTTGGGCGCCCACAGCTATGGCAAGAATCAGGCTGCTAAAAAGGGTGTCTGGAGGTGGAGGCCATTGTAGAGAATCCCTGGTTCTATAAAACAACCTAGCCACACCCTAGAAGTAGTTAATTTAACAGTAGTTCACAATTAGTTCACAATTCCACAAAGGAATGGACCCTCCCAAAAAGAAGACTGTATCAGTGCAATCTCTGCCCTGCCCAGAGGCAGCTCTCCTGCCCTCCTGTGTCTCTGCTCGTGACCTTTCCTTTCCTTTCCTTTCCTTTTTATTTCTTTTAAAGATTTACTTATTTGTTTATACAAGCACTGGGTACAGTCAGAAGCACGGGAGGGTGAGAGAATTCACCAGAGCCAGAGCCAGGAACAGAACAGGCAGACTGACAAAGAACTACGCTGCTGAGGGGAGCAGCGGCGCGGCAGGAGAGGTCTGTTGCGCCATGTGGGACCCTCTACGGTGGCCGGGCATCGAACTGGCGCTGCAGACGCTACGGGCAGCTTCTCAGCCCAGCGCTCAACCGCTGCAACACCAGGGGAGGCCTTCCTTTCCTTTTTAATATAATGCACCTTCCCTTTTGGATATAACTAAACGTGTTTGCTTCGTGGGGAAATTCGCCATGTGCTGCTGAAAGGGGATTTCTGGGACACTCTTCTCGGGGGTAACCGGAGGGCCCCATTCTCTGAAACCAACACCTCTCCAAAATGACATCACCTGCGTCCATGGCTAGCTTGCGGGCAGACCCCACATCATTGATCTCTGAGCTGCATCCCCATCTTCCAGATGTACACTGAGACCCCAGACGGGGTGATCAACTGCGGTGGGGTCAGAGAGCTACCTGGAGGTGGCCACTGCCCACTTCCTCAAAAATGGGCAACCTGATCCCATGAAGGGGGAGCAGTGATAAACAGCTCACATTTATGAGGCCTGACTGCACCTATGAGTGCATCCTCAAGCCAGGCTATGAGGTTGGCAATGTCATTATATCGGGGGAACAGTACGTCCTGAATGAACTCCGCCCACTGATGTTTTACACACTCCATTCCACCTACATGCCAAAGATGCCAAGCGCCGAGGACTACAACTCCCATAATGCCAGAGACCTGCCGCGACGCTTGACTTCTTGGCGTGGGGGTTGCTGGGAACTCAGGGCGGAGCTAAGCGGCCATACTTGGTCAAGGCCGGACACAGTGGACCTGCCGGCCCGGACCTGCCTGCCCTCAGCGCGCGCCGGGGTCGCCGCTCAGACGCGTGACAGGTAGGACGTATTCACCAACTTAGCTCTTTATATTGCTCTCTCTGCGTGCTCCCCTCTTCCATCCCCTCGGAAATAAGCCTTTTATTTACCTTTCTCTGTGTGCCTGCCCTCGGGTCTTGTCCTGAGTTTTGCTTTGAGCGCGCGGTGAGGACTCCCACCCAGGCCACCCCGTTTCCCTTTGGGGCTGTCCTGTAACACCAGGGTACCGCAGTGAACAGGCGGCTTGCGTTTGAGGCCTAACCGTCTGCACCTGTCAGCGCATCCTCATGCCTGAGAGGTTGGCACTAGTTACCCGACTTCCTCGACCAGCTGCGTGCCCAGGGGCTCCTGGCTGCTGCTGGTGGTGGCAGAGCTTCCAGTGGGCCAGAACCTCGGGGTCGATGCCCTTCACCAGGACGCAGCCCACGGGCCCCACCACTCCCACCGAGCGAATTCCTTGGAAGCACCCCCACCTGTGCTGGTCGCTATGTGTCTTGTATCCTGAACTCACTGGATTCTCTCAATAATTGGTATTTTTATTATCCCCATTTGACAGACAGAAAGCTGGGGTTGAGATGACGGTCCCACGCCCGAGAGCGCCAGGAAAGAGCGTGGGCTGGGACACCACAGAACCTGCAGCAGGAAGGAAAGCGGGGGCCATAATCTGCCTGGTAACTGGTGACGTCACCAATCCCAGACCACCTTCAATCTACCTGGCAACCAGTGATGTCATCATTCCCGACCGGCATCATGTCACCCAGGTTAGTAGCGACTTCATTAATTCTGCTGTTAACGGGATATTGGTGACATCACCAAATGATGTAATGCACTTCCTTTTGCTGAGAGTGTACCATGAACTGGATGCCTATGCTGAGCACTTTAATAATTGGCTGATATATATCAACTGCTTCATATGTGCTAAGCCCTGCTCTCTCCCTATATCTATTAAATCCCATAGTCCTCCTGGTAACTCTTAAGTGAGAGGTTCTAGTTTTAGACCCACTTTGCATTGAGGGCTCCATCCAGTTTGCACAGCTGGAAGCATCCCAGCTGGGATATGAAACCAGGCAGCAGGCTTCCAAGACTTTGGCATGCAGACCGCTCTATGTACCCGAACAATGGCTAGATCTAGAAAGCCAAATCCAAAAAAGCCCTCTGCCCCCACCTCAGAGCCCTCCGCCTATCCACCATCCAAGCGTGCCATGAGGGTCTTCAGGATAAAGCCCCAGACTCATCCCCTTGCTGGTCAAGACCTGCCTGCCATGCCTTCTTTTCTTCAGCCCAGGATTTTCCTCATCATTAATTCATAACTACCTGATTATGCAGAATCTGTGTAATGGGTGGCGCAGGTGCAGGGACGAGTCAGCAGGGAGCTACATTACCGTACAAAATAAAATGTTGGAGCAGAAAGGAGAGGCAAGAAGACTGTGAGTGTTGGGAAATTTTTGAGCAAGGAAAAAGTTGGGGTAGGAGCTCCTGTGTCCAGTGAGGACTTAAGGGGCCTAAGTCTGAACAGAGAATAAAAGAGGAAGCAAGAGCACACTAAGTTTCACTGCAGGTCCTGACTCTTCTGCTACCTGGACCTTCTCCCTGTGGCAGAGATTTGAATGAGGCCCGTATTTTATTTTTGGCCACTGGGCACCATTCTGCATGCGGCTTGGCACTGGGGCTGACTCCAGGAAAAGCAAGCCAGTGGCCGTCTGTGGGGTACGGGTGAGTGATGGACTCAGCTCTGTGGCCATAAATATGTACCGAGGGCCTCCCTGATGGCGCAGCGGTTGAGCACTGGGTTGCGAGGCTGCCTGCAGCCTGTGCAGTGCCGGTTCGATCCCCGGCTGCTCTCCGGCCACTGGAGGAGGGTCCCGCATGGCGCGCGGACCTCTCCTGCCCCCCGCTGCTCCCCTCAGCAGTGTACTTTGGTCCTTCTGCCTGCTGTGCTCCCCGCTCTGGCTCTGGTGAATTCTCTCACCCTCCCGCGCTTCTGACTATACCCAGTGCTTGAATAAATAAATAAATCTTTAAAAATAAATAAATAAATAAATATGTACCGAGTGCCTACTAGATACTGTTTTAGACCAGGAATCAGCAAATGTTTCTTTAAAAGGCTAGATAGGAAATGTTCTCAGCTTTGCAGGCCAGAGGGTCCCTGCACTGAATGCTCCACTCCAGTAGCAGGAAAGCAGTCACAGACGTTATGGTAGTGAATGGCTGCTGTGGCGTTTCAATACAATGTTATTTGCACAAATAGGAATAGCATAGTTTGACCCGGTGCCATAGCTTGCAGACCCCTGATCTGAATGCTGACAAAACCTGGGAAACAAAAATAATCCCAGCCCTTACAAAACTGTATGGCAGGCAGTGTCCATCCCTGGCTTTGGTCTCCCTCAGAGTTAAAGCAAAGTCCTATCTTCCCTGGCCTCATTTGCCCTCGCTTCTCTCTCTTCCCATCATCTCCCCCTTGCTTACTCTGCTCTAGGCCCCCTGGCCTCCTTAATGCTTCTCAAACACAGCAGACTCGGTCCTGCCTCAGGACCTTTGCACATGCCATTCTTGCTACTACAATACTCTTCCCCTAGATAGTCACATGCCCCCTCATCTCCTTCCAGTCTTTGCTCAAATATCACCTCCTCTGAAGCTTTTTCTGAGTACCCTTTTCCCTAGATTCCTGATACCCCTCAGCCTGCTCTGACTTTTCCTTTGCCAGCTCTCATCATCCTCCAGTTGCCAATGATTCACTTAATACGTTTATTGTTTATTGTCTGATGCCCCCAACTAGAATGTCAGGTGGGGATCTGTGTCTGTCTTGTCCCCTGCTGTTTCCCCAGTGTCTACAGCAGAGCCTGGTGCACAGTGGGTACTCAGCAAGTAATACTTGCCAAAGCAATGAATGCATACTGGAGGCAGACACAGCCTGGACAAGTGAAAACATAATCATAGAGCATAGTGCAACTTGCAATAAGTGTTAGGAAGAAAAAAAGTAACGGAGGTTAGAGATAACTGGGTTTTCCTTTTATAAAGGGGGGGACAGGGGCCTCCCTGGTGGAGCAAGGGGTTAAGACACAATCTATGAAACTCTTTGCAGCCACTGCAACATGAGTTCGATTCCCTGCCAGGGAGTTACCCACATGGTGCTGCAGACCTCTCCTGCCTCACCCACTGCTCCCCTCAGCAGTGTATTTCAGCCAGTCTGCCTGTTCTGTTCCCCACTCTGTCTCTGGTGGGTCCTCTCACCCCCCACACCTCTGGCCTATACCAGTTATTGAATGCATGAATAAATAAATCTTTTTTAAAATGGGGGGCCAGGGGAAGTCTTTCTGAGCATGTGGCATTTGGACTGGAAGAACAGTTGATATAGGTAAAAAATAAGTGAATGTTAAATTGATGGAATTAATGGTGAGTAGGTAAACAAAGGGGTGAATGAGGGAAGAGATGATGGGTGAATGGATGGAGTGGATGGATAATGAATAAGCAAGTGAGGGGGGGGGCCTCGCTGATGCACAGCACTATGAAGCTATCCGCAGCCTCTGCAGCACGAGTTCGATTCCCAGCCAGGGAGCAACCTACATGGCGCATAAGACCTTTCCTGTCTCGCCCGCTGTTTCCCTCAGCAGTGTATTTCAGTCACTCTGCCTGTTCTGTTCCCCACGCTGTCTCTGGTGAATCCTCTCACCCCTCAAACCTCTAGCCTGTACCCCAGTTCTTGCCTGCATAAATAAATCTTTTAAAAAAAATAAAACAAGTGGGCAGAAGGATGGAAGAATTAACCAATACATAAATGGGTGGAGTGACAGGTGGATGGATAGATGGACAAACTAATAGATGGATGGATGATAGATGGATGGGTTTGTGGAAGGAAGGATGGGTGGACGATGGATGGATGGATAGACAACGGACAGATTGATAAACAGCCTTTCATGCATCCATACCTTTGCACTTGCTGTGTCTCCTGCTTGTTACTCCCTCCCCCTGCTCTACTCCCAGGAAACCCCACTCCCCAAGGCCACCTCTGCACTGAGTGTGTAGAGAGCTCCCTGGCCTCACTTTGCCCCCATGCTGTGCCCCACCACAGTCTCCTACTGATGCTCCAGTCACACTGGGATTGTGATGAGCTCATCTGAAGGAGCTCTGGGTGGTGAGAACAGGCTCTAACTTAACATCTGGTCCCTGCGCTCCCCAACATCGAGCCATGTGTGCCAGAGTCTGCAGGAAGCCACGGCTTATCGACGACCACATTGCTCTGCTACCTAGCCCTCATCCTCTCTGGGAGACAGTGCTAATTATAGTTGCCCTCTGCTGGCTCTATGTACCCGGACTCATTCGGATGTATAAGCCCTAGGAAGAAAGAACTGTCGATAGTCCCTATCACAGATGGAGAAATCATAGCTGGGAGAATTTAGGGTGTCGCCCCAGGTCACACACCCCAGCTAAGATTCCAGCAGGGGAATCTCTCAATCATCAGTGCTTTACTTCTGAGAGGTCCCCAGAGGCCTATCATGGTCACCTCGGGATCCGTAGTGCTCAGTTTTCACCTGGGCAGGTGCTTGGACCCACCCGGAAGTGTCAACTGCATAGACATAGGGAAGGTCTGGGAATCTGCATTTTGACAAGTTCCCAGGTGATCAGGTGGCAGGTGGTTCTTGATCAGACTTGGACCAAAACATGCTTCATCTATGCTTTCTTTTTTCTCCTCACCTCCTGCTGATTGATGGGCCTCCAGTCCATCAGCCAGTATTGTCAACTTGACCCTCAAAGAGTCTCAGATCCTGATCCCTTGTTGCCACCCCCAGTGCTACACTTACATCCCTCCTCAACAGCTCTCCTGTGTCTCCCATCTCATTCCAAATACACACAAAATTGCCACTGAAAATGCAAGACCCTGCAGGTTATGGCCCCCTACGTCCCCACCTTGACCTCACCTCCCTCCCTCTCCCCCTCACTCACTGCTGCAGCCTCACCACCCTCCTCACTGTTCCTGAACATACCCAGCATGCTCCCACCTCAGGACCTTTGCACAGGCTGGTCTCCCTTCTGCCTAAAAAGCTCTTCCTCCCAGGCATCTCCAAGACTCACCTCCTCCTCCCCATTCCATTCTTGGCTTAAATGTTACCTTGGCAACGAGAACTCTGACTGCCCTGTTTCATATCACAGCTAGCCCCAAGGCATCCCTCTCCCCTTCTTTTGCTCCCTTGTTTGTGTCTTTCCACAGCATTTGTAACCTTTTCTCATCTTATATCATTTACTTCTTTGCTGTGCTTGTTATTTATCATCTGTCTCTTGGATCACAGACTATCAGCCCTGTAGAGGGTGGGACAGCACCCTCTCTCTCCAGCACCTAGGACAGTTCCTTGCACACAGTAAGTGCTCTGTAAATATCTGTGACAGAAAACCTTTTAGGAATTCTGCTCCAGATTCTGCTCCACCTGGTTGGATGGGGAACTTTTACTTCTTCCTTATTTGTATATGCCACGGGCATTTTCTAAAGCAACAGTTACCTTATCATCAGAAAGTGGAGGGGGGAAGGCCCCCAAAGCTATTTATTAAAATATGAATTTCTTCTCAAATTAACACAATTTTAATTATAAAAGGTGGAGAAAGGTCAAACAAGAGGGTAATAGTTCCTTTGACCAGTACCTCATTTCTCACTTCTCCAACCAGCTGTACTCCTGATAATATTTTGGTGTGGAATCTTCCAAAATAGTTACTATTTATTTACGTCAGGGGTCAGCAAAGGACAGGCTCCAGTAATATCTGGCCCACTGCCTGTGTTTGTCAATAAAGTTTTATTGGCACACAGCCATACCCATTGGTTCATGTATGGTCTGTGCTGCTTCACAGCACAAGAGCAGAGTGGAGAAGTCATGATGAGACTGTATTATGCTCAACATTGAAAAAATTTCATATTTGAGACTTTACTGAAAAATTTATCAAGCTCTTATATAAAAAGATGAATTACTGGGGCCTCCTTGGTGTTCTAGGGGTTAAGTCTCTGTGCTATCACTGCTGCTGCCTGAGTTTGATCCCCCGCCAGGGAGGTGACCTACATGGCGCAGCAGACCTCTCCTGTCTCACCCGCTGCTTCCCTCAGCAGTGTGTTTCAGTAGATCTGCCTGTTCTGCTCCCCATTCTGTCTCTGATGAATCCTCTCACCCTTCACATCTCTGGTCTATACCCCAGTTCTTGTATGCATAAATAAATAAAAATAAATAAATGAAAGTCTCTTTCATTAAAAAAAGGGACTTTTTAATGAACTACTGAAAAAACTTCCTTATGATATCTGGTGTTTAAGAAACAGAATCATATTCGGTGTTTTTAACTGCAATTTGTTTTTCTTAGTTAACCATATGTCTTGAGGAACTTTCTTTGCTTCCACATTGAAATTATCTCCATCTTTTCCACACCTGCATAGTATTCCAGTCAGTCTATGCAGTCATGCATTGCTTAACAATGAGGGTATTTTCTGAAAAATGCATTGTTAGGCAGTGCTGTCATTGTGCCCGTGTCATCAAGTCTCATTATGGTAGACCCTGCTTCACTTCTTCCAGATACAAGTGCCACTGTGTTTGTGGTCTGTCATTGACCAAACATCATTATGCAGTGCATGACTGTGATACCTCTGACCCCTGCCCTATTAATGGAGCACTTAGTGATTTTCCATTTTTCACTTTTACAAATAACAATCCAGAGAACATTCTTCCTACTTCCACATAGGAATATAGCTGGATTAAGGAGTATGAGTATATAAAAGCAGTTGAGCTTTCAATAGATGTCACCAAACCACAGCAGTGCTATTTTCCTTTTCAAGAAAGAAAATGAAAAGGAAACCAGTCCCACCAAGGATTTATTATCCTGTGAGAGGCTCCATTCCTCAGAGAGGTGTGCCTATAATCTCCGGATGCCAGGACATACTCTGGACTTTCTGAGCTGTCTGTACTGGCTCTTCCCTCTCCAGCTTTCTCGACCTTGAAAAATGCAGCTAGGGCCTCAGAGCTACCTTAGATGACTGGGTAGAATAGTCTGACATCAGCTATGTACATAACTTGCAGTACATTTGCAAGTAGGAACCCACAGGGAGGTGCGGTTAGTGTTCCCTGACCACACCCAGAACGTCCAAGGCAGCATGAGGGGTGGGAGTGGAAGCATTAGGCCACTAACATGGATGAGTGGGTCCGGTACTGGGGGGCTGGGTATGGAAACGGGAATGGACTCTGCCCCTGGTGTTCTAGAACTAATAAATCAGAGAACAAGGAGACACCCTCAAATACTGAGTGTAAGGATTATTGCCTATCTTTCCTATGGATTTAGAAGATATGGTTATACGAAGCAACACTCTGTTCTGCTGGGTGACCCCCATGGAGAATGCATGCATGTCAGATGTGTTCTGCTTTGTCCATGGGTGCTGGGGAAGAAAAGGAGCCAGGCTGAGGGATTAAAGGCAAGAAGAAAAAAGAAAGCAAAGTAGGGATGTGGACAAAGGGTAGAGAGATGAGAACAGAGAGACACAACTCTGAGCGCCTAACTCCACCCTCTGCAAAGAACATGGCCTGGTGTATCAGCTCTCCAAAGGCCTCCCAGCCCTCCATCTTTTTCCAGCCAGAACTTTAATCCTGCGCTTACCACAATGATTTGAGCACACTGAAAACACTCAACAAATAAAAGCTGTTAGTGATACCATTATTAAAATCACTATTATTTTTGAGATTGGCCTTGGGATAGTAGGATAGACTGCCCCCACCCCATGTCTCCTCCCTCAGGAAGACTTCCTTGATTTCTAGTAGGAAGTGCTGCAAGCACCCCTAGCTCCTCCAATATAGCCTCTTCCCTGGTATGGGCACCACCTGCTCACCTGTCTGTCCCTCAGGCTGAGTCTGGAACTCCTCGAGGACCAAGGTTGACTCGCCTTGGGTTCCCCCGATTCTGGCATAGTGGCTGGTGTGCTTCGGACCTCCGGCGCCGTCTGCCCACCTGAATGGCGCACGGCCTGGGAGGGCAGATAAGGCAGGTATATAATTAACGAATATATGGCAGGCTGTTTACGATAACAGCCTATGCGCCTAGTGACTGGGTAGAAGCTATTTACGCTGAGTCCCAATCTGGTTTCAGCACACCTCCTGTCTCCTCCTCCTGCACCACTCCCCTGCCTATACCTTGCGGCCACCTCCTGTTTAGCTCACCTGTCTAGGATCCATCTCTGAGCCTTGCAGCACCCTCTCCTTCGAAGGTCCTGCCTTCCCCTCTTCACAAGGCAGCAGGGGGCACCGAGGGGCACCGCACACCTCCCCCAAAGAATCCTTCCCTCTGTCTGGATCCTTTGGCATCTAATAAAACCGACAGACTCCTCAGAATGGTCAGGTCGATTGCAGGATAGTTTACATGCACCAGTCTTATGCATTTTTCTAGACTGGGTGCAATTCACCCTTTCTTGAGACAGTTTTGTGTTTTGATTTGGGTGCAGGACAGAAGCACCATCTCTGAAAAGTACCAGTTGGCTGGTACTTTCCCCTGCATCCAAGCACAGGTCCTTAAAAAACTTGCTGTTGATACATCCGAATCTTATTAAAATTAAAGCCCAGGGCCTCCCTGGTGGCGCAGCGGTTGAGCGCTGGGTTGTGAAGCTGCCTGCAGCCTCTGCAGCGCCGGTTCGATCCCCAGCTGCTCCCCGGCCACCAGGTGAGGGTCCCACATGGCGCGCAGACCTCTCCTGCCGCCCGCTGCTCCCCTCAGCAGTGTACTTCGGTCCTTCTGCCTGCTCTGCTCTCCGCTCTGGCTCTGGTGAATTCTCTCACCCTCCCGCGCTTCTGACTGTACCCAGTGCATGTATAAATAAATAAATAAATAAATCTTTAAAAATAAATAAAATTAAAGCCCAAATAATGCACGAAATTCCGTACCATGAATGCATCCCCATTAATTTGCCACTATCTGTCATGGATCGGGACCGCAATTATCCGCAGTGGTCTGCTGTTACACCAGGAAGTCGGAAAGACGCCCGTCCCACTATCTGCCTGCTTTGAACACAGGGCCATTGTTTTTCTGGAAGCTGGACACTGGTGAGCAGGACAGCTGGAGCGTAGGGGGTGGGCATTGTTCCCTGCTCTTACTCTGAAACATCTCCAGCGAGTAGCAGTGTTGGGGGAAAGTATCCGACGAAGCCAGGAGTGGCCAAGGGCTAGATTTTACAATTTCTCTATATTTATTTTGCTTTTATTTACTATTTTTTAAAGATTTATTTATGCATACAAGAACTGGGTACTGGCCAGAGGTGTGGGGGGTGAGAGGATTCACCCGAGACAGAGTGGGGAGCAGAATAGGCAGACAGACCGAAATACACTGCTGAGGGGAGACAGGAGAGGTCTGCTGCGCCATGTGGGGAGCTCCCTGACCGGCCGGGATCAAACTCATGCTGCAGTGGCTGCAGATAGCTTCTTAGGTTGCGTCTTAACCCCTTGTGCCACCAGGGAGGCCCTCTCTGTATTTATTTTATTGCAAGTGCATCTTTCTCTCAAGAGCCCCAATTCCGAACCGGGGGCCTATCAGGCAATGCCTGAAACAGACTTTTTGTTTATGGTCCCAGGCTCGGAAGGGGTGTAGGCACACATCTAATGTCCACCAGGCAGGCAGCCCGGCCCCACAAAGAATGGTCTGACCCCAAATGTCAATGACGCCAAATTGAGAAAGCCCGAGGCTTGCACGTTCATTGGGAACGTTTGTAAACATCAGTACTTCAGGCCTAATCACTCCATCACACACATCGTTAGCCAGTGTTTGTTATTTTTTATGGCTCACTTTGGAGAGGGGGAGGAAATTTGCAGACGATGAACTGCACAGTACTCAGCATACCACTGAAGCGTTTTGATAAATTTAGACCCAACTAAGCAAAAAATAGAGGACGTTGCCATACCCCGGAGAGTGACCTCAGGGTTCCTCCCGTCGGTCGCCAGCCCCAGCCCAGGCAGCTACACTCTTTCATCACCATGGGTTAGTTTTGTCTGTTCTAGACTGTTTCGATAACTAGAAGCTATAGTAGGTGATCTTTTGTGTCTGCTTCCCCTCATGCTCTTGATGGCCACCCGTGTCACTGCATGCATCAGCAGTCTGCTCCCTTGATCGCTGCATACTATTCCACTGCAGTGAGCGGCCAGTTCTCCTGGTGAGACACATCTGGTGTATTTCCAGTTTGGGGCTTTTGTGAGGAGGGCAACCAGTGATATTCTTGTCCCAGCCATCTTGGGTGTTTTCATTTCTTTTGAATTAAAACCTAAGCGTGGAATTTCTGAGTCATAAGTAAGCTTAACTTTAGTTTGCAAGAAAATAGCGGACCTTTCCCCCCACTGGCGATTATAACCTCGCCACTGCTGTCGCAATGCATTGCTACAAGCTGGGTGGCTTTGAAACAGCACAAATGTTTTCTGTTTCTGGGGGTCAGATGTCCCCATATGGGCCTTAGGAGGCTAAAATCAAATTGTGAACAGAGCTGTGTTCCTTCTGGGGCTTTCGGGGCGAATTCCTGTGTGTCCCTTTTGCAGTTTTTTTTTTTAAAGATTTATTTTTTTATACAAGAACTGGGGTACAGGCCAGAGGTGCGGGCGTGAGAGGATTCATCAGAGACAGAGTGGGGAGCAGAACAGGCAGATTTACTGAAACACACTGCTGAGGGGAGCAGCAGGGGAGACAGGAGAGGTCTGCTGCGCCATGTGGGTCAGCTCCCTGGCCAGCTGGGGATCGAACTGGTGCTGAAGAGGATGTGGACAGATGCACAGCGCTGCGTTCAACCCGCTGCGCCACCAGGGAGGCCCCCCTTTTGCAGTTTTAGTTTTAGCTTCTCTACCGCTCCATCGACATCTGTCCGTCCTCAGTATTTGCCGTTGTGGTGGCCACGTTGGATCTCTTGGTTTCAGAACTTCCCTGATGACTAATGATACTGAGCCTCTTTATTTCCCATGTGCTCAGTGGCCGTTTGTATTCGTCCTTCATGAAGTGTCCGTGCAGCACATTGCCCGTGTTTGAATTGGGTTGTTTGTCTTACTCAGAGTTGGGAGGGATGTGTGCCCCTTGGATTCATTGATTAATTTAATTCACACACCCTTCATCCAGGTTGAAAATTCCCATTTTTGCCCCTCATTTTATTCTCTTTTCTCCCTTCCCCAGCCCTTCGCCCTCTCTCCTCTTCCTTCCCTGCCTATCTCTAAGGTCCTTGAGGCTTTCTCCCTTTTGGGGTAACATGATGAATGTTCACACTTTTTTTTAAAAGATTTGTTTATTTATGCATACAAGAGGTGTGAGGGGGGTGAGAAGATTCCCCAGAGACAGAGTGGGGAGCAGAACAGGCAGATCTACTGAAACACTGCTGAGGGGAGCAGCAGGGAGACAGGAGAGGTCTGCTGCACCATGTGAGTAGCTCCCTGGCCGCAGATTGAACTCATGCTGCAGAGGCTGTGGACAGCTTCATAGTGCTGAGACTTAACCCCTCTGCCACCAGGGAGTTCCCAAATTTTCACACTTCTTGGGGAGTACACTTACTTTTAGAACTGTATCATGTTAGTGACCAACATGGCAACCACTAACCACTCAAGATCATTTAAATTTAAACAGATTCTAATTCAGTAAGATTGCAAATTCAGTCCCTCCATCCCGCTAGCCACATTTCCAGGACACAATAGACACACGAGGCTGATGGCTGCTGTATTGGTGGCACAGTCATGCAACATTGTTGTCATTGCAGAAAATTCTAGAAGCTGCAGGGAAACCAACTCATCTCTGCAGGAGTGACAACCCCTCCTATGACTACACAGATGTTTGTGGTGCCAAACAACTACCTTCCCATGGGGGGGTGTGGAAAGGAAGGAAGAAAGGAGAGGTGAAGATGAGAAAAGCCAATGATCCATATTAATTATCTCGCACTTTGTAAGCACTCATTACACTTAAAAAAATACACACGTAACTACCTCCTAATGAGTATTCATTGAGTGCCAGGTACTTTCTTGGCTGTGTCATCTGCCATGTGTTTATCTCCAGAAAAATAGGAGGCGCAGGAGAGAAAGGCACTCTGGTCAACTTCTTTTTTTGCCAAATCACACAAAGCATTAATTCTTCAAGCCTCTATACCACCTAAGGCCGCCCCCCCCCCTCCCCCGGAGGGAGCTCTCTCTGCAGTGTGCCATGCGCTCCTGCTGTTGATAAAGCGGGGCACTGAGCTCCCAGTCCTGGGGACAGAGCCTGAGACCAAGGTATCCGCAGGACCCTGCAGCCTCTGAAATCTGTGGGATTGAACACCCCTTGGCCGGCCCCTGACCAGGGCTGCGGCGCTCTTTGGTGGTCTTGCTTCCAGCTGACCTCCCCGTCTCCATCTCTCTGGGCCTCTGTTTATCTGTGTTTCCACATGATACTCCTTTTTTCCCCCTAAGATTTATTTATGTATGCATACGAGAGCTGGGAGCAGGCCAGAGATGCGGGGGATAAGAAGATTCACTAGAGACAGAGCGGGGAACAGAACAGGCAGACTGACTGAAATACACTGTTGAGGGGAGCAGCGGGCGAGCCAGGAGAGGTCTGCTGCGCCATGTGGGTTTCTCCCTGGCTGGCCTGGGATCGAACTCGTGCTGCAGAGGCCACAGCTTGCTTCATAGTGCAATGCTTAACCCCTTGCACCCAGGGAGGCCCTCCACATGATACTCTTTAGAAGGATGCCAGCCCTGTGGATTACGGACCCTGCCACAGTCTGAGCTCATCTTAACTAACTTCGTCTGCTGTGATCCTGCTTCCAAATAAGGCGATAATTCCGACGTACCCGGGGTTAGGACATCAACACACCCTTTTGTATATGAGGGCACACACTTCAACCCATAATACACTCTAAGGTG